CCCGGACCGTCAAGCTTGAGTCTAACCGACCTAGATTCTCTTCGGCCTGATGAACCGAGATTCTCAAGCCAACAACATGCCAGATTGTCAGCGGACCGTTACTTTAATTACATTCAGCCACAAAGTTAATTCAGCCTTTCTTCACAGACCATTAAATTGGTGGTGTAGCTGCTTGCGGAAACTCTCTTCAGATAACAGAGTTGGGTCAGCCTCAACTATACGATGCGGGCGGGGTCGATTCACGGCCACAAACCTTTTTCATATGAACATGACGAATACTCTATCCCCCGACATGTGATGGACTATATGTCTACTCGTAGCAAAATGGGTGAGCAAGATATTTCATAGACGTGACCGGCCCCATGCTATTCCGTTACGGGATGTCATTGGGAAGCTAAGGCCTGAGATAAGTTTGACAAGGCTCCCTGCTCGACTTCAAAGTCATCATATACCTGTCTTTGAACTGTAGATACTCGGTCTCGGTCTCAGCACAGACAATCCATCTCAATGGATAGATCAACTGCAATGCAAGACGGAATCCAAAATGCGGAGCACACAGTCAATGGGATGAACGGAGTTCACGATGGTCCAAACGGGGGCTCACCCTACAATGAAAACCCGTCCAAAAAGCCTCAAGGTCACTCTGCTAATCCGGCTGACAGGGGACCTCAATCTCAAAGCCGCTTCCCCCGTATCTCACTACCAGTAGAGCTCATGCAAGACTCCTATGACGTGGTGGCCATTGGCTCGGGATATGGAGGGGGCGTGGCCGCCAGTCGAATGGCCAGAGGAGGACAGAGCGTCTGCGTCCTGGAGCGAGGGAAAGAGAGATGGCCTGGTGAGTTTCCTGAAAAGCTGGAGGATGCGGTGGAGGAGCTTCACGTCAGCGGCCAGTTCGCTCCCGGCGACAGAAGAAGTATCCCGGGAGCTATGGTTGACGCGGGGAACCCAAATGGCCTATATCACTTCGTAGTAGGCGAAGGCCAGAACGTGTATATGGGCAACGGTCTCGGTGGCACCAGCCTTCTGAATGCCAATGTGTTCCTTGAAGCCCATCGCAAAGTCTTGGAAATGGGAGTCTGGCCAGAGGAGTTGAGAGGACATAATGCATGGAAGAAGTGTAAGCATGCACTTTCATGAGCTTCAGTATCGCACAATCCCAGGATCGGGCTTTGCTCTACTTTGGACCCGTTTCTTATGATATGCAGACTATGACCGCGCAAGGAGCGTTCTGGAACCTGCTCAATACCCCCCGACTTTTCCAAAGCTCCTCAAAGCCGACCTCCTTAAAAGGCAATCGGAGCTCATGAGCTGGGGCGATAATTTCTACCGTGTTCCGCAAACAACTCGGTTTGAGGACGGCCCCAACTCTACGGGAGTCTACATGCAGGCATCACAGCTGACGGGCATGGATGCGACTGGTATCAACGACGGCAGCAAGTCTACAACGCTTGTAAATTATCTCAGTGATGCATGGAATTGGGGTGCCGAGATTTTCTGCAATTGCGAGGTTAGATATATCGCCAAAGCCCCCAATCGTGAAGGATACATTATATATTTCGCGTGGCGTTCCTGTGGACGAGACCGTTTCAGCACTTTCTTTGACGACCTTATGTGGGTGCATGCAAAGAAATTTGTTTTCTTAGGAGCTGGGAGCATCGGAACAACCGAGATCTTGCTCCGCAGCAGACAGATGGGCTTGGACTTGAGCGATGACGTTGGGACTGAGATGAGCGGCAATGGGGATATGTTGGGCTTCGGGCAAGTTTATCGCTGCGCTTCATAGACACTGAACTGAGACGCTGTAACAGGTACAACACCGACTATGAAGCAAATTGCATAGCTCGTCCTGAACCTACACCTGAGCGACCCGTAGGACCATGCATAACTTCAGTCTTGGATCTGAGGGATCAGAGAAACCCTCTGGACGGGTTTGTGGTAGAAGATTGTGCGGTACCATACGCTCTTGCTCCACTCATGTTCAGTATGCTGGAATACTTGCCAGATATGAGACGTCCCAAATACAGCCCTGTCGAGAGTGTAGAGAAGTTTGTTGCACGACTGAAAGGCAAGCTTGGACCATACGTACCCGAGGGCAGCGTGCAGAAAACTGCCGTATATTTGATTATGTCGCATGACAGTGAGTAACTTGTATACTTGTCAGGTTATAAAAACTGCTTCTTACAATATTGCAGGTAGCCAAGGCAGATTGACACTTCAGAAAGACAAGCCAGTGCTTACATACTCGGGCGTGGGCCGTTCTAAATCTGTATCTCGCATCCACGGTATCCTTGAGAGAATGACGGCTGCTATTGGGGGGAATTTCATAGCCAACCCAGTCTGGAGTACTTTGGGTAGGCAGGAGATCACAGTGCATCCCATGTATGTTTAGTAGCGGTAAACCCCGCACCAGGTGAAGTGCCTAACGTCTACTGCAGAGGTGGAGCGCGCATCAGCAAAGACAACACTGGCAACAATGGGGTGGTGAACCACCTTGGGGAAGTATTGAAGGGAAACAGCAGCGAGGCGTATGAAGGACTGGTCGTGTGCGACAGTTCTGCACTGCCAGCAGCTGTTGGCGTCAACCCTTTTGCGACCATTACGGCCTTTGCTGAAAGATCAGTTGAGATGGTAGCCCGGAGGCGAAATATAGCCATCGACTATAACACGAAGAACGGTGGGTATCAAGCAGAGACAAATCGCTTCTCCCTCGCTAACAGCCTCAGGTCAATTGGACATGTTCGGTACCCCCGCATATCGTTCTCCTCAAGATGCAGAAACCGCGCAACTTGCATACAGGCTTGCCAAAGCCACTGAAAATCAGAACGCCGGCGTCGTGTTCTCGGAGATGATGAATGGCTTCATATACACTGGTCATGACGTTAAAGACTTTGAGGTCGCGACGAAGCTTGCTCGAGGCCGCTGCGAGAATGCACGATTCTTCCTAAGCGTTAAAGCATGGAGTGCTGAGGAGCGTGAGTTCATACTATACATCAACCTATGAGTTCAAGTTTGACTGACACTTTGTAGTGGTGAAGAGCAGCCAACATTTGGCAAACTTGACGGGAACATTTACTTGTAATACGCTTGGGGGTGTCTTCTTGGTTCACCGAGGCACCTTCCAACTGTTCAACTACGATGCCCGGCAACCAGACACAGCAAACCTGACCTACAACTTCGACATGATTTCGACCAGTGGGAAGAAACTGCATTTCAACGGCTACAAAGTCGTAAACAGTGCATCCTTCCTCAACCCACTCGAACTGTGGAGACAGACCAGCACGCTGTATGTTACTATCACAGACCCGGGCAATATAGTCGTAGGCCGCGGTATGCTGCGCATTCTGCCAGACGACTTCGGTTACGAATTGAAAACCTTCGAAACAAGCGGGCCATCGTTGTGGACAAGGACCAGATCAGCAGCGCGCTTTCTCGCCTATTTTGCGAAACAGCTTTCTGTGCCGTTTCTTTCGGCGCTTGGGCAACTTCAATGGCCAAACACAACGCTGAACTACGCCTCTAAGGAAGTATCTCCATCCTCCACCATTCCTTTGAAAGCATCTGACGGAGTCACCACAAACATGGTGATGTGGAATCCCACTTTCCAAGGAAAGGATATCCTTGGACCTGCCCCCACCTTACTCTTTATACCAGGAGCAGCGGTTGACCACAAGATGTTCGCTCTTCCGACCATAGAGCGGAATGCAGTCGAGTACTTCCGCGAGTCCGGATACCGCATCTACTGCATCACTCATAGAGTCGGACGAGCTCCCATCGCTCGAGAAGGGTACACACCGTATGATGCACGGCGCGATATACACGCTGCTCTAGTCCACATCCGCGAGGATGTCAGCGCAATGAGTCCGGCCGAGCCCCCCAAAGTCTACGTGGTGGCCCACTGCGCAGGCTCTCTAGCACTCTCTTGCGGCCTGCTGGACGGCACGATCCCTAGTGACTGGATTCAGGGGATCACCGCATCAATGGTTTTCATGAACCCTAAGTTCGGAAAGGTTGATAGTCTCCTGTCCAGATTTCCCACATCCCTATATGCCCGACTGGTCAGTCCGTACTGGGACTGCACCAGTAGCCGCAACGACACTTATATCCAGTCATTGCTAAACCAGGCGCTGCGCTTTTACCCACAGGGAGAGGTCGGGGAGTCGTGCCGATCGGTCGTCTGCCATCGGAGCGAACTTGTATTTGGTCGGTAAGTGTCCCAAAGACTTGGATGCATCCGCCAGCAACAATCACCTGATAAGACCTAGTCTTTGGACCCATAGAAACCTCAACGACGCCACCCACACCCAACTGGAACGCTTCCTCGGCGGCACTTCAATGCGCTCCCTTCAATGGCTCATGGAGAGCGGCCGCAAAGAGAACGTTCTAGCCAACGGGCCAGTTTTCACCAATCTCGTCACGCCGGAAAACCTCGAACGCTTGAAGGGTATTCCGATCTTGTTCCTGTCAGGAACTGGAAACATGGTGTTTACTGCCGAGAATACGGATATCTCGTATACGACGCTTTGTAATGTGCACGGAAGGGATTGGTACGAGCGGGAAGTCTTCCCGGGCAAGGGACATTTAGACGCCTGGATGGGCTCGACAGCCTATCAAGACGTTTACCCGAGGGTGAGACGCCACGTTGATCAGATTATGATGTGGGAACAGGGCCCGTTTGGCAAAATAAATAAAAAGGGAATGCTGTAGGGATACGAGAGCGACCAAAATTGCTATCCATGCTGTGTTCGGTCTGTGTTGTATGTATGTTATATGGACTTATATGGACTCAAGTCATATATCGCCTCAGAAATTGGTATGCGCAGTTCAATCGATGTAAACACCACAAACAAGTCAAGTAATCCAAACATTTTACATACGTCACTTGTGGGAGCTATGTCACAAACGGTTAGTGCTGCTCTACCCGCATCTCCGCCTTTCTGCCTCAGGAATACCTCCGTCTCCCCGAATGCGGCTTGATTGATCATCATTACAGGCGTCTGCGATGCTTTAACATCCCATCACCGATCATGTTGACGCTCTGTTCCGGACTCCTTCGAGTCCTGCCCTTACTACTACTCGCCTTCACCATCACAGTGTCCTCCGAGCATACTTCCAACTGGGCCGTCCTCGTCTCAACCTCCCGATTCTGGTTCAACTACCGTCATCTCGCCAATGTCCTCTCCTTGTACCGCACCGTCAAGCGGTTGGGCATCCCCGACTCGCAGATCATCCTGATGCTCCCCGATGACATGGCCTGCAACCCTCGCAATGCCTTTCCCGGAACCGTTTACAGTAACGCAGATCGCGCCGTTGATCTCTACGGCGACAACATCGAGGTCGACTATCGGGGGTACGAGGTCACCGTGGAGAACTTCATCCGCCTCCTGACGGATCGCCTGGACGAAGATGTACCACGCAGCAAGCGACTAGGCTCCGACGCTGGCAGTAACGTTTTGGTCTATATGACCGGTCACGGCGGCGACCAGTTTCTGAAATTCCAAGACTCCGAGGAAATCGGAGCCTGGGACCTGGCGGACGCCTTCGGTCAGATGTGGGAAAAGAAGCGCTACCATGAGCTTCTGTTTATGATTGATACCTGCCAGGCCAACACCATGTACACGCATTTCTACTCGCCGAATATCATCGCCACCGGATCCAGTGAGCTTGACCAATCTTCCTACTCTCACCATGCGGACAATGATGTCGGGGTTGCGGTGATCGACCGCTGGACATACTATGTGTTGGAATTTTTGGAGACACAGGTGACAAGTGCCAATTCGAAGCTCACGCTGGGCGACTTGTTCGATTCGTACGACGAGTCCAAGATCCATTCCCAGCCGGGTGTAAGGTGGGACCTGTTTCCCGGCGGCGAGCAGGAAGGACGGCTTCGCACCGTGGCAGACTTCTTTGGGAATGTGCAGAACGTCGAAGTTGAGAATATCAATGCAACCGAGCCGGGCTCGCTGAAGGAGGATTTGATTGAGATTGCCCGGCTCGTGGACAAATGGCGTGCTCGCGACCAGGACTATTTCGTCCGACAGAACGAGTCATCAGTGTCGAAGGACGCCAGCGCGCATGAGGAATCTTCCCCGCATTACACGGTCAGGTCCAAGGTTGGGCCGGCGAAGATGTCGGAGGAATCTACGTGGCAGAAGCGGTTGGTCGGAATTTCCGTCCTAGGCGCGTGTGCTGCTGTCTGGCTTACGGGATCGATCTTGGGCGGGACCTCGGCTTGATCTTGAGGAAGAATATTGCATTTTATGCGTATTATAGACTACTTCTTCTGGTTTGCAGATGGTCGCCTGCCCTGAAGATCTCCTGACCTAGAGGCTAGAGCACATCTGCACCCGGAGTCTATGTTAACCGGATAGCGCAGGGATGGCGTTCCAGGTGTCTTTTTTTTCCTTCCCATACAACTTTTCACCGTTATAATCAGCATAGCATGTACACAGACGAATGCATTGTTTCTTGATCAGAGCAGCCGGCCTAGGGCGACATAATATGCTTTGGGACTAAATTCAAGTTCAAGCCACGCTTGAAGGATAAAACCCATACTTGCGACAGCCAATTTAGGGAACCCATTCCCATCGCCCCTCGAAACAAGCCCATCTGCAGTGCAACATTCTGAAGAACTGAAGAACGTGGAGACATGCAACATGCCAACAAGCAGCGCCTTTGAGTAAAATTGATTTTATTTGTGAAGAGTAAAATCCGGGCTTGGCGGGCGGACCTCCGCACGTGCCAGACGCGTCTTTGGGCTGGCGATGCGCGCCGCTCGATTATTACATCGCCTGGTTTCCGCAGAAAACACCCACAAGCAACAACAACTTCAGGAACAATGGCGTGGACGACTCTTGTCTCTTACCTCTGAGTCGCCGCCAAATAACTCTACGCTTGTTCTTCTATTTGACGACTCAGACTCAAAAAATCTAGGCTTTCCCCACTACTCTCCGACACGGCCCTTCTCCTCCCTCTCGTCGCCCTCATACTTGCCCACCCGCGTGCTTCAGCCAATTCCTCCTTCGCTCACTAACTAACTAGCACCACACCACCTCCTACTGCGACTGCTGCTTCTTTCCTTACGGCCTGACGAGGGTTTCAGCAAAGCCCCCTTTCGACCCTCTTCACGGCCCGACTCCAATCCTAACCGCCATGTATCTCCCCCGCCAACTCATCTCCCACCTCTACCAACAACTCCTCCGCTCACACCACCCGCTCTCCCCACCCGTTCTGATCCTCGTGGCTCTCGAGCCCGATGCCCTCTGTGCCTGTCGAATTCTCACTGCGCTCCTGAAACGCGACTACATCCCGCACAAAATCCAGCCGGTAGCCGGATATGGCGATTTGGCGCGCGCAGGCGAGGAATTGGTTAAGCCCATGCGGACGAACAATGGCGGGAGTGGTGGAGTAGTTGTATGTTTGGGGGTGGGAGGCCTTGTTGATCTGAGCGAGATATTATGCTTGAGCACTGAAGAGGATGATGAGGAAGAGGACATGGGCGGGGTTGAGGTGTGGGTTTTCGATGCTAGGCGGCCGTGGAACCTAGCTAATGTGTTTGGGGGTGAGGGGCGGCCGTCTGCGGCGGCTGATGCTATGGGGGTTATGAACCTGGGTGCGAGACGGGGGTCGCGCGGTGTTGAGAAGGGGTGTATTACGTCGGCGTATACGTCCGGCAATGGGGGCATTGTGGTCTACGATGATGGGGATATTGAGGAGGAGTTGGGGAAGGAACGGGAGGCGTATTGTGAGTTGGTGGCTATGCCCGAGGTGGGTGAGGAGGATGAGAATGAGGACGAGGATGGCGACTCGGGGAGTGATCGCGATGAGGATCATCCTTCGAGTTCCGATTCGAAGAAACGCAAGTCATGGTCGCGTGAGGATGAGGACGACGAGTCGGATGATGAAGATGGGCCTCCGCGTCAGCGGAGAAGGAGTGACTCGGTGTGTAGAATTCGTTCCTGTTGTACTGAGGGTGGTGCTAATATGCTCATTGTAGGGCTCCTATATTATTTCGTCGCCGTCACGTCCTCCGCGGAAAGCTATGCATGATTCATCCAATTCGTCTCGCTCTGTTACGCCGACATCAGATTCACCATCGCCGGTACAGCCCAAGCCCCCGTCAGCGCGCACATTACGACGACGATTGCTGCGCATGAAAAGGAAGCACGAGAATGTGCTGCAGAGTTACTATTCGTCAGGGACGTCGTACTCGGAACCGATATCCTCCATTGTCTATTCCCTTGCGTCCGAGCTCGGTCGTGAAGACAACGATCTGCTGTGGCTGGCCATTGTGGGTGTCTCGAGCTTGGAACTGAGTGGCCGTACCATGTCTGGAGTGGGTGTGTCGAATGCGTTGGAGTACGGAGGCTCGGCTGGCTGGGGTGGAGAGAGGGGTGAACGAATACGGCAGATCCTACGTGACGAAGTTCTGCGATTAAACCCTCCCGATCCGTATGAGCGAGATCGCGATAGCAGAGGAGAAATCAACGGCGTCATTCCGACCACGGCACGGTCTCCGACGGACAAGTCGATTCGGCTATCGCCTGAACCGCGTTTCATCCTCGTACGGCATTGGTCGCTCTACGACAGTATGCTACACAGCCCGTACCTAGCATCCAGGCTTCATGTGTGGACGGAGAACGGAAAGAAACGACTACATAAACTGCTAGCCAAGATGGGCATCAGCTTGAACCAGAGCCATCAAAACTATACCCATATGGACATGGAACTGAAGCGAGTATTACGACAACGCCTCTTGAAGTATGCGCCAATGTACGGCTTGGACGGACTTGTTCCGCCGGAGGCATCTGGGCATGCCATCTCTCGCGAAGGATGGGGATTTGTGCGCTGTTGGGGCTGGAAAGCTTGCCTCTCTGCCACCGATGTGGGTGTTATCATCGGTGCAATCCTTGAAGTCGGGCCTGAAGAAGCCCCCGGAGTGTGGGATGCCAAACGCGCGTCCAGAACGGCTACAACATCCAATGCCGACGGGTCTACCGAGTCAGATCTGGCCAGCCTGCTACCCCGGTTTTGGAGCGCCTACGACGCTCTGTCATTGACTTCGGAGTCGCCGACGCTCCTGCTGTCATCTCTCCCTCTCGCCCAGCACCTGCACCGGGCTATCCTTCGCACTGGTACTTCTCTACTTGCAAAGCACCAGATCCGTCATCTGCGAGCGTTCCGCATCGCCGTTGTCAAAGATGGTCCGGACGTGAAGCTCTTCACCAATCCGGGGGCATTAACAAAATTGGCCTTGTGGGTTGCTGAGGCGATCCGGGTACAAGAGAGGGAACGAGGAGACTCCGTCAAGGTAGGACGTAGGCGGGCCCTTGGCACGCCGCTTGTTCTGGCCGGCCTTGACGAGGACCGGGGCTTGTATGTGGTCGTGGGTACCGGAGGAGGTGGTGGAGTGGTCGACTTTGCCGCCCTCGCCAAACGGCGAGAGGAACGAAGGAAGAAGAAAGAAGCCAAGGAGAATAAGCGCAAGGAGCGGGAGGAGCGTCGGGCGAAGCGCGCTGCCGAGCGCGCTGCCAACGGTGAAGACGACGATGAAGAGGAGGAGACGGAGGACTCGTCGTCTGAATCCGAGTCCGAGTCTGAAGACGAAGAGGACCTGCGCAGCAATAAGCATCTTTTGCGAAATAGGTTTGGAATTGCGTTCCAGGAAGTGGTGCAAGAAACCAGTGCTCGAGTACGCATCGATAGCTTTGAGCACTGCGTGGTGGAGGTGCAGAAGGAAGACTTAGGAGGCTTCCTGGAAGCGCTGAGCTTCCGCAGTGTCGTCGGGTGAAAGAGTCCATCCTGACTGTCTTTTCTTTTTCCTTACGTCATGCTCTTCATTCTACGTTGATCACAACGTGTCTGCTAATGCTTTCTCTCCTATGTCCTGTCTAGGGTGGTTTTGGTTCTGCTTTTCATCAATTCGCAAGAATTGAGGTTAATCGGGGAGGAGTGTCGGGATACAACCAGGGGTTGTTGTCTTCTTTTTCTCTTTTTGCTCTTCATGGAAAATACAAGGGAGGACATGTATAATGACGGATTGGAAGCCATCTGTGCGATCATTCTATTTCCTTTTGTTACTTCATTCCAGTTCACTCACGATGACCGGCTTGCATTGCTGCACATGTCATGGCGCTTTGGGGGATTCTGCATGGGTTGTTTGTTTGTCACTGCCCTGATCTTCCTGTGGATATAGCATGCGAGACAGGAGTTACCTTTTGAATTGACCAACATTTTGGATCCATCAGTTGGTCCTGTTATGATATGATGTTATTTGGTGGAGAATCCAGCTGCATCGGCTTTCTCTCCGATCCCCGCTTCCCCTCCGTTTCTCTGATTCTTTGCTCCACTTCACATTATATTAAAGCATCTCAATTGCTTCTCTCCCCAATTGACTTCCCCAAGAACCATCCCACACAATCGACTGACAATGGCCACTCCCCGCGAATACCCCGTGGTGCCCCGCGAGAGCACCCTATCCCAGCTCCCCCCCGAATCCTCCCTCAACGCCCAAGACCAAATCTCCGAGCTCCTCTCCACCGCATCACTTAGTCGTCTCGTCGTACTCGACGATGACCCAACCGGCACCCAGACATGCCATGACATCGCCGTTCTCACAGTCTGGGACATCCCGACTCTCCAAGCCGAACTGCAACAACCCTCTCCGGGCTTCTTCATCCTCACCAACTCGCGCGCCCTGCCTCCCCTGGAGGCCGAGAAGCTAATCCGCACCATCTGCGAAAACGTCCAGCAGGCCGCCAACCTCGCTGGAACCACCGTGGACATTGTCCTACGCGGCGACAGCACTCTCCGCGGACACTTCCCCCTCGAAGCCGACGTCGCGCAGTCCGTCTTCGGTCCCGCGGACGCCATCATCCTCGCCCCGTTCTTCTTCCAGGGCGGTCGCCTCACCATCAACGACATCCACTACGTCGCCGAAGGAGACAACCTCGTCCCAGCCGGCGCAACCCAGTTCGCCCGCGACGCAACCTTCGGGTTTAAGAGCTCCAACCTCCATGACTACGTGCTCGAGAAGGCGCCGGGACGGTTCACCCCGGAGCAAATTCACTCCATCACCATCGAGGACATTAGAGTCAATGGACCCAGCACCATCTGCGACAAGCTCCTCGCTTTGCCGAAGGGGAGCGTAGTGATCGTCAACGCCGCGGCGGAATCAGACATGCACGTATTCGTCGCCGGCTTGCTGAAAGGTACCCCTACACCTACCTCTATCACCTACCCCCACAAACCCATTCTAACCAATCTCTACAGCGAAGTCCCAATCCCAAAAACACTACCTCTACCGCACAGCCGCCGCCTTCGTCTCCACATCCCTCGGCATCCGTCCTCAAGCTCCCCTAACAGCCGCCTCCTTCCCCGAACCCCAAATCCAGACCGGAACCCTCATAATCGCCGGCTCCTACGTCCCCAAAACCACCGCGCAGCTTAACCACCTAATAACCAAACACGGCCCCACGGGCACAAACACCCTCTCCATAGTCGAGCTCGACGTCGAAGACATCATCGCCACCACCACATCCTCATCCTCATCTCTGGACCCCATAATCGACCAAACCGTCTCCTCCGTCGAATCATCCCTTCTCTCGGGAAAAGACGCATTGGTCATGACAAGTCGCAAACTCATCACGGGAGGTGACGAACTCTCCAGTCTAGCGATAGGGGGCCGCGTGGCGGAGGCGTTGGTGGAGGTGCTGAAGCGGGTGAAGGTGCGGCCGAGGGTTGTTATTGCCAAGGGCGGCATTACTTCGTCTGATGCGGCGACGAAGGGGTTGGGGATTAAGCGCGCGATGATTCTGGGGCAGGCGGCGCCTGGGGTGCCGCTTTGGAGGTGTGATGAGGAGACGGCCAGGCATAGGGGTGTGCCGTTTGTGGTTTTTCCGGGGAATGTGGGAGGGGTAGAGACGTTGGGGGAGATTGTTGAGGGGTGGAGGTGATAGACTCCATCGCTTGTTGATGTGTGTTGTATGTTTGATTGAAGAGAGAGGGAGATTTGTATATAGGTAGTAAGGCTACAGTATAGATGCTAGAAATTTGCTCTGCCATAACTGGAGAAAATTCAGGTTAAAGTGACCCTTGGCCACAAATTGTACCTTCATTTGCAACTAGACCTAGTAACTGTAACTGTAACTCTGGCATACACACCAGAACCTAAGGCAGACCAGGGGGGGATGAAACGCTATGTACAGCTGCAGAACTATCTGGCCGGGTCTGTCTCGCCTCACTCTCTCCATCCCAGAGAAAGTCCGGCTCTTACAGCTGCTATCATATCATGGCTGGCCGTATTCTAATATACCTGCATGAGAGAAGAAACAAGAAAAGAAGAAGGGAACGCAATACGATGATGACAGATGGGGCAAATGATGGTGTTCAACGGCAAAAGAAGAAAAAGAAGAGTAAACCAACCTTGTACATCTGACCTCCCGGTTATCCGAGCTGGTGATCGCAAGGGATATTGCAATGCATACCAGATCAACTGCGGTGATGGTCAGAGTCAGTCAGCTGGGGTTATTTGCTCAGATCATTAATGTATGCTCATCCAGATTGGTGGGATTTGGTTGGAGTTCAAACCCGGATACCGTGGTGTTTTATATGGTTCGTGTCTCTCGGACTGTTTGTTATGGGGGCCTGCCCCGGCGCGAGTGGGAGCTTCTTCAGACTTCATATGAACTCAAATCAGGCGGGCATTGCTGTATTGGCGATTCCGTTGGAGGGGACCTGGCGTTTGGCAGCGGGGTGGGACGGGTCCTACGCAGACAGTCGATATCAGTCATACCCACACACGGAGAACGATCGAGCACTAGGCGACTTGCGAAGAGTCGAAGTTCGTATGGTAGCCGGTTCGCTGCTCGTAAGCTACTTTGGCTTTCTTGCGTGCACTTACGTCCAAGGATTCGATGTTGCGCTTCTGGCCGCTGATCTCGGTTTTCTTGACGATCTTCTTCTTCGGGCGGGTTGGGCGAGTCTCTCCCGGTTGGAACACGTCCTCGGGAAGGTCGAAGCTGACGGGAGTTAATCGGTAACTTGTGCCGCAGGGAATGGGCCACTCACTTGCGAACATGGGTGATCGCTAGATCATTGATACCGGGTTGGTATCCTGGCCACGAGGTGCATGTCGACTTGAAAATCTGGGCATCGGTCGAGATATCCAGCGACCGGGAGGCACCTACAAAGTCAGTGGATTCACGAAGGTGGACGATCCTACATACCTGGCTCGAGTGGCTTGAGCTCCAACCCAATATAGTAAGTCGTCGTGTACATGACGTGAGTGTCATCGACGGGCTTATTCTCGGCTGCTGCTACATCAGTGTTCTCCGCCCCGTTCTGGGCTGCAGCCTGGTGAGCCGCATCCTTCATCTCATCGGTGGTCTCAGTCTTTGTTCCCTTATCTTGGTACTTGGTAGACCCGGTCTTGACAGCCTCGATTTCCTCCTCCGACGAGACACGATGGACTCTCTCGAATCCCTTGGGAAAGGGGTGAGCAATGGCGATAGTTGCTTTCCTGTCTAGTGCTCCAACAAGATGTCTGATCTTAGATTCAACAAGACCCGACCACACCGACTCCGCCTCCTTGGTTCTGCTCGAGGCGGTGATGCTGAGGTAGTATTTGTAATCCTTCGTGAAGAAAGTGTGTCGCGCGAACAGATCTTCCCAGCGCAGCTGTTTCAAGAAAATCTTGTCCACAATATCTCCACCACGCTGAAGTTCACGAAGAATAACTGCCTTGGTGGACATTGAGACGTTGTGGGTCGCGCACATGGAGGGGTAGGCAGGAGTAATGATAGGCATCAGGTGGAAACGGTCGCCGTGGTAAATCTATTTGTTCGTTAACTGCCATGCCAAATACCCTGTATGTTGCTGTGTCTTGTTCTTACCTTCGGATTCCAAACCTTCATCTGAAGAGGCCCATCTTCAATCGGCTTCAACAGAACCGGCTGAGGCCAAGCCCACTTGTTCATGATCCGAAAGAATTTGCCCACAATCACCGAGCCAGTAGCCTGGGGATACAACTGACACACTCTGGCCACCAACATAGCCCAAGCAACACCACCCGGGAAACCGACAATATTGGAATAAATCGCACGGCCTGTTCAAGATTTAGTAAATCCCATTCTAGAATAAGGGGCGAAGCGCTTACGCTGAGCCCAAAGCTTGATGGCGCGCAAAGCGAGCCGGAATGTTTTCTGCTGAGGTACGAGCTCCAAGATTTCATCCGTCACACGAGTGCCGTTGAGCGATCGCACCTCCCTCTCATCCAAACCACGCAAATAATCATTGTTCTTGAGATCCAGATTCATAGGAATGGAAGGAATTATCAAGCGAGCAAAAATCAGATCGATACTGATGCCGGACAATTCGAGCTTGATGATCGGAACGTAGGCGTCTGGGACCGGGGTCATCTTCTCGATAGCTCCCGGAGCAGCCATCTTCTCTAGAATTGGGGGGAAATCGGAAAAGAAATCATCGATAATGACATGCTTTGGGCCAACAACCAAGGTATCAATATCCGAGCCCGGCCCATAAACGCCCAGGCGATAACTTCCGTACGTGAAGATCTTCCCTCCGGCGGCCTCGACAGCTGCTTGGGAGAGGCCCTTCTTCCGACTGACTGTTTTAACGAATTCGACGGTGACACGCTGGATGAGCTGCAATACTTGTTTCCTATAGCGCAATTGCATACTTAGCGCCCATGCTCGCCGACCTTCACGAAACCATCACGGATCGGCCGCTTACCTTCGTTCCGTCTCCGCAGGGCTCTCAAAATTATTCTGCACCTTTAACTCCGTGATAAGATCATCGTTTGCTGCAAGCTCGTCTGGGGTCGGTAGAACGGTGGAGATGGGAGGGGTAACTCCCCATTGTCTGACTGGTGGTGCCGCCATACTGAAAGTGTCCAAGTAAGTGAAGTATTACAGAAGCATGCGCTTGCGCCGTCGACCAACAGAAAGCAACTCGGCACAGGAACGGGGTGACAAAGGAACGACTAGAGAAGAAAATGAAGATTTACTGAGACAAAAAGAGATATGTGACCGACGAACCAAAGACGAAAGAAACCAGCGAAAGGAAAGGGAAGAAGGGAGCAGCGCAGAGGGATCGGAGTTGGGAATGAGGAGGCGCTGCCTGGCCGAAAAGAGCAAAGGTTTATCGCCTGCTGACTCAGCCTATCAACGATCACGTGGGACTGCCAATGGGCATGTAACACTAGGGATGGAGCTGTCTAGACGCCACCAGATGTTTTGATTCTTAGTATATTTCAGTCTGGAGATATGTATGTGTTGTGGCAGCGCGAGAAATGAAAGAGATGTTGACTACAGATAAAGTAACACCAGAAACTCGCTACTACCAAATACTCCGACATTGATGCCGACGATCAACAACCAATCACTTGGCGTGTGTCGATAACACAGTCTCCCGCTTATCGGAGGTAAAAGAAAGGAAGACAAAAGACATGAACAACTTTCAATACCTGTCAAAGAACTCAGCCAGCTGCTCATCCAGCCATTTGACATCCTCTTTGCTTTGACCTGGACCGCCGGCCCAATCTACACCAGGAAGTGTTAGCGTACATTCTCGTTGGTATGACATGGAACACACGTACGTCCCCAGATCGAAGGAAAGACCTTCAGGGTCCCGATTCCCCGCTGCATGAAAGCAACCTCGTATTCCGAGTCTTCCGGCCTGTGGACGGGTGTCAGCGTTAGCCACACCTAAAAGGAAGGCACTTACGGAAAGTAAAGGTCCGTCTTGCTGGGTAACACCAGAGTTTTGGCCTTGATGGAGCCCAATGCTTTCTCAAAGTTGCCATTGAATGGCTCCTGCTTGGACACATCACCATTCTGCCATGTTTGCAGCATCGTCAGGAGGTTTCCAGGATCTAAAGCCTATTAGCGACAAACATACATCGGTAAAACACACAACACCTTGCTGCTGACCGACCTTTAGAAAGCGCCCAACTTTCCCAGAAGTTCTGCATAAAGTCCTCTAGATCCTTGAATCCCAAGGCGGTTTCATACAGCTTCTCCCGGTAAAAGGCCTGTGAGAATCCCCTGCACCAGTCACTGCATTAGCAGACCAAACAGTAGACAAACAAAGATCGACCTGGCCCTTACCATCCTGCATACCCCCTGCCAAACGCTTTCAAACCAACCTCCTTCTCTGTGTCACTCCAGGTCCGCAAGGATTGCTCAGCCTGAAGGAGGCCGCCATTCCCGGACCCCGCTGATGGGATGTGCTTTGCAGCCAGCAGTGCACTTTTGACGCCCTCCAGGAAGACCTTGTTGTGAAGGGAAGTCTTTGCAGAGCCACAAAAAGGGACCGCCAGGTCCATGAAGTCTGGGTACTGGGTGGCCCATTGATAGGTTTGGGCTGCTCCCATCGACCACCCGATCACTGCCCGCACATGAGTGATTTTCAAATGCTGTGTCACTAGCTGGTGCTGGGCACGGACATTATCATAGAAAGAGCATTTTGGGAAGGGCCCAGGATGGGCGTAGTTTGATGGAGAAGTCGACTGACCGTTGCCGAACAGCGCAGGGACGATGATGAAGTATTTCTTGGGGTTGAGGGTCTTGTCCTCGCCGATTAGCCAGTAGTTGTCGGAGAGCACTAGAATTAGACTATTGTTAGAAAAAGTAAAGAGCAGTCTACAGACCTCTTGGATCGTATTAAAGAAAGTACATACGTCCAGAGAACCAAGAAGGATAGACAATTGCGGGGGAGGCGGGGTCTCCAAAGGTCTTGTATGCGAGGTGAGCGTCAACAAGCTTCTCTCCACTCTGAAGCTCCCAGTCGCCCAGTTTGAAGGTGTCGTACTCTTCCTGCGACATTTTGGAGTATGCAAGATTACTGAAGGTGAGAGGAAGATAGGTTGCGCACAGGTGCAAGCTGGTGCAGTAATGCGTGAGGGGATGATTGAGGGGATGGCTGGTGCTGATGGGCTTGATCAATGGCGGCTACAGTCGGGCTGGTTAAGTTGCCGTTCCCCCTCCTCTCTTCTGTCTGTCTCTCTGTGCTAATCAAATCTGGGTATCATTATTGCCTGCACTTCCTGCTGTTATTTGCCAGCTTATCACACGGTCTCTTGGAGCGGAGGTGCTTATCGGATGTTATCTATAGAGTATCCTGATAAGCCATCTCTGGCTCGTTGTCACTCTGGTGCCGTTGTCTTGACCACAGATGCGACTCGCAAGTCCCGGTGCAAGTGTATAATAATTGAAGCCCTTAAAGAGATGCTAAGAAGAAGCTAAGTAGATACAATGGAGGCTTATGATAGTTGTAGGGTCTGAGTCATTATGGGCTATCTAGGAGGTCTGTCTAGCAGTGTCCTGAGCATTACTCGATGCCCATGCACGTTATACTAGTAGACTTCGGAGCATTGTATTATATGGACATTGAGATTAAAGAGATTGATCTACAAAACAAGATTGAAATACTCATTGAAGGACTATGAGAGAATATCTGCTAGCATCTGCTGGGATATCACGACATTCTAGCTAGATACTAGCCATGCCGGGCTAGCACTAGTTAGATAATCGCCCTGCTGTGAGTCATTCACGCTGCACCATAATAATTTCACCTGTAGACATTTCTAGTCGGGAGAAACATACCATTGATTCTAATTAGTATCTCGTGTTTTTTTAAGTTGATAAAAATATAAGCTTTCCGTTGAATTACGCCCTACCTAGTCTCTAGCCCCTCCACCATGTCTAGTACCACCAAGAAAGCCCTCCTCCTCGGTGCCGGCTTCGTCTGTGAACCCGTCATCCAAGCCCTCACCCAAGCAGGCATTCACGTCACCGTCGCCTGTCGCACTCTGCACAGTGCTCAGGCTCTAGCTAGCAACTACAAAAACACAACAGCCATCGCTCTTGACGTCTCCCAGGACGCTGCAGGTCTCAACAACGCCATTACCAAGACAGACATCATCATCTCCCTCATCCCATACATCTACCACGCCACAGTCGTGGAAGCCGCCATCGCGCATCGCAAACCGGTTGTCACCACCAGCTACATCTCCCCGGCACTATGGGCGCTCGATGAAAAGGCCAAATCCGCAGGAGTAACAGTGCTCAACGAGATCGGTCTAGATCCGGGCATCGACCATCTGTACGCTGTCAAGACGATTGACGAAGTACATCGTGCGGGAGGACAGATTCGATCGTTTACAAGCTGGTGTGGTGCGCTTCCTGCTCCTGAGAATGCAGATAATCCGCTGGGGTATAAGTTCTCGTGGAGTCCGCGAGGTGGCCTCCTTGCGTTGTTGAATTCGGCACAATGGTACAAGGATGGGGAGCTGGCTACAGTGGAAGGGAAGGACTTGATGGCTGCTGCAGAGTCACAGAAGATAACTGAAGGTTTTGATAACCTAGTCGGGTATCCCAATCGGGACGCGGTTGGTTTCCGTGATTTCTATCGTATTCCTGAGGCGGGCACTGTGTTTCGTGGGACTCTGCGCTATGCTGGGTTTCCAGAGATTATCCGTGCCTTGGTGGCTATTGGGTACTTCTCGCAGGATGAGGTTCCTGCGTTGAATGTGTCATCGTCCTCTGCAGTTACCTGGTTGCAGTTGACTGCACAATTACTAGGTCTTCCGGCCGACTCCTCAGAAGAAACTGTGCAGGATGCGGTGACGGAGAGAATTACTTCTTTTCTGTCGACCGAAGAAACTAGTCGCGTTGTGTCTGGCCTTCGTTGGATCGGTCTGTTCGATGCGAGTGTTCCTGTGAATGGGCGTGACACGCCTCTTGACACGCTGTGTGCGGTATTGGAGCAGCGGATGGCCTACGAGCCAGGCGAGAGGGACATGATCATCTTACAGCACGCATTCGACATTGAGTGGGTGGACGGTTCCAAGGAAAAGAGAACAAGCACCCTTGTCGAGTACGGAGAGCCGACTGCTCCCGGGTCTCGCAGTGCTATGGCGAAGCTGGTGGGATTACCTTGTGCAGTGGGTGTATTGGCGGTGCTGGAGGGTCGGATATCGCAGAAGGGGATGGTAGCACCTTGGACGACAGTTGAGATTGCGCGTTTGCTCCGGGAGGAACTAAGTGAGCGGTTTGGGATTAAGTTGGAGGAGAAGGTAGTCGGATAGTTTGAATTTGATCGTCGGATGTGCGACAGCTAGCAGATTCTGTAGTCTGCATTGATCGCAGTGATACTGCAGGCAATACATTTTATTGATTCCTTTTTATCAACACTCTTTGCCTGGATTGGGCCATCATACGTGAACTCTCATTCAAGCGCAAGGGCCGCAAGCATGGATAAACTGTGCTGTCAGGGCCAGTTTCCTGACAGGAAAAGCAAGCGTCCACCACAACAATGGCGCTTCGCCAGAAGAGCCAATGGGACCGCCATGTCCTCTGCCAATTATTTTCTAACTGGCAAAATTTGTAATGTCAAATTCACCAGCCCGTAAGATCAACATGATCAGCCCGTCGAGAGAATGGTATTGTGACCCAGCGGGCGTCTCTCATGTCGTGGTAAGGCCTGTGCTTTTCTTCCCGCCGGGCTCGGGCAACAATCCGACATGGGGGTGAGAGGCAACGCCCCCAAGCTTACTGCAGGCACACCTGCTGCAAGAATGTTTCACAGTGGTTCAGATGCAGCTTCCAGAGGCATGTAAGCAGCTGGGCTGACTGTTAAGCGGATCCCCGCACGGCTACCATCCGTCAATGGAACTGGGGAATGACTGGCCCTATCCATCCCTTATCCCCTTCCTCCCCATCAGTCAACCATCAAGGGTCGGTCTGCAATCTCCTATTTGAGCCGTCAAAGCGGTGGCCATTGCTCGGACTGTCCTTTCCTCCGTCTTGACTATCCACTGGGTAATTTCTTCACTGATCTAATCGACTAGTTTGTGGAGCAGGACGACTGCTGCTAAAGGATAGTCATACGCGCCAAGTCACGCCCTAGCCGGTCTCATTTCACACCATGACCAGCTGCCATTTTCATAACAGGATAATCAAAGAACTCTCAGCATGGGTGGAAGTCAGAACGAACAGAGTCGAGTCACTATAGATTTACGCATAATTATAGATCTTCCCCGCACACGAGGTATGTCCAGCCTGCATGCTATCTGTGGCTGAGCACCTCAGCCAGAAAAGAGAGAATGATCGCCGCACGAGAACTGCTCCGTGGCAGGAAATGAGACCGGACGCTACTAAACAAGCGCGATGATCCACGGCTCACGCCATTCGTCCAATCACTTTAGAACCTGCACACCATCAGCCACCGGCGTGTGTTCAATGGTGATGGTGGTTGCAGGCTGATGCATGAGCACCCGTTCTATATTTGTCCTCCTTTTTTTCGGCTGGGTTTTGCAGTCTCTAGTAATTGTTTGGTCTAGAGTCCGTCGAGGGTTCGTACCACCATGGCTCCATCCTTGCTTATCACGAAACACCTTTAATATGTAGCTGTCGCATTCCTCGCTTCACTGTTTATTGCAGGCTTCTGGTTTAATACTTGAACTTTTTCGCTTCCAGTGAATTAGCTGCCTTCCCGTATTTTCATACTGCTACTACTACTCAAATAATGATGTGCTAGACATCCTTCCTACTACCCCATGTTAGAGCATCTACAGCATCTGTCGTGAGCGAACCTTCGCAATGGCATATACCGTCGCTTCCACGGCATCAATGAGCACATATGGATGGGATTCCACTCCAACCCTCTCACCACATTACTACGGTCTGTCTCCGCAGCCATCACCTCAACCCTCACCACAACCACAACTGCAACAGCCACACCTACAGCTGCAGCTGCAACAAGATCAAACCGACCAAGAGACAGCCAGCACATTCTGGCGATTCCTAGCATCATGTTCCTCCTACCTCGTGCTAGCAGGGTACGTACAAACCCTACCACTTCATACAAATACCAACTAAACCCATACAATCCAAATAGCTTCTTAGTCCTCCCTCTAGCATTCAACACCGACGACGAAACCAACAATGAAACCACAACAACATCTTCACAATTCAACTCCCACGCCGATCCAACAACAACCATAATCGCCGCATCCGTGCTAATCGCAATCGGCTACACAATAACCCTCATGCTAATCTACTTCCAAAGACACGAGCGCCAATACCTCCTCCACTCTATATACATGTACATATCCCCCTCCCTCCCCACCACCCTCCGTATCTACCCCCTAAATAATCATCTATTAACATGGAACAAAACCCCCAAAAAGACCAAACACAACAACCTCCCTCCTCTCCCTCCTCAACATCCTCCTCAACATCCTCTGCCGCCACCCAACCCAATCTCCGGGCCCATTATCCCCGCTCCAAACAACCAGTCTCGTGCTTCCTAGCGTCTTCGCATTCCTGTATACCCTGGGCGCATTATTCATCTACGCAGGCGATATCTTCATCTTCACCAGCAGCAGCAGCAGCAGCAGTCCTACCACCAGCGGTAGTGGTAGCAGAGGACGAGGAAAGAAGAGGAAGACTAAGAACCAAATACTAACAGAAGAGGAAATGCAACGCCAGCAGCTGCAGCGACTGTTGGATCAGAGCTCGAGTCCGAGACGAGGGCCGAGCCCCAAGGTCGTGCAGAAGACGTTTCGCGTGAGTGCGCCGGAGAGGATTAATCCTGGGAAGGGGTGGGATACGTTTACGCCGGATTCGAGGGTTGATGGAAATGGGGGTGAGCATGGGAATGGGAATGGGGGTGGGTTTGAGGGGAGGTGGGGGTGATTTAGTGAATCTGTGACTTGCTTTGAAATGGAGATCCGGGGGGGGAGGATGGGATGGGTTGGTCGAGTTGTCGGTGGTGTTTGAGGTGGTCTACTGAGTGATAAGTAGTAATTATATGAAGATAATGTGTATTGACTATGGGGTACGGATGGTGTGCCGTATGGGGGGAATGGATTGTGTTTGGTAGCCATATCCTTGTATGGCATGCGCCATGTCTAAATAGACACTGTATCCAAGAACTACAGGGAGACTGAAGCATAAACTGAGAAAACTTCGTTGATGATGGTTGGATGTTACTAATTGACTTTTAATGTACAGATACAGACAGATATCAGATGTTGCTCTATTCCATTTGCGATCTCCAGACTTCTCTTTTTACCAGAAAAATCTATTGAAAACAGTTTACGCAACGCAGGTCTAGTGAGCATTATAATACACCAAAAAAATCCTCTATCACATCCTCATCTATTTGGAGATCTCAACACCGCCGGTGGCACCGAGGACACGCTTGATGTCACCGTAGATGGCGAACTGACCAGCAGTCAAGGTACCAACCATGAACAGACGAGCACCGATACCGGCGTAGGAGCCACGGAAGCCGAGCTCCTTACCGATCTTGATCAGACGGGAGACGGTACCCTCACCGGGCTCACCAGGGGTCTTGTTGATCTTGGAGAGCATGGTGTCGGCGGGCTGGGAGACAAGGGCAGCAGCGAAACCAGCAATGAGACCGGAGCCAAGGTTGATAGCAGTCTTGGTACCATCGCTGGCGGTGTTCTTGTCGACCATACCGTAGATAGCCTCAGCAGCCTTCTCGAAAACGACGAACTTGGCCATGGTGTAGGGAACCCTGAGAAACTTTTAGCATATGATTTGACTTTATTGCAACTTTTTGCTGCATAAAGGTAACTTACTGCTTGAAGAGGATAGGACCGAAACCAGAGTAGAAAGCACCGACACCCTCGTTCTTGAGGATCTTACCGAAACCGCTCACGAGACCGGTAGCGAAAGTGGGCTGGGAGACGAGACGGATACGGGTGGCCTCAAGAGGGCAGAGAGCGATGTCAGCGAAGAACTCAGCGGCAGCGGAGGAAGCAAGGTAGACAGCGGTGCGGTTGTTGGAGGCAGTCTCGAGACCGAGCTGGTTGATCCACTGCTGCTTGAAGAACTCGTAACCACCGAACTTGAAAGCACCCTGGAGGAAGTAACCGGCGGCGGTAGGACCGAGACCAGTGAGGAGAGCGCCAGCACCCTCGTTGGCAATGACCTGACGGAAACCGCCGATCATACCACGGTTGTAGGTGACGGGGTCAAGCTGGATTCTGGTCTTGACGCTGCAGGACGAAAGAAGAGCACGTCAGCAACGGGCTTCTGAAAGGTCGTTGAGATGGAACAACAATCGAGTCGCACACTCGGTCGGAACAAGGCGCGATCGAAAGCGACAAATCGACAAATCGACAAACGGCGACATGATTCCGACTTACACATCGACAGGAGTGAGAGCACCGTGGGTGACGGAGCAGCAGACAGCACCAGCGAAGGCGAATCTGGAGTACAGCTGGAGGCCGGAGAGCTGGGGAGCAGGGGCGGCGGCAGGCGCCTCCACCTTAGCGCTGGCGGACATTTTGTGTATGGGGGTATATGAAAAGAAGAACAGGGAAAAAAAGGGAAGAGAGGAGTGTGGAGAAGAGAGGGAAGAGGGAGAGGAGAGCGAAGCAATTGAAGCTTTGCAGAGTTTGGGAAAGAGAGGGAAGAAAATGGAGACCCGGAAGGAAGAGGATTTGAAAGGGATGGCCGGCCGCTGCTTTGGCACTAGCGGCACCCGAACCCGAAAACTTTTCGCGGCCAATGCGTGCCTTGCCACAAAGCCTTTAAATCCGATCGCCCGGTCAACCGACAAATGAACGAACGAACAATAACCCCGTCATTGAGCACCAGCGTTATAGTCCCCATCTGATTGACAGTTCGAGAGGATCGATCCCTCCCTCGTCATCGCATCGAATTGTTCAGTGTTTGATGTGTTGTTGAAGATCGGTCACCTGCGGTGTTCCACCCTTAACTCCGGTTCTTCCGGGCAGGGTCTTTAGTAGGGTCAGGTGCTGGCCAAGTTGACGGGCAAACGGCAATATTTTGTGAAGTATAACGGGGTTTTCTATAGTACAGTATCTTAAGTAGAGAACCTATCTACGATGTACTCTTAAAGAGAGACACCAATCATTCTCCATCACTGTTTAATATCTCGCGACTTAATTTACCGAGGTCTAAGACAATTGAAGCCAGGTTGTTGCGACAACGGCAGCCTCAGGCATACAATGTCTGAAAAATCAACATCTACAAAATGAACATCCTACTTTCTCTGGCCATGGTTTCTGCGGCAAACTGAAACTGTCGAATTTACCCCTTTCGCCTCTTCCGAACCCTCACGACAAAGTTAGAGAAGTGTCTGGTTCGGCAAATAACCATTCCATCCTCACCATCAAGTGACGAAACCTGCCATGGCCGCCAAGCCGTGCTGCCCACTGATTGGTGCAGTTTCTCCTTTCGGTCAACGGTAAGCCGACGGAGAACTTCTGCTTGGTTCATAACGATTTGTGCGATTTTCTCCCCTCAGGCATCAACATTTTATCCTCGGAATTGGTGTCTAGCGTTGCGACGCGATTGATGCTTGACCTACATACTTAGACCCTAGACCAGTATACGTGGTGGCATCTGCAAGGAACGCTCTAGAAAACATAGGAGAACCTCCTAGGGATATGTTTTGCGCCCGAAAGGCACAGCAATCAGCCCCATCTACTATTTAAAGTATCAACACACTAAAACAGGAGGCTTTAGTGGCTGTTTTTCTGATCGACCATCATACCTTAAATCATACCAGACAGCTATCACCAATATGACGTGTTTTGCAGTATATACATTTGATACATCTAAGACCTGAACCACGGTGGAGGCTCTCTTTTTCATCACTGAATTCAATCTTTCTCAGCTTCACACTCAAAATAGGATACTTCTCCTTGCTTTTCACCCTTGTTGATACCGTTTCCGAAAGTAGAAGTACGGCATTTTCTCCATGTTATCTTTCCTCCTATGGTGCCATCCAAAGAAGAGGAAGGAGAGACAACTATGGAAGCAGATTGAAGGTTAGCCTCCGTAATCATCAAGGTGCATTTTATTGCAAGTTGAATCCCCGCTTACGTGTCCACCAACAGAAGAAGCTGAGCACTTGGACCAGCTTCCATCATGGGATGCTCCCGACAACACTTTACTGCTGCAAGCCTTTGAATGGCATGTGCCAGCTGACCAAGGTCATTGGCGTCGTCTTCACCAGGCCTTACCAAACTTCAAGGCGATTGGGGTAGACAACATATGGATCCCGCCCGGGTGTAAAGCTATGAATCCATCTGGTAACGGGTATGATATTTACGATCTGTATGACTTGGGAGAATTCGAGCAAAAGGGGTCTCGAGCTACTAAATGGGGTACCAAAGAGGAGCTCCAGTCCTTGGTAGCTGCAGCCCAAGATTTCGGTATAGGTATTTACTGGGACGCTGTCCTCAATCACAAGGCGGGAGCAGATTACGCAGAGCGCTTTCAAGCTGTCAGGGTTGACCCACAGGGTATGCCATGACCTTATTCGACTAGTTTCGGGTGCACCTGTTAACTTGGAATTGTCTAGAGCGTAATATGGAAATCGCCCCTGCAGAGGAAATTGAAGGCTGGGTGGGATTCAACTTCTCTGGGCGTGGCAACCACTATAGTTCGATGAAGTACAACAAAAACCACTTCAGCGGTATCGACTGGGACCAGTCGCGTCAAAAATGCGGAGTCTACAAGATCCAAGGACATGAATGGGCGAACGACGTCGCCAATGAGAATGGAAATTACGACTATCTCATGTTCGCCAACTTGGACTACTCCAACGCGGAAGTACGACGCGATGTTCTGAAATGGGCCGAGTGGCTCAATGCTCAATTGCCTCTAAGCGGCATGAGGTTGGATGCGGTCAAACATTACTCGGCTGGTTTTCAGAAAGAGCTTATTGATCATCTTCGAACTATTGCTGGGCCAGACTATTTCATAGTGGGCGAGTACTGGAAAGGCGAGACCAAGCCGTTAGTTGACTACCTGAAGCAGATGGACTACAAGCTATCACTGTTCGATTCCGCTCTGGTTGGGCGGTTCTCAAGCATTTCACAGACACCAGGGGCGGATCTTCGCAACATTTTCTATGATACATTGGTCCAATTGTACCCAGATCATTCTGTCGTAAGTTGATTGTCATTTTGGTGGGATCCCTTACTGACCACTAAAAGACTTTCGTTGCAAACCATGATACTGTAGGTGCAATATGCCCTTTGGCCTCATTCTACTAACATAGATCCAAAGCAACCAGGTCAATCCCTCGAAGTACGCACACCGCCCACTTTGATTTTACAGATCTAACAGATGTTCAGGCGCCAGTAACATCATTCTTCAAACCCCTCGCGTACGCCCTTATCCTTCTCCGTGACCAAGGGCAACCATGCGTATTCTACGGAGACCTTTACGGCCTCCAAGCCGATGTCAAAGATCCAATGACACCGTCTTGCAGGGGCAAGCTGTCCATCCTCACCCGAGCTCGAAAGCTCTACGCATATGGCCTGCAACGAGATTATTTTGACAAGCCGAACTGCATCGGTTAGTGCCTGCTTTCGTTATTCACTACCGCACACTGACAGGAGTAGGTTTTGTCCGCTACGGTAACCGTCGGCATCCCTCTGGTCTTGCATGCCTGATGAGCAATGCGGGTCCGTCGAGGAAGCGGATGTATGTTGGTCGACGACACGCCAAGCAAACATGGACCGATATCCTGCAGTGGTGTGATCAGACTGTTGTCATTGATGCCAAGGGACATGGAGAGTTTCCGGTTAGTGCGATGAGCGTGAGTGTATGGGTGAACTCCGAGGCTGAGGGGAGAGATAGCCTCTCACATCATTTGTATGTCCCTGCTCACAGTCTTAGTACGGATGATTTGCTGACGAGTGCTGAAACTAGTGATGAGGACATATACAAACTAGCTTAGTCGCCTCGGGTATCTGTGATGACTACTAAAAAAGCCCAAAAAAAACATACTACACAATCTTCTATGCAACAACCTCTCTAACCAACCAATCAAACCAACAACGGCGTATCAAAGCACCCAAACCCCTTGACCACACTCATCTCATCCACATCCGCAAACTTCGTCTTTAACGACCAGCCCACAGTCTCATTTCTCAAAATCTCCCCCTTCTTCCAAATACACAGCCCAAACACCCCCACTTCCGAAATCACATCCGATTCCTCCACCCCTTCCCGCGACATCAGCACATTCCCCACAACAGGCGACCTAATCCTCTCCATCAACACATACCTACCCCATTCGGATTCCGAACTCATCCCCAACAGAAACCCCGGGATATCATCCCCGTAGATATTATGCCCCCCGCCTTCCAACGACGGTTTCAAAATATACTTCCACGCGGTATCAGGATTCGTCGCTAGCCTGCGCGCATAGCGTCCTTCCTCAGAATCACCGTCCATTGGGTACATAGAGACAAATGTATCTCTAATAACCGACACTTTCTCTTCAGTATCAAGAAACCTCTCCAACACCCCCGGACCCATAAGGGCTTGCTGCACTTTCTTAAACGTTAATATATGTCCCAGCAACGACGGACACTTGATAGCCCGCGACTGCTCAAGCCTGACTCGACATTCTGTCCCCGCGGCATCATACTCATGCACTTCGAGCCCAGCACGGAAATACACGACTGATATTTCCACCGGCTGTCCTTTCCCTCTGCTACCTTCACCTTGCAAATGCGGATAAAACACCAATTCCCGCGTATTGCTAAGACAAGTCCTTTCCAGCACATCATCCCCCCACTCAACCCTATACGTCGGGACAGGAATATCCCTATCCCAAAGTGCATATTCAATAGGCAGTTCATCAGCAACGTTGAAGTTGTTCGGCTGGACAATGAAAAGCACCCCTGTCTCGGCAGCGAGATTGCACCGAGCCGGGCCATATATACCATGCACCACCGCGAGAGAATCAGCCAGGCCTTTGATATTCCCATTCGTAGGTAACGATGACAGCGTAATCGGACTCTCCCCTTTTCCCTCCTTCGCATCTGATAAGGAACTATAAACTCCCGTCCTCGTCAAATACCGATGCATATCCACCACTTTATTCGCATGACAGCCTCCCGCGCACGCGATGGTGTTGAACTCGACTTGTTTCAATTGCAGCCCATGCTTCGCATTTTCACTCTCATCAAGGCTAATCTCAACCTCATCCCCTCCCTCCTGATTGTCATTACCATTACCATCCCCAGGAACATGAAGCATGTAATCCGACCGAAACAACCCCATTGATACATCTGACCCGTATCCCCCTCCTTCTCTCTCATTCGTTATCCGAATATGAATCTCCCATAATATCCTGGCAAAGGGATCCACAGGGAAAAGAGGCCTAATGACTTTCTCATAGAGCCAGGGTTCGTTGTCTGAGAGACGGGCGTATAGTTCGTTGTAGATTGGTTGGAGGGTATGTTGCGCGTGGTGGAACAGGGCCCTGGGGAAGGGGGTGGGGAAGATGCTGGTGGAGATGGGGTAGCTGGATGTGCTGTTGGAGGGTTGGGCAAGGTTGATGTGTTTGAGATGCATGCCGTGGGTTAATTGGTAGTTGAGGATTTGGGTGGTTAGGTGGTGGCCTTGCATTTCGGGGGTCGTGGGGGGGTACATGTTGATTGTAATGAAGTTATTCAATTTGATTTTTGGGGTGTGGGTGGTTTGGAGGGTTTCGGTTTGGATGTGTAGAGGTTGAGTGTTGAAGTTGAAGGATAAGGCTGAGAGTATGTGCACTGCCTCGTTCTGTGGGTTTTTGGCTGGGTTGGGGGTGATCATACTACTACTTGGTTGTTTTGGCTATTGGGCTGGTGGATGGAGGTGTGCCATCATTCTATACCACTTTTCTAGTAGTTGTTTAATTTGGCAATTGGGATGGTTCAGGAGGTATATCACTTATCACCAAGGTAGTAGATGGTCAATAGATGATGGTGAGGGGGTGACTTGAATATGGAGATAGGATAGTGTTGAGTATATATTGAGATTTGTAGCACTGAAAGTACTTATACTAGTTGTTTGCCAGCCTTCGTTTAACATCTATACCGTGAAGTCCTTATCTTATCGCTTGATTTCAGTGCAAAAAGCCATAGAGGTTTCAGACGGTGAGTAGTACAGTAGTAATATATTCTAAACTGCGAGGAGGGGTATAAGCGACGTCATAGATCTTTCCCTCTCGAGGCTTGTACTCGTTGGTGTGCAGTAACTGCATCACGACGCGATCACCTACGTACCTACTTATCATTTAGTACTATCAAAACTGAATCAAATGACAGCTTATTGAGCAGGATGTTATCTCTACAAAGTTGGCAACGGCGTGGAATCCGGCTGTGGATGCCGAGGATCACGCATTGCGGGGTCCTTTCGGCGCTGACAAACCCTTATCGGCCCGGGCATCGGTAGTCAAGGACTAACCCCACGCACTTTGTGCCTTCCACATGCCTCCTTGGCCGTGGAATCTACGTTCAGCCGGTCGTCTGCGGTCGTGGAATTAAGCGTCGGTCAACCTGGCCCGGATGGAGTGAACACCTGCGCGCCCAACTAACGCAATGTCAGGACAAAAAAGTGTCCTTGCCATCCTCATGCGACGCTCCGTCTTCTCTACCGTTTCCTTCGCTTTCAAGCAACCTGTCAAGTTTCAGTAAGTCTAGGAGTCTCCCTATCCCCGACGGTCATCGATCCACGGGGGGTCGGTGCCGGCGACCCCACGGTTAACCCTTGCGCATACTAACATCAGGCAGTAGCTGCAGGATCCCATCTCGTCGCCTAAACCTCTACAGCCCCTCTCGAGCGTTTAGCCAAACATCCACCATGTTCAAAGTCGGTGACGATTTTGAAAAGAAACAAGCCTCCCGGCCGGAGTTCAAGCGTGACGTTCCCGTCACTTTCTCGCAGCCACCGAACCCCAGCTGGAAACAGGGAGAGGGCGCCAACGATGGCGGTGAGAGCTTGGAAAAAACCACATCGAGATCGACCCTTACGAAGAAGGGCGACCGGCCGCCTCCAATTATAAGCTGTTGATCTCGGGCATAGTCCCTCGTCCGATTGCGCTCATTAGCACAAAGTCCAAGGATGGAAAGACGACAAACTTGGCACCGTTCAGTTATTCGAATGTCATTAACCATGACCCTCCGCTCTTCACGGTCGGAATTGTTGGCTCCCTGGACAAGGCCAAAGACACACTGAAGAACCTGGCGGAGACGGAGGAGTGTGTGATCAACATCATCTCGGAGCATTTTGTCGAAGCTGCCAATGCGACGGCCATCAACGCTCCTTATGGAGTGTCCGAATGGGAAGTCTCCGGGCTCACCCAAGCACCCTGTGCCGTTGTTCAGGCGGCCCGTGTGAAAGAGTCCATCCTGGCGATCGAAGGCAAGCTGGTGGAAACCAAGGAGTTCGAGAGCCGGTCTACTCCTGGCAAGAAATCGGGAGTGTTGGCAATAATTGAGGGTGTTCGTTTCTGGGTGAGAGATGATGCGATCAACGAAGACAAGAGCATTGTCGATTTGAAGGTGCTGAAGCCTATTAGTCGGCTGGGAGGCATTTCGTACGGGCGGACCACCGACGCAATCGAAATCCCAAGACCGCAGTTCTAGATTCGGCTTAGATCTTGGCCATTTCGATGAACTAGTGATTGTGGTGCCTCGTTTCTAGACAGGGATGGGCCGTTGAAAGCTCCGTATTGCCTCGGTTCATCGTATACACTAGAATAGTTACCTCGGATAGTTAGAAGATAGATTTGTTCAGCTAGAGAGTTCATAATAGATCGTGAAACTCAAAAGCCGTTATAGGGAAGCAACACCGCGATGCGCTCGTCAGCATCGCAAATTATAGAAATAACCGAAGCATAGCAAGCAGGTCGGAGAAGAGGCCGACCGGCGGTTGAAGCGTGGGGATGGGAAAGTGGATACGTGCCATTTTAAGGTAGGAGAAACTCCGGGCCTCCGGACGGAGAAAATGGAGGAGAGAGTCCACTTTTTCCATCCCCAGACGGAGTCCAGACTCCATGAGTCGAGGCGATGAAGATCCAGCTGCTTGGGACTTGGAACAACAATAGAAACAAGGCTCCTGGGATGTTTCTCCTTGGAACGAGGGTTTATCGTATCGCTCATTCCAACCTTCCTGAAAGGGTATAACTTCTGAGACTGACTCTGACTCGCTCAGATCAGTTTCTCGTGTGCAGTTCTCCCTTCCACTATGGTACGACGGTGCACTAGTCGTCTAGTCGGTACGACACGGTAGCTGGATCCAGCCCAGTACCAGTTGCAGTCCAGTCATGGCTGGCGTGTGTCCCGACTCTTAATAATAATTAAGCGGGTAACTGACTAGTAGTAACGTCAACACTTTGCAAGTCACATGGACCACTGGCGATGGGGCAAAAGACGGGGGAGACGGAACAGAGCCTGTTAGTTACTTTTTCTCACTTTGTCCCTGATCCCTTCGGTATGTGACGGGACTACGCTTAGGGTCGGATCGAATGATCCTCGAAGGAGAGTTCAAAGTACTCTGTCGTAGTCTCCTTCATCTTCCGAGTGAACGAGTCAATACGAAAGGCGAGAGAGAGGCGATAGACGGGCCAAGCGAGGCCGGTCACTAGCTACTACTAAGCCAGCGGTCATCCTCCCGCCTGGCCTGGAGACAAACCAGGCATCTCGTGATCGGTAGAAAACAAAGAATCCCCATCGAATCCAACATCCCTTCTAGGCGGTCAGGCTAGAATTGCTTGGGCCTTGCCTTTTGAGGTGGCCTTTTTTTTTCCCCGACGCACCTGAGGAGGCAGGAGAGCCAGAGCAGCCAAGGGCTTAGCTGGCCGATTCTCGACCCAACAATCAATCAATCAATTCCTCTGCCCCCTCCCGTTGACTTGTCTACTGACTGCTAGCTAACTAGTAGTAGTCCCTTACTAACTTAAGTTATACTTCTGCGTGGTGTGTCCCTCTGGCGCAAGCGTGACCAGGTACCTTACTACTAACTTTCGCTGCTCTGCTTCTCTTTTGCTGTTCCCGCTGACGCCCTACGGGGTAGAAACAAATAATATCATTTGCAGCATAACATTTGCAGGGGATTATTCACCAAAAAGGGAAAGAAGATAAAAAAAAAAGAAAAAGAAAAAAAGAAAAGAAAGAAGTTCAAAACGAGAAGGAAAATTACCAACTAAAAGGAAAAAGAAAACGAGCGTGAGACAGGGAGTGAGTAAACTCACCCTCTTTTCTCCCCTCATCCACTTCCGCTTCCTTTTGCCTCTCTATCCCGCAACAGTCTTCACCGGACACGGCGTGGGATCTTAAGACACTTACGTCCATGGATTTTTCTCTCCACTTGGTGCTCCCATCCAAGGCTCTTCCATACCGCCGTTCTCCTCGTCCTCTTCACTCTCCGCTGGCGATTCCCTTGTGTCTTATCCTTGGGAACGATCGTTCGCCCTAAGTCCTAGACCCTTACAAGCAGGTGCCCAATGTGTCGTGACCCCGGATGATAACTTGCTCGCAATGAGCCACCCTTCTCCCCAGAAGAACGGCGGCAATAATGTTCCCCCTCCCAGACAAATCCGCTTCGTTTCAACAGATGGGCAGCCCCAAACCAAGCGGCGACGAGTTAATGCGGCGTAAGTTGTCATGCCCTTTCTTTCCTCCCCATGCCTCCGGTCTGCTCATCCTGTGATGAATCTAACCTGATCGCTCCCCCGTGGGGCCAACTATAGATGTCTGACGTGTCGCAAGCGCAAAATCCGCTGCTCCGGCGAACAACCAGGTAACCACTAGCCTGATGTCTGACTTATCATGGCCATTGTTTGACTCACCTGCTCGCATGATTAGTGTGCAAAACATGTTCCGATTACAACCATATCTGCCAAGGGTACAGCGAACCATCTGCCCACGCCCGGTCTCAATCCGATGCCGCATCACGAACTCCTACAATTGCCCCTCTACCGACTCCCGGTGATGCGACAGCCTTGCGCGCGGCGCGGAAGGCCGCAAGTCGCTCCCCTAGTTCTCCGCGCCGAACCATAGTGCCAATCACTGACGGTGTGGATAAGCCCTCCGAAGCACTCAAACCGTTGGAGCCGAAGGAAGAACCACTGCCGACAGACACATCCTCGCGAACAACAAAAGAGTTCGAGCAACCGAACAACGGGGCCAGTCCAGAAAGCAGTACGTTATTGGGTCTTTTCTGGCTTCTCGAATGCCTTGTATGGGTGGCCATGGCTCACCAGGCTCTTTATCGTCTAGGTCGCACCTCGCTAAGTAGCAGCGCACGCACTCATGTGCCCTACTTTAGGTATTTTGGGCCAACAGCTATTGTCCCTGGCTTCAAACAGATGGTTCGCACACATATGTCAAGAGGATTCTCCAAGTTTGTATTGGTTAACGCCCCCCGCAGGTCGTCCAGGTGCGAGGTTCGCGCAAGAGCAATCCGTCACTGTCATCAGGTCTGCACTCCTGACTGTCCTACTCTTATTAGCTTCTGCAGGCGACTGGGTTGCGGTTCACCCACAGGCCTAGCAAATTCAGCGACACTACCTTGCACGCCCGGCTAACCCATTGTCTTTTAAAATGCAGAGTCTCTGTCTCCCCTTCGTAGTCCCAAATTCGCAGATGCGGGCTTAAATCACCACAGCCATTTACCCGACACTAGAGACACCCGTGATTACAACTCTATCCCTTTCTATGATCGCGACGATTCCCTTTCTGTCAGCAACTTAGTGATGCACCTATGTGACCTTTTTTTCGTACATCTCGGGTGCAGCTTTCCGTTCCTTCAGCGAGACAGGTTTCTGCGCGATCTGAAAGACAAAAAGGTCGACACCATGCTGGTGGATGCCGTTTGTGCATTGTCTGCGAGATTCTCCCCCCACCCGCTGTTGAGTCCGCCTCAAGCTCCAACCATCGATGGCTCTGAGCCGCAGATCGATCTGAAAAAGTCCACTCGCGGACAACCATTCGCCCACAGAGCAATGAGCGCCCTAGTTGATACTCTCTCGTGCCCGACGCTTTCCGGAGTGCAGGCGTGTCTGTTACTTGCGTATGACGAGTTCGGCTCGAATCATGACAGTGGTCTTTGGATGTACTTGGGAATATCCATACGGATGGCCCAGGACCTAGGTATGCAGAAGGTCCAGGGTTTGGAGTATAACTATGGCCTGAGTGGGGTCACTCCAAATGCAGTAATGACTGGGCAGGCTGGCAAGTTGAGAGATGACCAGTATGATGAGCCTCAAATCTCTCCAGGCTCCGCCCAAGATATGCAAGATACCGAAAGCCGACGGGCTCGGGAGCGTGAACGGGTTGACAGCTTCTGGAGTATCTTCTTCCTCGACCGAGTGATCTCGTCAGGAACAGGTAGACCAGTGACCTTACGCGACGAGGACATAGAGCTTTGCTTTCCACTTCAGTCTGAGTCCCGGTTGGCCAATGGATGGCCCGCACCTTTTCCACCGCTCATCCGTATAATCCATTTGTACGGAAGAGTGACGGATCTCATCAACGGCATACAAGATGTGAACCATGTAACATCGGATACACTGAAAATGCTGGCCGGTATGGAGAGTGATTTGACAGGTAGGTCCCACAACCTCTACATAATTCGTTGACAAAGAGCTAATCAGGCCGATCTAGGCATATACCAACGCCTGTCGCCTCGACTCCATTTCAATGCTGCCAATTTCCAGGCGTACGTCAAAGCGAAGGAAGGAACCAACTTCATCCTGCTTCACTTTGTGAGTTCCGCCCTCGGACGTCTTGATTGCTCCAGGTGACTAACCTGAACGCAGTGGTTCCATACGCTGATTGTCCTGCTTCATCAACCTACGCTTCTGAACTCGTTCGGGGGAACCATCCAACATCTTTATCCGAACAGCAGAGAACTGTCGATGTCGTCGGCCAAAACCATCGCCGATATACTGTCTTTCTCTGAACTCGTGGATGGGAGAAGCTTCATCGGCAACCCTTTCACAAGCCAGCCAATGTATATTGCCGCATGTGCTTTCCTCATGGAGAGCGCTTATTACTCGTCACCCTCTTCAAGATCTGGCTCGCCTCCGACGCAGCCATTGCTGGCAAATCAATCCAGCGGTTTCGTGATGCCGAATATGGATCCCTCGAGTGGAGCCGATCGAAAGCCGACCGCCAAACACATACTTCTTGCATCGGCCGCAAAGGAGAATTACCAGCGGTGCTACAAAGCGCTAAAGGCGCTCGAGACGTATTGGGAGGGTACCAAATACATTCTCACGGTATTAGACCAAAAGGCGAAGGGCATAGTTGATCCGCTCTTGTATACGACCGAGGAGATGGAAAGTGCAGTGGAAGTGTCTGCCGTCCAGCCTTTTACTGCACCACCTTGGCAGCGTACACAACACTCCTTACCTGCTCCAGGCGAAAGAGAACGCCCAGCAGATGCCCACGCGCATTCGGACGGAAGACGGTCGCCTAAAATTGACCCAAGTCAAGGTGAGCTTTCTCTTACCTATCTGCTTCTTGCGACCGGAAGGAAGGACGATCTAATTTGTCTCAAGCTATCGGGTGGGCTCTGACGGGCGCAACCAACTCGTCTCAACCAAACCTGAGTCTTCTGTATCAGTTACCCGCCCAGGCCGAGCCTGTGTCAGACAAGCCAACATATTCATCCCAGTACAGCCATAGCTACCCTCACCTCCCCGTACAATCTGGCGATAGTCAGAACCCGAATTCTTATCCACATTCTCTGGAGCCATCCAGAAATAGGGGGACTACGACGAGCACATCGATGGCACCCGGCCCGGAAAGATTTTCGCCGCTTGCACCCTCTGGACAAGTCACCACTTCTGAAGCCAATTTGCTCCTTGGCTTAAATACCTCTTTCCCAAGCCCCGCATCCAGACCCTCACATCCGCGACCAACATACAATCATCCTTCGTCTTCTTCTAGGTTCGAATCTCAGGCGCCTAGCTTTAACTATAGCTTACCTGCTGGCAGCGACCAGCAACACGGGGACGGCCAGATGAACGCACGGACAGTTCTCCACCCTGCTGTGGGCTCCCATGCAGGGGACATATTCATTCAGAGTCAAGACATTGACATGGCCACGCTTCAGCAACAAGATCAGCTCCCGTTCACATTCAGTGGGGAAATTCTTCCGTGGCTGGAATATCTGCCACAAGACGTTCTTAATTATTTTGGGGAACATCAAAACTACCCTGCTCTGATGAGCCCTCATGATGAAACGCCACAAGCTCCCCATTGAGTGTGTACTTTGCTTATTACCCATACGATATTACTTGCCCGAGTCGGCTTTGTCATTGCTTGTCATGATCAGAGATAATATTCCTCTGGCGTTCGGGGATATATCTACACATATTTCACGGGCGGGAACAATTCAAAACGATAAACATACTGGATTTGATGTCATTCAATGTATATTGGCTATGATTGCTTGGAAATGTTGCATGATTCATGTTTTGCATCGGCGAGCATGTCCCAGGGTGTTCACTGTATGATTCTGGGGACAGTTTGTGATATATGAGTTGTGAGCGTGTTCGTATATTTATTATTTATGAGACCTGTAATTGTAGCTAACTATATCCCCGGATTTAAGTGTTATCTTTCTGCTTTCTCCAGGTTTCAGCCTTAGTTTTCTAGTGATGATGGGGATCTCCAGGCTAGAGCGGAGCCCATCAGCCAGTCAGAAGGACTGCAGGGATGTGGTTGCCCATCACGACCGGGCGGTGAGACAACAAGCAACAAAGCATCCAATCCCCCCCGGATCGCCATCTCCAACAGCTTCTCTTTGAACTGAATGGTATGCGACCTAGAATACCATCTTGCTTCCATCTAGCGTGGCCCATCGAAGCTCAGCATTCTTCGTGAGATCCACAGGCTCACTGGCGGCCTTCTACTGGTGCTCGGATAGTAGTGGGGAACCAATTTCCTTTTATACTTTATCTTCGTCGATACTGTTCTATGACCAACCTCCATGGACGACCACTCTAATGACACCCAATTAACTGAGTATGCAGTTCCTACAGGCGAGGAAACCGACATCTCTCAAGGCTTTGCCTATGACCAGCACCCATCGGATTCCCCGAAGTTTCCGACGGCGCTATACGGACATCATGCCGAAATCGGTCCTTCCAATGAAGACACACAGATGTTAATTCACGACGGCGGCTACAACTCTTCGGATTCTTCTACGCATCACTCTGGTCACGCATTGAACGGCGATCTGGATGAAGACCTCCGTCATCAACGTTCCAGAGCTTCGAGTCGCTCTTCGGTCTCGTCGATCCCTGCCTCGGTGCTCACAAACATGGCGGATGGAATGAAGACGGCGATACATGACAATATGCTCTCTCACAATTGGCAGGACCATGATATCAAGGCGCATAGCAAGCTGGACGGACATTTGCGCTCAATGCGACACCGGGAAGCCGCGTTCCGGAAGCCAAGCTCGGTAAAAGCAATGCAGATGCACACGGAGGATGAAGGGGACGATGATTTTTTGACCCCACCCAAGCGCAGAGGGGGGCAGCGCTTCTCGGATATTTCAATCAGGTCTGCCGGTTCATCGCCACTAAGAAAGTTTCACCATTATTCGCCCTCAGGGTCTGCAGGTAAGCCCAAGGTTAAAAAGGAGTACCCCCTGGTGCTTCTTCACTGTAACCTGCTTCCGCCCTCTCTCCCAGTGCCAGGCGCAATGGGCTACCACAATCAGAAGATACTACAAGAGGTTCTGCCTCCGGAGTATTGGAGACGCTGGAAGCTGCTGGAAGAGAAGGTCGGATCCGGTGTGCTCCGTGAACGTGGGGTGCTTATCTCTCACCCGGAGGACCTGTATGACTTGCTGGAAGAGCGGCTACTGGAGAGTTTAGAGCTACAGCGGCCAAGACTGGATCATGGGCATTTTCTGGGACATGATGAGAACGACTCTGAGGGGGACGATCAGTCTGTAAGAGAAAGTGCTACGGATGAGGAAGAAGGGGAGGAGTGTCCTGATTGTGGAGGACACGTGGTTCGCCACAATAACGAAGGCAGGAAATGGGAGATCAAAGTGTTCGCAGCCAATGGGCTGATGAGAGCTGGGGCATGGGCAGCCGCTTGGAAGGAAATGGAAAAGGTCGACGTTGAGGTTGGCCTTTGGCTTCCTTCGGAGATCAGGCGAGAGTTAGAGAGGCGATTGTTGGAGCAAGAGATGGACCACTTTGAGAATCGACTGCAGGTGCCGCATTTGCAGGCGCCTGAGGATGAAATGTCCGCTGAAGTGCGCCGCCCTTCGCTACATGGCCGTACACCTTCCTCGGCAATTGAAGAGCCCAGTCCTTTTGTTCCAGAAAAGATCGAATCCGCCCCAGCTACAGAGAAAGAAGCTGCTCCAGAGCAACAAATGCCAGTGCCACAGTATGTGCCACGATCAAGTGATGATATTGATCTACAGACATTGCTGGTGAACTACGTGCGAGTATTGGCTAGTGACCGACGCAACGTCGCAATTGCCGTGCTCAGCTTCTTGGTTCTGTTCCTCGCGGTCAATTCTGGGCCCCAAGCAAACCAGTCGGCTCTCCGGCCCTTTCCCCAGGACATTCTGGAAGCCGCATCTGCTTCTACATCAATTATGTCGCCGATGCATTCTTCGTCTGCGAGATGGGATAAGCCCACGAGTTGCGCAAGTTCAAGCATTGAGACCCAGCATATTGGGGAAATAAGCTCGATCACTTCTAGCTCTCGGGAGATTCTGCAAAGCGCGACGACGACCTTGGGTTCAGTAGTGATTGCTTCCGCGGAGATTCCCAAGCCTGAATCCGATGATCCCCCAACGCCACAGGCAGAGCCCGAAGCAAGCTCTTCTGTGGAAAACCCGCTTGCTATTCGAGTTATAGAGCCGGTGACTCCAATGAGACTAAAGCCTATGGAGAATCTGGGGACGGAGGCCCCACTGGACCGTCCAGAACCAATTCAACCGGTGAGCCCGGCAATGGAAGTAGCCATCCATGCGAACCAAGAGGCGGACGACTGAACGACGTACATGAGCCATAATGCCGATAGGATGTGATTGACGACCGATATGAGATAATTATTATTTATTTTGCTTATTCTGTCTGACTTGTTTGCTTCTCTGCCGTTTGTGCCTGTTTCCGATTAATATCTCTCGATATGGCCTCTGTATTTACCTCCAGAAGTAGCGACCATCAATATGTTAACATTAGTTGCGCTGATCTACCTATCACAAACGATCGGTCAAAGTTTAACACTAACGTTGCAAGCGCGCCACTGCAGGGCAGGCTTGAAGTGACAGGTCATGGCGATAACCCGCTTCGGGCTCAATAAGATTCGATAACCTAGCACCACATCGTCAATCGTTTCTCCTCTCCTTGCTGATGCCCAGCTAATCAGCTAAACACATGATTAAACTCTGTATGTTTAGGGCCGTTATCAGTGCAGTGGCAATGCCAACTTCTGACTCTATTCCGCGTCTCCAGAGTGAAGTTCACGGCTTTTTATGAACGACATGCAAAATCCACATTTTCGCGCATCCGCGACCTGCAATAATATCTAAATTTATTGGATTCCCTAATAATTGAAGTTTGCGGTGAGTACGACAGTCTGCATCCTGCTAGGCATGTCCCTCTGCTGGTAGGCCCTGCATATGACGGATCCAACATCTTGGCTATCGGACGGCATTATGACAAGCCCTAACCATGATCTTTTCGCTATACGTCTCGGGTTCTCCATCCCTTGCCTTGATCTTCGGGCATCAATGGTATCAAGTCTATGTGCCTCTTTACTTCTGTCATTATAAAAGCCTCAAACTCCTCGCAGGATGAAGGGGACTCAAGCACGACAAACCAGTCCGCGACTCGGCCCTGTTCGACTGTATATATTCCGTGGAACTAGGTAGTTGGTTCCTTGTATATTTTTTCTTCTTTGGTTTCTTGAGCCCCAGCATGAGTATATCTCAAAGCAGGCTGGCCCTGTTGGCCCTCTGCTTCGTGCAATGGGTATCCGGCCGTGTTGTGCAATTCCAGCTAGACCTGACCTATGAAGATGTCAGCGTGGCTGGTGATGTACACAAGGCTATCGTGAGTAATGGACAGGTTCCTGGGCCCACGTTGTGGTTGAAGCAGGGCGATGATGTCGAATTTTTGGTCAACAATTCGATGTCGATCAGTACTACGGTTCACTTTCATGGTGAGTACTGCCTCTAACCATCTTCTCGGTTTCGAGTTTCGAAATATCCTTTTCTATTGAGCACTCACTGAAGACCCACAGGTATCGAGCAACTAGGCACCCCCTGGTCAGATGGTGTACCCGGACTCTCGCAGTTGCAGATCCAGCCGGGCGAGCAGTTTCTCTATAAGTGGAAGGCAAGCCAATATGGCTCGTACATTTATCACTCGCACACAAGGGCTCAGATTGATGATGGCTTGTATGGGGCTATCTACATTGAGCCGGCAGACTCCGTTGAGAGACCTTTCCATTTGATCTCTGGATCGGACGCGGACGAGCAGCAGGCGATGTTGGCAGCTGAAAAGAATACACGACCGGTTATCATCTCGGATTGGAGAGCGTTTTCCTCGCATGACATTCTCCAGATTCAAAATGAATCTGGTGTTGAGGCCTACTGTGCCAACTCTGTTCTGATCAACGGAAAGGGCTCAGTGATTTGCCCGTCCCAGGAACACATCAATGCTGTCACGACAGAGCAGCAAAAACAGATTTTGGGCAATGTGACTTTGACTGATATGGGGTATGTTATTTCCTAGTTTTGGGGATAGTAACAATGCTGATCCTGACTAGATGCCTGCCGCCCACGCCGGGTGTGGTGGGTCCGTATCCTTACGATCTCAGCAAGGTTCCCAAAGGCTTCTACGAAGGATGTACGCCTAGTGAAGGGCCCACAGAGGTCTTCAAGGTCAATGTTTCGTCGCGGTATGCTAGCTTTGACCTTATCAGTATGGCAGGCTCGACCTCCCTTGTGTTCTCCATCGACGAGCATCCGATGTATGTTTACGCAGTCGATGGCCGTTATGTTGAACCTCTGCTTGTCGACGCTGTTACTGTCCCCGTCGCCGCAAGATACTCCGTCATGGTGCCGCTCAAGTCGGAAGACCAAGCGGGAGACTATACTGTCCGCGTCGCCAACAATTATGCGAACCAGGTCATCAATGGTACCGGAGTTCTGTCATATGACACCGCTACGCCGAAGCAGATCGGTTCCTCGCAGCCTTACATTAATGAGGCTGGTTCTAATGCCACTGCTACTACGGTCATTCTAAACGAAACCGACGTGGTGCCCTTCCCTGTGGTAGCACCTGCTAAGAAGGCGGACCGGACCTACATCCTGAATGTCGAAAATGCCAATTCATCGTACACCTGGACCTTGGGCAACCAATACCCCATGTCGAACGAAGAGCTTGACCCTCCTGTCTTGTTCAACCTCAGCTCTATCTCGCAGGCGTACTCGGCAATGACAATGAACGGTACCTGGGTTGATCTCATCATCAACATCACCACTTCGGGCCAGCCTCAACACCCCATCCACAAGCACTCCAACAAGTACTTTGTAATCGGAACCGGCAACCAGCCCTTCATCTGGTCCTCCGTGGAAGAAGCAATGCAAGAGATCCCGGAAAACATCAACTTTGAGAATCCCCAGATGCGGGACACTTTCTATTCGCCAAGCTCGGCTACGGGGCCGAGCTGGTTGGCGATGCGCTACCATATCGTGAACCCGGGGCCGTTCCTGCTCCATTGCCATCTTCAGATGCACCATGTCGGTGGATTGGCGCTGGCCTTGCTGGACGGGGTGGACGCCTGGCCGACCGACATTCCAGAGGGATATCAGTTGCCAGTGATGCCAATCTAGGGACTTTTACACATTGTACAGAGGTGGACGAGAGTATCTACTGTAATATGGCCATATAGCGCCTGTCATATAGATCCGATGTAATATTATTTTATCTACATAATGAAACTGCTAGGTGTTTTGCCAATTCCCGAGTTGTGGCTCCAAAGTGAGAGTGAGAGCAATCACACCAAATCGCGCACAGCAATCGCCTGGAGTGAATGGCAGTCGTGTGTTACCGAAGCCATTCACTGCTGCTGCCCTGCCTCGACACTCGTCTTCGAATCGACTTCTTCTTCTCACTTTGTTTACTCGACTTCTCTTCTCTCCTCCCGCTTCGTCGATACCACCGATACTCTTCTTCCACTTTGTGTGATCGATCTGTCGGTCATCCAACGGTTCATCTAAGCGTTCAATATTATCACCTGCACACTACCTTCTTCTCGTCCACTCGTCATTCAGAAACATTAACTTTCACGATAATCACTATGGAGCGGGGCTACGCGCCGAGAAATGAGAATATGCACTTTGGCACCCGATCCGGGCCCAGTGCCTGCAAATCCAAAGAGGGAGTGCCTTGCTTGCTCGGTCTCCCAAGTGAAATACTTGCTACTATCTTTGAATATGTGAGTATTTAAGACCTGTCTCACGTCCCTCGAGACCCAAAACGCGTGCTGACTTTTCCTCTCAGTCTGGTGAAAAGGGCCTCTGCAGCCTGGCTGGGGTGTGCCAGCAGTTCCACGGCATGGCCGTGGCGCTGCTGTACCGCAACCTCCACCATGCAATTCATGCAGACAATCCCGTCTACACTCAGGACTCCCTGGATCGATTCACGGCCATGGTAGAAGCAGTGAGCACCAGCAACCTTCAGTACGCGTCGTGTGTCAGGGACATTGAAGTGAGGCATATCGCGCCCTACGAATCAGATAACAGACAGGGAATTGTGGTCAAAAGGCCAAGTCAGAGTTACGAGGCAGGCCGATACCTCAGTAGCCTTCTTGTCATTACTCTGCGGAAGACGACTGGTTTAACTAGCTTTAGGTGAATTGCACAAGACAGTGTCAAATACATGATAGGGCAATGTGCTAACTACTTCAGTTGGGATATTCGCCTGGAACTCACACCCTCCGTGTACCAAGCGCTCAGTAGAGTTCCTGACATTCGCGACGTCCATATTCGTCTGCCAGCACGTACGACTCCAGGACCCACCGATGCTACACTTGGACAAATGCTCCAGACTCCACATTTCCACTTCAACCAAGATAATCCGCCGCCCAGGGAAATCCGGCCCAGCTGCACTGGTGCCGAAGCTCAGTTGCTGAAGGATCTCGACAAACTTCAGCATGTGCCAACTCTTTCCCTCCTTTCGGGACTCAAGAATCTCTCGTTGTTGGATATTGAGGATCTGAAACTGGTGTTGCAACTCCCGCAGTGTATCTCGCAGTGCTCGTCAACGTTGAAGTCGCTCAAGTTGTCGTTCTCCGACGAGCTTGCAAAGTCGGCGCGGAAGAAAACAGCTTCCAATTCGGCGCCAGATGCGACGTTGACATTCGGGGATGTGCTCATTTTAGCCGCACCGCAGTGGGAAGACGACCTCCTTTTGGCTCCGCAGGCCACTCCAGTCGATCCTGCTCTGCCCTCAGATCCCGTGGTCCGAAGGGAACGCTCCATTCAGGAGTCAATTCTGGCGTACATCTTCAAGGTGGAAGATGGCGACCATCGCAACAAGTATCTGGAGGAAGCCCTGCTGGAAGGCAATGCCCGCAAATCGCAGATGGGGGACAATGGCGTTTCGGAAGAGACAAGGGACCGAAAGTTTCTGAAGTCTGTACGCTCAATGGTCCGTGTGCTGCCAAAGATGATGGTGCTTAACTCGGAAAACCCAGCCATCATCAACGTACTGCACAGGCTCGACCAAGCTGCAACTCAGTACTTGGGCCGCAACCCCAAGCAGCCGAGCGAGAGCATTGGCAAAGCGAGTGCCAGCAATTCTGCCCCAACCAGTGCTCCCAAACCCTCTCCGTTGAACAGCGGCAAGACCGAATTCTCTGTGAGCAAGAAGAAGGAGAAGTGTCCGACCGACGTAATCAACATGGAGTATCCCGACATAGTCGAAGAGGAAGGAGAAGATCAGGTGTTCATCGATGAGACACATCGGTCAGTTACAGAGGGTAGTGTTCAGGCCTTTGCGCGCCAGCCAGTGCGGGCAGCAAGGCCCAGTTCATCTGCCGATAAAGGAAAGGGAAAACAGCCGGTCAGAACCCCTCCGGTCGAGATGCGCACAGCGGAAGAGGCGCGAGAGTGCTATGTCCGCAACACCCATGGCATCCCACTGGAAAGCCTTTCTGTCCATCTCATTCCAGTGACCGCCGGAGTGCTTAGCAAGGCCGTTGACCTGACCTCTCTCCACCACCTGTCGCTACTCAACGTTGGTCCGCAAAGCACGCTCTGGTCTTTCCTCAAGCGACTCAACCAGATTTATCCTCTCCCCCTGACATCCATCCACACGGACAATGTCACGCCCGCGTTCTGCAGCTTCATCAACAGCATGGACAAGATCACCGAGCTGTTCCTGTTCGAGCGCTTCAGTAAAGCCAAGGTGGAGTCACTGGCCGCCAAGACCACCGTGAACGCAGTCACCATTCGCAAGGAGATCCTAAACAAGCACATGGGCAACCTCCAGCGATTGGTAATCCGCAACGATGAGAGTGACAGCTGGACTGCCGACCCGGCCACCATCCTACAGATCAGCCAGCGGGGAGGCAAGCTAATCGAGCTCGGAGTTTCTGTGAACAACTGCAGCATCGTAAGTCAACTCCTCTTCCAATCTAATCTGGTATAATACTAACCTTAATAGCACTATCTCATCCAACAAATTGGCAGCTTCCGCTCTCTCAAGGCGCTGCAAGTCTTCTGGTACCGCCAAGACATGTGCACGACCACGCTGCGCGAGGTCCAGCACAGCCTTATCGACGGCATCTTGCTCTTTCCACACCTCAACATCGAATACGTGGCCATGTGCCATTGCATGCACGGACCGATCGCTAACGGCGCGATTCAGATCTCCAGTCGCTTCAGACATCTGACCAAAGCGTGCGCGATCCTCCGAGAGGCAGCTGCTCAAGACAACCCTCAGTCTTCGTCTTCTTCGCAGCCAGCTTCGGCTACTAACGTCCCGCACGGCACGATGTTTCCGGTGCAGAATAGTGAAGGTGACGCGGTGCCCTTGTTTGGGGTGGAACTGACCACGCGGGCGTTGCTGAGCATCGAGGACATCAGCGGGGTGAAGATGTGGGAGAAGGGAGCGTGGGAGATGAAGTTGTAGCCGATCCCAGGCTGCTACAGCAGCAGCAGTCTGGGATCGGCTCGAGTGTATGATTACGAGATGTTTTCAGATGAAAGTTGATGAACGTGAAGGGGGACGTGATGGAAAGTGGATGCGTGTGAGAAAGAAGAATGAGAAAGGGAAGAGGGGGACAGCGAGCAGATTAAATAGATCTCGTTCATCGTGTAACACGCTTAGTCGCCTCGACGATGTAATCGAGATGATATTCACAGTTCAGAATGACATCGCATCATCCTCATCTAACATTAATATCCCTAAACAATACCTACAACCACCACAGCTAACTACACCATAAAATACTACTATACTAATACAAATAAATGTATGAGGGCTTCCCACCATCACATGCCCACTTCCCCTCTTAGTCATCGCCAGCTCCACTTCCCTCCAATTTCCTTCCCGGCCCATCAACTCCCGCCATAGGATGACATCGTTGCTCTTTTTCTTCCTCTTTCTTCTTGCTTCCTAGCTACTCTCCAACTAACTTCCACACACTCCTTTTCCATTTTTCCCCCCCGGTGCAAAAACTACTGTATATACTAGCCGCAAAAATGGGAGGCAAGAAAGCCGCCGGCGAGAACTCCAAGAAGGCTGCGGGTAATGCTCGTGTGCGTACCACCTCTATACTGATCTATCATCTCTCTGCAAAATATTACCCCGCCCCCGCTCCATCACCACCAGAACCATATTCTCAACCACAACTACATGAGTATAGGCAAAAGCTGACCAGATCTTCTATATGGGTGTAGAAAGCCGAAGCAGCCGCCAACAAAAAGGCCGCCGAGGACGCCAAGCGCGCCGCCGAGGAGGACGCTAAGTGGTCCAAGGGCGCGAAGGGTGGTAGCAAGCGGTATGCAGACCCAAGTTATCAACATATCCCCTCCAAAACCAAAAAAGCACCCACTAACATATTCTTTTTATAAAAAACAACAGCGACGACGCTGAAGCCAAGAAAGCCGAAGCCGCGCGCAAGAAGGCCGAACGCGACGCCCTCCTCGCCGCCGAAGAAGCCTCCCAGCCCAGCAAACCCAAGAACAACAAAGCCGCAGCGAAGAAGAACGCGGGACCCAGCCGAGGCACATTGGATTTGTCGCAGCTCGACGATACACCAGGGAGCAAGAAGGCTTCTGCGCTCAATGCCTCCGGTATCGACAATGCGCTCGATGCACTGTCACTTACGGGTAAGGATAGCGGCAAGATCGATCGGCATCCCGAGAGACGGTTTAAGGCGGCGTATGCGGCATTTGAGGAGAGACGGTTACCTGAGATTGAGGCTGAGAATCCTGGACTGAGACGTAACCAGCGCATCGAGATCTGTAAGAAGGAGTTTGAGAAGAGTGAGGAGAACCCGTTCAACCAGGCGCATGTGGCGTTTGATGCTAGTCGGGAGGAGATTGCGGCTGTGAAGGAGGCGGAGAGGAAGAAGGTTGAGGCGAGGTTGGCCAAATAGTTTTTTTGTTCTCTTTCTCTCTTTCATTTTGTTTGGCTGGATGATATAGTTGGGGTTTTGGTGAGGATGATATAACCGGTTTGCCCGTGGAGGGATGGATATTCTATACAAAAAGCATAGAGCGTATGGCTGATAGCAGATGAGATGATTAACGATGCAATGGTATCATGCAATCTATATCCATGTCCAATACACAATACACCACACACAGAATCAACGGATGAATGAATTACCCCATCACCGCCCTCACATCCCACACATACAAACTCTCATCCCATCCCACACTCGCACACCATCCCTCACTCCCAAACAAACACCAATCCACCCCCGTCACAAACTCCGTATGCCGGCCCATCCTCCCCAACTCAACCCCCATATTCGGCCCCGGCCCAGCCCGCATCACATCGACATCGCCCACCGCCCCCGGCGGCGTCTGATCACTCCAAGCCCGACACGTCATATCATAACTGGCACTCAACAACACATCCGACAAATGCGGCGACCACGCCACCTTCCTAACCGCATACTCATGTCCCAGCATCACCGTCTGCGGTCCCTGCCCGGGCGCCCGAATATCAAACGTGCGAATCGTCCGATCCACCCCCGCCGTAGCTATCGTCGACGGCCGATACTTGTTCCAATCCATCGTCAACGCCTCCGCCGGCGCCGTCGCCGCCATCGGTCCCCCACCCGGCACTACCCCTCCACCACCTCCTCCATGAATCGGCACCTGTAAAGTCAAATGATTCGACGCCGACGCCGGCGTCCGTAGATCAAACACCCGTAAATACGAATCCGACGACACACACGACAAGATATCTGGCGAATGCGGAGAAAAAGCCGCGCTGTACGTGCAGCTATGCGTCGGCAGAGTGAGGAGGGAATGCGGCCGATTGGGCGTCCACACGCGCACTGTCCCGTCCCAACTACTACTGCAGAAACGGTCCTTCGCGACGAGGTTCCAGTGCACGCTGAAGACTTCGCGGTTGTGCTCTTTCCAGTTTTGAATTGGGAAGTCGGCGACCTCCGTGTCGAAGAGCTTGATGCTTCCGTCGCCGGAGGCGGTTAGAACTTGGTTTTCGTGTATTTCGGACCAGGCGAGGTCGTAGAGGGAATCTTGGGTTGTGAACCTGGGTTTTTGGTGGGTTGGTTAGTTTGGTTGGGGGTAGGTGGGGAATGGGGGAAGGGATACCATTTGTAGGGAACTATTCCGTTCGGAGTCAGTTCAAGAATGTAGAGACGGCCATTGCCGACTAGGCCGAAATTGGCGGATGAGGCGACGGCGAGGCGGTTGTCGAAGAAGGGTGAGTACTTGACTGCGCAGCCGTTGAAGCCTTCCGTGCGGAAGTGGAGCATTTTTGAAGGGTATCGGAAATGGAGTGGAGATGGTTGAAGAAGTGAGAGGGGGGAATTAATTGGGGTAAGGGATCATGGCGCTATGAAAGTGAGGGGAGGAGTGGTGGTTTGATTGTTGGTGTTGGTGTTGAGATGGAGAGATTAGTAGATGATGGAGATGCAGATGGACTGACTGCGGGGAGTCAACGTGCCGAGGTTCGGTCACTATCTGGGTTATGATGGTGGCCTGAGATATACAGTAGAGACCTGAGGCGTATAACATGGTGCCTGAGGAATATGATGTGTGCCTCAGGCTAACAGTCAGTAGATGCATCAGATTTCTGCCGTTTTAGGAAACCCACTAGCCTCTCAACCAGCCTCAACACGGGATGCCTCGTATCTAGTATCGATAGTGTAGGCTCTCATTTGGTCTTGTATAGGCTACAGTGGAAATATAGACGACACAGATTGTTGTTGGCTATGAGAGTCAGCGATGCACCATGACCATAAGTGAACTACTCTGTAGTTCATGGTACCGCCATCGATTGCGGCTCCTTCAGGCCAAGGGCCCTCGCCTACAGTAATACTATACTTAGAGATAAATAGTTGTACGGGGTAGATTCATTCAACTAAGACACGCCACCTCCTTCAAGCTCGTGACCACAAGCCACAAGTAATCTACTAGGCATCACCGATCATCGTCGCCTTCTTTCCTGGTGTATGTTAGCACTATACGCTTCAATCTCTATTTTCCTCCCCTAGGCCAGTTGATAACTAAGATGGACAGTGCCGTGATTTCTCCTACCCCGGATTCCAACCAGTCAACGACACCAGAGAGCCATACGAATGATGTGACGCCGCCATTTCACTCTACTAAGAACATCTGCTCTCCCCGAAAGCATCCAGCAGGCGTGAACTTCCAGCATCAGTTGATAAAGCCCAACGAGGATCTCCAACGCTATTTGAACTTCCAGCTGATGACGCCGAAGTTGAATCGCATCCATCACCTGTTATGGCTCGCCGGTCTCCCGCGTGCAGCGCGCCCCCTCCATCGCCAGAAACTTATGAAGCGTACGGTGATCCTCACGGAATCGCCCGACGAGCATCTAGTTTGGAGCCCCGGACAAATCCTCATCAAGCCAGTGCCAGAGTATCTCCTCGATCGCAAGTTCTGGGTGCGAAACATCTGTCCCAATCGCGAGTTGTACGCTGCCGCGTGCGGGCTGCTTTTATCATATGCCTGGCTCGTCGCCGGGCTGATCGATTTCCAAAACGCCAAGGACGAGCACATTCTTCCCAGCGACGTTAAGTGGAAGGCCTGGACGAAGCTTATCCAGGAGGTTCTCGAATGGAAGGACAAGAATTATGACAATGATAACAGCAGGAGTAGTTCCCTACCCGCACAAAATAATCGCTCGTTCCAGCCCCAGCCTGCAATCATCAACAAGCGTTACGAGTTTGGCGAGTTGCGTCTTAGTCGCCTGAATTCTCTTTTCCATCCGCAACCTCGTTCTCGGGTTCATGCCGGGCTCGGCATGGTACCAAGAGTTTTTTGAGCGCAATTTTTCATGGATCCTGGCGGTACTTGTCTACCTGTCGGTTCTGTTATCGGCCATGCAAGTGGGACTGGCGACCGATACACTGCAGGGAAATCGGAGGTTTCAGAAGATTTGCACTGTCTTCGCCTTGGCGTCTATCTTCTTCGCGGTGGGTCTGTTGTGGATTATGCTGATGATGTGGGCTGTGTTGTTTTGTTATCATTTTGGATTCACGATGTTGTATCATAGGCGGATACAAAAGGAGCGGAGAGTGTATAGAAAAAGTGTATGATTATTCGGGCTAGGTTGGCAGTAGTCTGGACATGTACCGAGAGTCTAAATGGCACTTGACCGGAGAATGTTTGGATAGACAGGCTATAGTGTGGCGAAGCAAACCCAAGTAAACCACGAAGTGAAAGGAAGAACAAAGGATTTGGGGCAGAGCCAAGCAGCGTAGGTAACTTTGGGTGCCTTTTTCTTTGTTCAAGAGGCCGATCGGTGGAGAACAACCTCCCTATCCCCGGATCTTCCCTACACAAACCCACGAGAAGCAGCAATCGCTCATGCCTACTTAAGAAAGGACTTCGTCCCTCTCGTCCAGATGAAGTCGTTCATTCTTCGTTTCCATAAGCCTTGGTGATTAAACCCCCCAGGTGGCTGTGACAACTACTTCGTGCCCTAGCTCAGAGTTAAGTGTGAGAAAAGCGAGGCGAACCTTCCTCCCCTCCTCAGCATTTTACAGTTTGACACTAGTACCTGGTTCTGAACTTTCCCAACGAGATGTCATTGGACTCTCCTCTAAAGCGAGTCGTGCAATCAGTCACCGATAACATCCATGACAAGGATTCCGACGGTCATCGGGGAAAGCGACCCAAGTTTGACAAGCCCTTAGGCACCAGCGGCTCCAGCTCCGTTCCAGACACGGACACTTCTCCAGGCTCTCTCGTGTCTGATTACCACGTACAGGATGCTTTACAGCTGGAAGACGACCAACTCTGCGGCGAAAGTTCGCCGCCGCCTTATTCGGAGGCTATCTGTGAGTACAATACCTACTTTCGAGAGGCTCCTAACACACAGCCCAGCCCCCCCCCCCCCCCCCCCCCCCCCCCCCCCCCCCCCCCCCCCCCCCCCCCCCCCCCCCCCCCCCCCCCCCCCCCCCCCGCCCCCAGCGGTCTAACTTCTCATATTATACCTAGGCTCTCCAGCACCACAAGCGCTTTCGCCCGAACATTTGCCTCCAGATCCTGTCCAGGATTCTCTCCAGCAATGCCACAATAATCTTGTCCAGGACCTGCAGGGCACTCAGGGAGAGAACGCAGATCATGTATGCTTCGGCATGGTACGTGATATAGACCACCTTCTCATTCCTCCTCTCTTTTTTCTTCCTTTTCTTTTCTTCTCTCTCTCTCTCTCTCTCTCTCTCTCTCGTTCCTCTACCCATCTGGTGTAAGCTAACATGGTATAGCTGAGAGATATCTATGTTCAAATCAAGCCTGCGCAAGACCTGCACTCTTTAAGCGGTGATCAATCATTCGGAATACCTAATACGTTTGCTACGCTAGCTCTCTCTATACAATGGAACCGTGGCGACTTTCTATCAAAAACGGGCACTCCTATTGCGACATTGAACTGTGAAACCCACCGTCAACTCAGCTCCATCAGAGTCGATGAGGATCCGATCTGGCTGGGTGTGATGCCAATGGATGAACTCCAGCAGAGAATAAGAGTAGTTAAAAAGCGTTCATCTTTATCATCTTCTCTCTCTCCCTTCTCCACTTCCTCATCCGCTGATTTTTCGTCGTCAATGGAGACGTGCAAAATGAACATCTTCGTCTTCGGTCCATTGGTTATCGAGGACGTTCTGGCAAGGGAACTTGGTTGGCACAGATTATACTTAGATCATCCAGATCCAATGCCCGACCAGGTCAAGTATTATAATCCCCAATGGTTCTACACAGAGGGGACACCGTTTTACGAACGGCTGGTTTCACCACCTATACCGGGGACCGCTGATCAGCATCAGCACGATATGGATAATTCTGACGAGCCGGATGCAGACAAGAGCGAAGACGATGAAGATGACGATGCTGATGCTCAAGCAGTTCCTGATGGTTCTTCTAATCTGCACAATGAGGCGTATATCGATAGCCGCATTCGTACGGAGCTTAAAAGGTAATTTAATTTCCTTTGTTCACCTTTGCAAAAGGGACAGGAGAGTGAACTCTGTTGCAGCTACCAGCGAGAAGCGGTCAGCTTCATTCTCTCTCGAGAAACGATCTATCCGCATAGTAGTAAGAAGAAGACACTTTGGCATCTCGAGAATCGGGGTTCGAGTGAGCGCGTGTAAGTGTGAAATCTCCCAATCCTGGTTGCAACACCCCTATTCACCAGGCGGGGGGTGGGAAAGCTATAAACATAAAATTGCAGGCATGATATCCTCTCATCCCGAAGACATCCGTGGCGGCATCCTTGCAGATGATATGGGATTGGGAAAGACCCTCAGCATGATCGCCAGTATAGTGACAGGCTTATCCTGCGTTGAAACAACATTGGAAACCCCAGCAGATACGATTCCGTTTCCTGTAAAATCCACACTTGTTGTCGTACCCACTGAACGTGAGTGCACATCAATCCATCCGTGTCCATTCACAAGGACTTATCGAGCTGTAGTAATACTTCATGGCTGGATTGAAGAAGTTGAAAAGTAAAATCCACCCGCCGGTGATTTCTTCGTATATGTTGAGCTTTCCCCGCTGACACTCGCAATCAGGCATGTTACCCCAGGAACCCTGCAATGTTACAAATATCATGGTCCAAAGCGTCAGTTCTCGCTCGCATCGCCTCCTCTTATGGTACTTGCAACATATGACACTGTCGCAGCAGAATTCAGTAAAAGCGAGGGGGAAGGCGTTCTTAATCAAGTTCACTGGCACAGGTTGATTCTTGATGAAGGTACTACTAATGAGCCCTCCCACACTATTCAAGACCACTTCCTGGTCGCTATGAACCGCTGGAAACCAATGGGATGGGCCCACTGTTCGAGGGGCAGAATTGATTGCACAAGCCACGCTTAAGTTGGTCGAGAGAAATCGGTTCTAGGTATTGAACAATCTCTGGGAGGCAAGTAGGTTAAACCGATAGAATTAAGGGGCTGAACCAATCGTGGCATGATATACTATATATGAGAAATCAATGGTTGGTAAGGAGCAATTCAGAGCGATGGAGAGTCAGGGGATCGAACAGGCTATCTCAGCTTACGAACGCCTATTCAGATCACGTGTAGTAAACCATATCCTAACTTTTTATTGCCGTAATTTATTCTAATGGAGTTTTCATATTGAAGCTAGACTGCTGCACTTTTTGTTACACGGGCTATAGATCAGCCACCCTTACCAGGTACTGTAGCTAGATCCGTAAGCGAACTCTAACTAAACACCGTGTACGGTCAGAAATATCCTATAAATTTTCTAACAGATATTTTCACCATGTAACTAAGAGCATCTACGTAGTAGTATACGATAACTTGAAAATATATGTGCATGATCATCTAGAGAGCCTAATTGAACTACCGGATCACCTCTAGGGCTACTCCTACCAAGGTTACGGCATTTCAGGTACTACTTGTACTAAGGTTTCCCCCTCCGTAAAAGCTTATTTCTTTTCGTGATGAAACGTCTGTAACAACTACTGCTGTAGCTGTTAGTATGCTTAGGCATACTCTAATAATAGTACTGCTAATTCCCAGTTCTGCCTAAGGCTATTTTTAGGGTCACCTCTAGGTTCAGGAAGGGTGCAACTGGGAGTAATGTACAAATTGAAGTATCAGATGTGCAGAGTCCCAGATACAATCTATGAGCTCAAGACATATGCAAGATTCCTGTCAAATGCAGTCGTTAAATAATAGTTCAGAACTGAATAGCTGTAGAGTCCAACTAGTTAACGTTAGTTAACTAGCGGTGTTTTCGGGGGTACTTAGTGACGCAGCGGATGAAGAACAGCATACACAAAATTTCGTGGATATATGGCTTTATTTATTATTTGAGGATCTAGTAGATATTGTGTAGTGTATATTGGCTCAAATACATTGGCTCTGTTGTCTCAAAATATACTACAAGTGATGGAAGGAGACAACAAACCATTGTCAATGTTGTAATGATTGAGCGGTACCCGGTGGCCGCTAGTAAGGCCTAAGGGCCCCCATTAGTTCCTTTCCCATACCAGGCAAGAAACCTTGTTTATAGTAGTAGATAGATAAGTGGATATTCCAGATACTACTGGCTTTCAGAAATATGCTGATGGGGAGTAATCATCACGGTCGTGAACATCAATTACCAAGCGATTTGGCAGTAAGTTGCCCTTACTAAAGCGGCGATACCCGTTCTTCAGGTAAATAGGACTCATAACAAGCCATTCATTCCATTATTAGTAATACCTACATCTGGATTATTAGAGGCACTGAGAAGAATACAGAAAGCGTACAAAAGATGACAGACTTTAAATGAATATCTATATTCCTTCTGAAACGCATCAAGGTAATAAAACACAGCTCCAAGGTCGTGTATGTCACACTGACACCGCTCCTACATTCCTCATCCAATTCATTCAGGGATCAATCGGATTTACTAGTATCAGTTCGATTAATTACAATACACCAAACATCACTTAATGTGCCCCAGGCAACTATCCAGCCTCAGGTATGGATCGAGAGCCCTAACAAATAGGTTCATGCCTCAGGTATATATTTCACAAAGTAGAAGATCCGACATGGCTTCTAACTCAGCGGAATATAGGATTGTGCCGATATACCGAGTAGTATCTGTAGTTGTCGACCTTCTTTCTTCCCCTACCCAAGTTCTTTCACTCCACATTAGCATAGCCGCAACTCAATGTGACTGCCCCGGGGATCACCAGCTTGATTAGTAGCCTCTGTCGGCGCTAAATATAATACTGAGACCCCCCTCCCCCCAACAGTTTATTGTTGATTAATCTTTGACAAAACTGAGTCGCCTTTTACATACTATCCTCATTCAGTGAAACAAAGAATCTCTTAATGCTGCAGAAGATCCGATCTATCGAGCATAATTCCGTATCTTGCCTACGGAGGATCCCAGGAAGGCCAAATAATCCAGTGCCCTCTTGCGCTATAAGAATACCCACATCATCCTGTTCAGTTCAAGGCTCTAGACATTCTTTCGACGTGCTTGAAGGTCAACGCAAGTTGATGTTACTGGTAGTGTCTCAGCTCATAGCCAGTGTGATAAAAGCAGCCAGAGGTCTATTTCTTTCCTTCCCTCCTCAGCCTCTTACAATTTGACACTATTTATCATAAACCGTTCTCCCGAGATGCCCTTGTTTATCACTGATAATGAAGACGAATATGTCAGATTTGTGAACCAAGTAGAAAATGGTTCACGGCTGGACGAAGGTCAATTGGGGAACGAACTTCCTCCTCCGCCGACTTATGAGGAGGCTATCCGTGAGTGCATACCTACTGTCGAGGGGATCGTTTCCCTGTCTAACTTCTCGTCTTATGCCTAGGCTGCCCAGCACCACAAGCGCTTTCGACCAGGCACTTGTCTCCAGATCCTGTTCAGGATTCTCCGCCGCGATACCAGAATGGTTCTGGCCAGTCACCGTCTTGCGAGCAGCTAGAATCGCCACCCACACCGGAAATCGCTGATCAGAACGAGAGGAATGACTCTGACGATGAGGGCGAAGTCACGAGAGAAGACGAGGACGAAGGAAAACAAAGGCGAAGACGAGAGCGGAGACGTGTGCGCAGACGAGAGCGACGACGAGAGCGACGACGAGAGCGACGACGAGAGCGACGACGAGAGCAGAGGCAAGAGCGAAGACGTCAAGGATGACGGCAGTAATATTTACTCAAGCGGTCTCGAAGGGAATCGTTGAGTAGGAAGTAGTACTAGGATGTGGTTGAAGAATGAGGATGGGTTTGTAACTCGTAATAATCTGGTGAGCCAGTTGTAACACTCATTTATAATGATATAGTATATGTTATCCATTTGTGTTTAGCAGTCGCAACGATCATTCCTACGTCTGCAGCATGCGTTGTTTCCTGTATTTCTGCGAGATTTGAATACTTTCGACGACATTCAGGGCCATGATATATTGCTTCAGACGGTAAATCATCTGTGTAGGCAGCCACTTGCAGCTCATTCAACTCAGAGAATGCATAAGAAGTTGATTTACAGCCGTGGTTGCACAACAAAATAAGCAATGTGAATGGGATCCTTTCCTTTACCATTCAATCCCGACGAAAGAAAGAAAAAAGAAAAAAGAAAGAAAAAAACTGCAACTCGCTGTAGCCTTTACTCTGAGCATTCGTGTCTATCCCTAACGATTTACTGAGATGTAGTACTGCTCTATGGAAGATGGAGTTCACCAGGTGGTGAGCGCCTCATATGCGAAGCCGCCGCGCATTCGCTGTGCTAACACACGACACCAGACATGTAAGATATCATATGGCCTAGTGCGCTCGGATCATCTCATATTCACGATGTTGAAGCGTATTTCACCAGTGACGGTGAGGAAGATATCCTCAGCAAAGTTCACTGGCACAGCCCGTTGATTCTGGACGAAGATCAAGGCAGGTTCTCCTAGTCTTCAAAAAGAGAGTATGTTCTCATCCCCTAAAATCTCTTGGATATCTTGGAATTTCTAAGCCTCAGCACTCTAATTTTATCCTCGACTTATAGTATCGACTAATGCTTCATGAGACTATTATCCACCCTTGGGAACTTCCTAGTGCCTCAGCATCTTTAGAGTTTAGAGGATTAACAACGGCATCTACAAGAACTCGGATACATGTGTTTGTACTATAGAATACAGAGAATTTAAGTATCTTATTGAAGCTATTATGGCTTTGTTGTCGCTCCACCATGCTCAGTAAACAAAGACGTGAAAATGGATGTATTCATTTAGTACCTACCCGGTGGCCGGTAAGTCCCGCCGCCATTCGTCTGTCTCTTTGAACTTGCCCTCTTCAATAACCTTGTGAATATACTGTCTTTGTCCAGAATCTAGGAAAATAGTGAACAGTTCAATATTAAATAGCCATGGCTGTAAATATGAATCAGCACGCGACCTGGCAGGTACTTTGTTGCTCCAAGTCACCAAAGCGGCATCACCCGTTATTCGTACGCAGGACCTATTATACTTAGCAAATTCCAGCTATGTGACTTCTACTGCTGCAATGAGTACCTATATGCGAATATTCACATACCCCGATAATATACTAATCACAAGCGAGATAACCAACTCCTCCGCAGAGTAGTAGATCTATACTTTCCCAAAACGGATGTCAACAAAACACAGCTCCCATGTCGTGCATGTCACACTGACGCCACTCCCACATTCTTCTCCATCCACTCATCCCACTATCAATCAGATTATTCCTATCCACCAAATCAACTAATCAATCGATTAAGTAATTAATCCATCCACCATGAAGCCATACACAAACCACAACCCATCATCTCCCACGCACCACCCGCTCCCAAAATGAAAACCAAAGAAGACAAAGATCCCATCCCAGCCTCCACCTTCCTCCACAGCGAACTCTACCACACAGCCTCCCAACCGGGTCTCCGCTCCCTTCCACCCAGTCCCTCCCGCGACTTCCTCACCCTAACCTGGGGTCCAATAATCTACCTAACGGCCTACACACCCGCCTCCAACAAAATCCTCTCCAGCTTTTTCCAATCCCTAAACGCCGAAATCCACGACGCCATCCGGCGCGTTCTGCCCGGGAACTCTTCCCAAATCCGACTGTTGGAATCCAGCTACGCGGCGAAGGTCTTCAGCGGGGAGAGGCTATATGGAGATAAAAGCGTGGAGGAGATAAGGCGGGTGTTTCACGATTGGAAGAGGGTGGATTTGGCATTGCCGGCGGTGGAGTTGCCTGTGAGGTTGAGGGTTTGTTTGGTTGTTGATAAGGGTGTTTTGGAGAGGTTTGGGAGGCTGGTGGATGGGAAGGGAAATGGAGGAGAGTGTCCGGTTATTATGGTGGAGGAGAACTTTCCTGATATTAGACGGAGGGATTCGAATCCGGCCGATGGAGGGTTTCCGGGCTGGACGTGGGTGGCTTTGCAGGCTGTAGTAGAGGTGTTTGATGGGTTGAGGGGGGCGGGGGGGTTGAGGAAGTATCATCGTGAAGGGGAAGTGTATTTGGGGGGTGGGAGGTGGGGGAAGTGGGGATAGTGTGGATCACTGGGGTTTGGGTGTGATGTTTATTGTATGATATAATGTGTATACTACTAGGTTCGTGGGTCAGGAGCATTTTTGGCGTCAGTGGTGTACTTTGGTTCAAGAGACGGAATTGTATCTTCATCTTACAATTATGTTTGAGATAATACTTGCAATTTCGTGTATGCTGGCTTGTGTTACTCACAAAGAAATTCAAAGTAGGTCAGGAGAGTATCTTGTGTTGCTGCTTCCACTCCTGATTGATCCCTCGGTAATCATGCACCGTATAGTCTGCAAAAACCTCCCGCAACCAGCTTCTCTTCCTCCATCTGTTAATCCCCAAGTCCATCAATAGCATGTCCGAATACGGAATCGCATCGAATATCGTCTCCGGATACCAGCTCGCGAAACCACATGGATGCCGGTGTCTTCCATATCGACTTGTCAATGCTGTCTGATAACACACCTTCGATCGATCAATTGGGACCTGGTTGTTGAGATAAGCATATGTCCAGAGAGCCTGCACCTCAATCAAAAGGGCATTGCTTGTCCCATTGAGCATTCCTAAAAATGCGATGGAATGGTCGCCTTTGGCTGTCATTTCCGGAGACGCAATGCCACGATAAAGCCGGAATGGACTAAGCCTGGGCTTGTACGGCGTCTTCACAGCTGGTTGGTGACGCAAAGCTGGAAACCGATCAAGTATCTCTTCATCTGCGGCGCGGTCGAAACGATCCCAGGCTTTTCGGTCTCTGAAGGGATCCCTAGTGGGAATCCAGAGACTGGAAACCAGTCCCTCGGGCTCATAATTAATGCCTGGGGCTAGCTTCCATCCGGTTATTCTAACGAGAGCATCGGTTTTTATGACTGTACCATCGGTAAAGTTGACTTCGCCTTCTGAAAGATGCGATATATCCTTTCTGTTTACGCTCACTTGCCCTGATCGAACATAGTCATAGATATTCGTGGGGTAATTGAGAACTCCCAGACGACCGGTCCAAAACAAACTATGACTCAACGTTAGTCATAAGTCGTGAAATCTGGTTGTTAGGGATCTTGCCTTCCATCTGGTTCCAGATCCTTCAACGCAGCTTCTTTCCGGTAGCCATTGGCCTCAATGGCATCCCCATTTAGTTTATTCCAAAATAACTGCACTAGCCACCTGCCTAGCGCTGTTCCATGGAGCAGCCCCCGCACCCATCCAAATCCATCACAGTTTCCCCAGATGCAAGGGCTGAACCAGGTGATTATTCTAGTGGTTGTTAAGCCCTCCAACTTTAATCGCCAGGGTCCAAACCAAAGCCACGGCAATGCCATCCAGACGGCACCCCCTCCGGACTTGCGAATGATCCATTCCACACGTTTACCATGAGAGGCCATAAGATACACGGCATCATACCCATACTTTGAAGCCCCGATAACCGTCACCGACTTTACAGCTGGGTCATTTGCCAACAGAGCGCCCTTGTTTCCGAGCTGAGAGTGATTCATGATAGGTCTCCCAAAATTCTGCTGCCCCGGGATTGGGAATTCATTCGCAGTCGAGCACAGTCCGGGGCTCATGATGAGCTTGCTGCACTTGTAAAGCACCGAGCCGGTGTGAACCTCCCAGAACCCATCTTCTTTTCTAACTGTATGTACACGTGTGTTAAATCGAGTTCGTCGACGAAGGTCGAAATGATCGATGAAGTTACTGAAATACTGCTTGAGAACATATCCAGGGATGGGAGCTTCCGGTTGGACATCATATTTTGTTAAATCAAGCGAGAAACTCGATAACTCGTAGGTTCCGTAGAGATTGTTGGTATGGAGGCATTCATAGCTATTTTCTGCCCATACGCCGCCCACAGCCGAGCGCTGTCAATGCAAATCAGTGGACAACTGCATAGACTGTTGGTGCGGGATAGAATACCCCTTCAAGCATTAATAGATCTGTTTCCGGCGACAGCTCAAGATATGTCTTTGCCGCTGCAAGGCCAGCAATCCCTGAATATCGCGAGTAAGCATCCCTTTCAATTCAGACAATGGCATTTGAAGAGGAACCATACCTGCTCCCACAATAATCACTTCGTGTTCCTCCTGAGGCTGCATTATCACCGTCAATTGCTGGAAATCTTATGTCTGGCTCTCTTGGGGTCACGAAATAGCAGTAGTCGTGCTTTCAGAAGCCTTCATGAAGCGCATAACTTGCACTCACTCTTCCAGATGATGGCAGCAAAAGTGAAATCCCCATCAAATCAATCCATCGTCTTCAATCTATGACGTAGTGCGCTGATTGGCCACTTTGAGAGCAATCACGTGGCGATAAGGATATCGATTCCAGTTGCAGCAAACTTTCAAATAAACCTTCAACATCCATCCCCAGCTTCCACTTCCACTTTACTCATGGCTTCCAGCTCGATCTGGAGATCCTCTCCATGGATCGCTTCGTCTCCCGGAAGAGGCCCAGGAGCCCTCCTCCACCACCAACAACCACTGACGAAGATTCCACCGACCTGAAATTGGCCCTCTTGATGTCACTCTTCCCAACCATGGCCCTGGATACGCTGATGGAAATCTTGGTTTCGAGCAATGGCTGCGTGCAAACAGCTTCATCCATTATTAAAGCTCAAACTCAAAACCAAATCCAATCTGGCTCGGCCTCTCCGTCCAAGAAACGCGCAAAAACCGTCCTAGGAAACCCAGCCATCCAAACATGCTTACCATCAACTTCCCCGACCACCATCACCAGACCTCTCACAAAGAAAGGCCAAACCCTCCACCTCTATTCCCCTTCCTCCATCGCCACTCACACTCCCTGCACCCTAATCCACAACTTCCTCCCCCCATCACTCGCAAATGACCTCCTCACCGAACTCCTGTCCGAATCCCCACACTTCACCAGACCCCACTTCCAACTGTTCGACCGAACAGTCCAAAGCCCCCATTCAGCCAGCACTTACGTCTCCACGCCAGAAGACCACCATTCCCACACCTCGGAATATACTTACGGCGGCACCTACCGCTCCAACGTCCGGCAAATCACCCCGCACATGCGCACCGTCGCCGCCAAAGTCCAACACACCGTAAACGAACAGATCAAAGCCCGGGGCCCCAAACTGCCCTTTCAGTCACCACTGGAATGGACCCCCAACGCTGCATTCGTGAACTGCTACGCTGGTCCCACTGAAAGCGTGGGATGGCACTCCGATGAACTGACGTATCTCGGCCCGAGACCCGTCATCGGGAGCTTGAGTCTAGGCGTGGAGAGGGAGTTTCGCGTCAGGAAGATTCTCCCTGTTGACACCGACAATGAGGACGAAAACAATGGTGATGATGGAGGCCAAATCTCTATCCACCTCCCCCACAACTCCCTCCTCATCATGCATGCAGAGATGCAAGAAGAATGGAAACATGCCATTGTCCCTGCTAGGACTGTTATTCCGCATCCTGTCTCCGGTACGGCGAGGATAAATATCACCTATCGGTGGTATCGCGAGTCGTTGCATCCGCGGTATACGCCCCGTTGTCGGTGCGGGGAGCATACGGTTTTGAGGTGTGTGCAAAGGAAGAGGGGAAATCGGGGGAGGTATATGTGGATGTGCTATGCTGGGTTTGCGCCGGGGAAGAAGGGGTGTGGGTTTTTTCAGTGGGCGGAGTTTGATGATGATGGGGAGCCGGTGTGGGGTCATCGTGAGAAAGGTAGTAGTGGTGATGAGGGTGCGCCGAGGTTGAGGAATTTTGTGGAGGATGGAGTATGGAATGGGGATGAGGGTGAGGTTAAGGGTGAAGTTGTATAGATGGATTATGAACTTGTGATACCCTATTATGCCATTATAGCGTCTTATATGAAATTATGTGTCTATTGCGAATGGAAGTAATGGAAATAAGATATACAACCCTGCCTCGATCTAAGAGACCGGAAATGAAGTGATAGCATAAAGAGCACATTGATTCCCCGCTTGTGAAACAGCAAACTGCTAACATGAAACTAAACGCCATAACTCCTGCACTGCCCTCACGGGCGGAATACATACTCCCTACGCAATCATGCAGCCTGCCTCCGACTTATCACATATCTAGTGGCAGTCACATGTAAAACTCCAATCCGTTTGTATGGTCCCTAGCATATGAAATCCTCCTCGTGCCATCGACCAGGTTGCGCCATCCTGAGCCCAAACCACACCGTGTGTAGATGTTCCAAAACGGAATCAGTCGAAGCTTTCCAACAGTTTGCATCGGTGTCATCTCAGCCAAATGTCTCTGTCGAGCAACGCTTCACGTAAGCAGGCCATTCATGACTGAATAGAATAATCGTCCCACGTCCACAATCATCCAGATACGATGCTCCAAAAGGCTACCCGTTACATCGGGCATACCCTCGCAATCTCTCCACGAGATCCAGAACCAAGCCGTCGATCTTCATATCACTTGACCAACACCACGACAGTCAATATCCAGAATCACCACTCAACCAACCACCTTCGATCATAGAATCCGACCTCCAAACAAAGATCAATCAAATCTCCTCCCGTCTGCGCAGCGGCTCCTGGTAAGCAGGCGGATTCCGACCCCGTTCGAGATCCGGCTGGGAATTTCGTTTCCCCTTCTGACGGTTCTGCGGCTTGACCCAGAACACCCAAGTGACTGATTTGCGGGTGCTCCAGAATTCCGAGCACAGGAGGGCGATGGCGAGGATGCTGCAGATGACGACTATAGGGACGAGGACCAAGAGGATGACGGTGATGGATGATTTGTATTGCGAATACCAGCTAGACATATTGGGTTTATGGTATGGTATGGTCTATTGTGGGAGGTATGGATTTGGTAATTGAATGAGTAGGAGGTGGTAAGATGCTGTTGGAATGGGGATAGAGGTAGTGGGAATGGGACGGAGTATAGTAGATGAAATAAATGGATGGATGGGACACCGCCACGAATGTGACGTACTAGGCAGGCACGATGGGTGGACGGGTCATGATGACAGCCTCAATAAATGACTTTTTGATTAGGTATGAGATCGGGTCAGATCAACTGAGCCAGATCTGTTCTATTAAGGGTATATTGGTTTACTCGCGCACCTCCTCCGTGCGCGGAATCATCATCTCTTTGACCGACGCCAGGGTGGTTTCGTCGAGGCGACTGAATCGAATCTGTGAACTTATTAGCAATCAGTATCAAACTTTGAAGAGCAGTAATTACCATCTCCTCGACTCCTCCCCGCGTCGCATTCCCATACAACATCGCATCCGAACTACTAGCCTCAATCTCGTTCTGCACCCGTCTGGCCCAGATCCCATCCCAATGCCAGTCTCCCGGGGACCTCGCCTGCGGGCTCCCCTTCTTCGATGCAGAAGCAGTACTTCCCTTCCGATGAGCCTTCCACGCATGCCACGCACTCGGGTTTCCGGCCGCTTCCAGCGGTAAAGAATCGAGGACCGTCTCATCATCGAACGTAGACCGAATGTAATCCAGCAGCTCTGATACAGGCACAGTCTTTCTAGGCTCAACCGATTTCTCCGCCGGCGACGGGGCGACGGCCTCGCCTTCATCCTCGTTCACATTCTCGTCCTCTTCTTTTGGCTGATCCTCTGTTGGTTCAGCGGCGGTGTCGTTATCCCCAGACACGCTTTCCCTGCAAAGGGTATTGGATACCCCTTCGCTAGTAGCACTTGAATTACGCACACTAGCGGTCTCTCTGGGTGGAGTGGCAGATTGTAATCCAGCTCGCTTCGCCCTGCCGAACCAGTGCGGGAATCCGTGCCGCAGACTGAACCCGCCAGGGGGTAGCCGCTCTTCATCTGTTGCGCTGACAGGATCTTCGCTCGAGGCACCGGTGCTGAATGTGTATGTGGTGAGGGGCACGATCAAGGGATGGAAGACGTCAGTGGCGAAGTTCACTAGAGGAGGCATGTCGGGATAGGACGTGGGGAAGCGGATCTGGAAGCGGAGGACGGCGGAGGCATAGGGGCCTATACAGACAAAGTTGTCAGATCGCAATCATCATAAGATGTTAAGAGGAATTGAATACATACCAGAGCGAACAAAGATGACTCCCAACCAAAGCGTTGGATCGCCCGGGCTGAGGCTCATATAAGTTCCCGGAGGAGCGGCATGTTGCAAGCTTGCGCTGCAGGGACAGTCAACACCACGGTTTGGTCAATCGAGTGGTATTAAGCAATGCTCACAATTCTAGGAGAAGCTGCTGTTTCCGAAGCGCAGGGACGTTGGGCAAGCGGGTTGTCGACATGGTGTTTGGAATTGGTGGTCGGAAATGCTCAGGGGTGCGGCGAGCGAAGACGAAGAGTCGGAGGTGCTTATGTCCGCTATCTCCGGCGGTTATCTGGGTTTCTATGGCAGCATCTCCACCTCACATGGGAAAAGTATACAATTGCGCATGAGACAGACAGTCATGTTGGAAATATGCCACTCACTGTGCAATAGTCATGTCACATTATAACAGTCTATCTCTATGCTTAAAATACACATACAACACATCCAATCTAATTTGCTCAGATTGTACCTCATCCCCGCGAAGCCTGCACAAAAGCCTTCCCAAGCTCAACATGCGACCGGGTGACTCCCATGATAGTCATGCCCTCCGCAAATCCCTCGTAAATGCCACCTGCAATGCTTGTCACCCACCAGGCTGCAAGGTCCATCAAATTTGCACTCGCTCTTCCTTCGTTATAATTCAGAACTGCAGCCCCTATAACCATACCTCTTCTACCAAAGTTATCAGCCGCAACCAGAACCTTTGTTACGGCACGTTCCGTAATCCGATGGGATCGCTCATATTGGTACAGATGACACACGAGGATTTTGACGTATGGCATGAGGAATTGCAGCATTATGAAGAAGTAGACGATAGTGGACGACAGCAGTCGATGAAGGTAAGATCGCTCGGGTAGAGAATTTTCCCCTGCAAGCAGACTGTGAAGCCCTGCCGCAGATGGATCAGTCACGGAAGGCGCAGCCAAGGATTCCTTGACTCCAGCAGGAAGATTGTCCTGAATTGTCATAGTTTCTTGGCTGCTCAAGTCGTCGGGGAGGCCATCGAGGAGGTAGCCTAGGGCATCGACGTACAACATCCGAGCCAAGCGACTGTCGCACTGCCGCTGCTGCGCTTCATGACAGGCATTTTGTAGGAGATTGAGTGCTGGGATATTGTCAGCCAGACTAGTACTAGGAATCTCTTCTGTCCTAAGATTGAACGGAGGCAAAGACAGGCGGCAAGACGAACCAGGCGCTATCCGATTCCATCGCAGTCCGGATTCCGCTTCGTATTTCGGAGCCACTGGACTAAAGACATCGCTAGATCTACTGCTTCGGATACTAGAGATATCGCTGAGTTCTTGTGACTTCTCGGCGACAGACGAGAAGCATGATTCCAGTCCATTGCTAGCACTGCTTGCGGTACTGGGGCGCTGAAAGGTGGGCCCAGACGAAAGATCAGGCAGTGATGCCACATACTCCAGCCCTCCTGGCTCGGAAGATTGTCGCATTGAGACCATCGAGTCACCTCCGGCCTCACCAGCTGTATGTTCTTTGGCGCTGGCGCTATCGCTGGCCTCCAACCTCACGGGTCGATGCGTTGATGGGTATAAACTAGTGATCCGCCGTCGGAGAGAGGCCGGGATAACAGGAGAAAAGACCGTGAGAACGTGACGGTAGACCATCGTATCGCTTAGTGCTGTCAAATCGTCGATCCCATCCATCTTTCGAAGGTAGGAAGCTATACAAGTACGAATATAAACAACGATGAGGGGTGAACCATGAGACAGTGCTGCTGGCAGCGTATGTCTGACGCAGAGAGCGGCAACAGCGCCCACGAACGACCAGATAGACTTCCTGGTGTTTCAGAAAGTTAGAGAATGTCCAACCGTCGGCCGAAGCACATAGCGGGATGAAACATAAGCAGAGACCTGCTTGGGCGCATGGATGGCGTGAGAGAAAAAGTTCCGGCGCAAACTTCAGCCAGCGGCTTTCACATGTCAAACGGTCCGCCGTTTGTTGGCCCCTCCGATAAGGCACCCATTCTAGGCCTGTGACTCGGGCGGTTCCATGATTAAGTGGCGTGGGCGAGCCAGCCAATCGGATCATTCGTGTTGTTCTACGCCCTGTGACAGAACTACTAAATATACTACGCCTTTCAGGTGTACGCAAGGAGCATTCGAGTAGAGTCCAAAGAAGGGTATATTAACTATAGCTGTCTCCTGTACATGCTCGCTTTCCCGTCCCATAAAATGAGTGTGTCCAGTTGAAGAAGGGCGAGAAAGTTCTCCAAACAAAGCCATCTCTCCACATAAACAAATCGGAGCACAAAATACTTTTGACCTCATGACCCAATCAAGTCATAGACTGTCCACACCTGCCGCATATATACAACCCCGACTTCCTCATCAATCAACAATCTATTTGCTCTCAGCCCTCATGCATGCCTGGATATCCCAGATCCGTCGTTGGTGCAAGCTCCTCGTTGGGACCCGTATCAGACATAAAGACCTCGGAGCTCCGCATACCAGGAATAGCTATTGGGGCCGAGACAGGGGCAGAGAAAGGCAGAGACTTTCCAGTTGGGTCTGCTTGATGTTGTCCAGCTTCGCCCTCACGCCTATTACTCTCTTCAAAACACAATCCCTGCATATCGTCCAACGGCAACTCATCATACCGTTCATTCAGTTGTTGTAAGAACTCGGGATCGAACCCCATTTGCACGAATTGGTCAACAGATCCGCTCAGAGGCGTGTTGAGGGACGCCATGCCAGCAGACAGGCTACTCCCCACGTCAGCCGACAACCTGGAATAGGGCCGAGACGGGAGAAAGCCAGAACTTTCGGCATAGCTGCCAGTGGAGCTCCCAGGAGCACTGGCGGCAAAGGAAGACCGACCGTGCCCCATAAAGGCGGGGCTCTGGAGCCCAGAGTTTGGGGTCACGGGACTGAATGTGCCCTGTCCGGGGTAGAGAGGGCTGGATAGCATGCTGGTTTCGGCTGGGGGCTGTTTGAGGCCGTCAGCAGCAGCAAATGGCGGTCGCATACCCAAGTCAGAAAGTTGAATGTGTTCTGACCCTGGGAGAACTTCGAGTCCTGCGTCTCGCTTCAGAAGACTAAGCCAAGTTGAATTATCAGCGCACGTTTGATTCCACGGGTCGTCGCTTCCATATATGATTCGCCGGCCTTCGTCCTGTATCATACGATCCGTTGGAATGATGCCGATGGCCCTCTGGTTGTGAATATATGCGGTGAGTTCACGCTGCAGGCGCCTATAACAATTCACATCTTCTGAATGGAGAAGACCAGTTGTTTGCGCAGCATTGGGTGGCTTGAAAGGATTCAGAGTCTTCTGCTCGCCTCCAATGAGATACGGTGGCATTGCATTCTCGACCAGACCCTGGATGAAGGGTTCAAACCCCCAATCGCCCTGCCACTGCGCCATGGTACTGCCATTCTTGAAATGGGAAGCCAAATGGTCAACCCGGTCTTTCCAGGTTGTTAGACTCAACCCGCAGAAGCCACACCGAGATTTGAATTCTGTCAGAGTGCTCCTCCAGGCGTTCATGGCTGAGTCAAACTTGACGTTGTGCATCAGTCTCAAGTGCTGGTTGAGATGATCCTTCCGGTAAAAAGATCGCTCTGCGGGTGTCTTCTCTTGGCAGGTACTGTAGTTGTGTGATTCTAAATGATCGTTGTTGGGATCAACAGCCATGCAGAATACACAACGGTTGGCGCCATCTATGAAGGCCACGCCCCCCAATGGCGAGCAAGTCCACTTTTCAAGAGCCAAGTGTAGTGACTTCTCGTGGCGTTGCCAGTCATACTTTGTTTGGAAACAGTCGGTGCAGAAAGTACACTGGTATATGCGAGCATTGCGTGCCTTTTGTTGGTTGAAGGTGTTGACGGGAAGTGAGGGCTTGCGCCGGCGACGGCGTTCCTTCCGCTCCATAGAGCCGAAGGAGCCGAGAGAGGATCTGTGGGAGAAAGCAGAGGCAAAGGAAAGGTCTGATATAGAGGAACGAGTGGCTGATCGACTTGTTTCCTGACTACTGACCGAGGGGGCATGGAACAAATTGGAGTTGGCATGGCTTGAGTCATTGCTAGACCCAGTCTTCCGGGAAAGGGAACGCACGTGACCTGGTCTGGATGCGCGCTGTCGGTCATGATTCAGGTCGGTCGTGACCAGGGCTCGCAGAATATCAGATGTGGCAGCGGGTTCGTTTTCAGGGGGCGAGTGTTTCCAACGCTCCATTGGTGTCATGTAAGTGACGTCCACGCCTTTTTGTCCGGGAATGTTGATTGCGCCCGTCGCCGACGAGTTGCGCGGCCCGGGAGGAACTTTACCACGTCTCCGAGCATTAGCAAGCCAGTTGGAGATTTGCATCCTCTTCAGACCTGTGCGTTGCTGTAACTCGTCTTTTTCCTGCTCAGTTGGATAGGGGTGCTCCCAATGTTCCTGAAGCCATGCTTTGAGGATGCGGACCGCTTCCCGCGCCAGTCGTGAATTGCTTTTTCTCGCTCGGCCATCATCTTCAGCGATGAAGGACAACGATTTGAGCGCCTTCTTTCCGGTCAAACCACCGGTATGAATGTAGGTATTCTCGGAAATCGGATGTAAGGTGTCCAAGAACTTGCCAGGTGCTGTAGCGTGGGTGAAGCTGCATTCACGGTAAAGCGAAATGCAGCAAGTACAGCCATTCTGACGCATCACTCCACTCTTCGCGACAAAACAGTCCAGATTCATGTGCCTGCAAAAGTCGCATGGCTCCTCGGCGCGACTCATGGGATAGACGCCGTTGTCCAATTTACCGGTATCTTGCTCCGGTAGGTCGTTGGAAAATTCTAGGCTCGTTTCCTGAAATATGGCGTTGTAGCTTTCAGCGGCCTCATTCTCGTCGAACTCGAGATTGTCCGAGGCAACATCATCTTCGCGCACGTTGGAACCATATGAGGCTTCATCGAAGTCGAAGTACTCCATTCTTGTCTGGAGTACCTGATAGGGCTCGAATCTATGATGAACGGGGGGTTCCAATTTATGGTTACAGGATGATACACGAAAGTAATCTCATCCAAGGTCGGGACACAAGGAACAGAGGAGTTATGGCAAAGAGATGGAGGACCAAGACTTAGGATAAGCAAGAGGGCAGCGGAGGGAGCCAGGATCCAAGGTAGACTATGTTTTTCGTCTGGGGTACCAAAAGCATACCGGAACGGAGAACCCTGCCGGCACTGATGCTAGCAGGTTCCATTCGTCCAGTAGGAATATCTATCGTGGACCTAGCCTTTGGGAGGGGGGCAACTGCTCAACTGCTAGCACTAGCAGCTTTCCAAGGGTGAGACTCATGCATAGCCATCGTGTTCGGGTCCAGTCGGCTTGGCCGATGATTGACCTAGTCCATGAACAACGGCAGGAGGAAGGCAGCGTAGTCGTAAGAACTGAAGGGGACGAGGGAGAAAACTGGATCACTGCGCGCCTGCACGCCCTTCCATTGACAACGCTTGCCTTATTCCGGTTACGCCCAGTCAGTGCGGGGGGTCCATTGGGCGTGCCGCTTAACCCAATCAGGGAAAAATAGTATGAATCATCGCCGCGCCGACGATATCGGACCACTGCCCCACCTCCTTCACCATGGATCACACGATGGAGGATGGATGAGAAGAATTAAATAACGGTGAGCAGATACTAAAATGATGTGTTTGATGTGTTTAGTATACAAGTTGAACCCATGCTAACAGCAAGACAATATGATATAATTGGTAGTGTGGATCAACATAGCCGATTGATGAAGAAGATAGATGGCCAGTTAACCTCCGTCACCGGCACCTCAACTATGCTCATCTTCAAGAATTGCAATGCAAGAAGATGATATGCGCGTTCGAATGACAACAGTTAATTCGAATTCTATCGAACCGATAAGCCATTACATATATCAATTACCCGGGGGTCTCGGCGCAAGAACTGCGGTCAGGCCTTGAACCCCGGCTAGCCTCCAGGCTACATCCCGAAGGTTTAGCTGCCGGCTATAAAGTCTACTATCTGCACATGTGGTGGGGATGATTTTGAAATGGTGGGGACAAGAGATATAGATAAGTAGTTCTTAGATTGTGATAAGCTGTAAGGCTAAATCGGTATGGGCCAAGCATACCTGTCCGGTAGTCGATATAATATGACGCTACCAGCCCGTTCTTTCACGACTTTCCGATGCTGAATAGCTAACTCAAGTGTAATGAGGTCCGCGGAAATACGGCATGCATGCAACTTAGCAACATGCACATGCAATGCAAGCAGGTGGCCGCTTATCCATCCACAGTGACACACACTTCGCTCTGCAATCAACCAGCGGGATGGATGTGAGAACTTCTCAGCTCCGAGCAGTGGTTCTATGTTTCGAGGAGTTACAGGACGGCATGCAGCCAAGGACTTCAAAGGAGTAGGAATGGACCGAAAAGAAGTGAAAAAAGACAAAAATATATAGATAGATATATATTTGCGCAGTAATTGGTGTTGGCACATGGAGAGGCAGAAAGGGTAAGCAAAAGCAAAAAAGGAAATTTGAGCTCCGATAGGGGGAATCGAACCCCCGGCTGCCGTGTGAGAGACGGCGATGTTAGCCACTACACCATATCGGATCTTGTTGAAGAACTAGACTAGCTTCTGCTAAATGAGGCTATCACTTAGCGGATGCTGCTAGTCGAATCTTTCAATCACGAAGAAATAGTAGCTTGTACCCCACATACGTTTGACCCAGTGGTTCCAGGTTTGCTTTCGATCTTTTTAGCTATTTTCTGATCTGTACGGTCATCCGAAGGGAATTTTTCTGGAATTGGCACTTATCAATATTCCCCCCCCACTCCGGGATCGACATTGAACGTTACTACTATGTGTGCATTGTGAACGGTATATATTCCCGCGATCTGTGATTGTTGCAACCCGGGAAAGGCCCGTTTAAATATTGACGGTCGCCGACAATAGCATCCAAGGCGATATCATGCGATTCCGGTACTCAAATTGCCTAAGATTTCATCACTGCTAATACGAGAGGTCCCGAATCCAAAGCCCACCCACCTCATGGTGTTCAATGGCGGGGTAACGGCGCCACCCTGCAACATACTATGGATGGTTCCTTCAATAGCGAACCGCCAGCGGCCATATCAAGCAATCATATTCGAGAACCAAGACAAGTTTAGCTTGCGGAAGCATATTACAATGGGTCCCGAGTTTGGCGTGGTCTCAAAATTCGGGAAGCCGCTGGATTGCTCCGTTACCCCGGATAATGACTTGAAGAGGCCAGGACGACAACACATACCGTGATGTGTAACGCAGACAACAAATGATGGCAGCTCACTAGAATGCTAGTAGCAGTTATGTAGAAGTTTTAGCTTCTCTTACAAATAGCTCTTAAGTCCTCGTTATGACGAAACCATCCATACCTGGCTTATCAGTGGACCCTATACTGACCCCGCACATCTCCAATTCTCCAACGATTGTCGATCCCACATCATACCTCTTATCATCCAGTCCCTCAAATCGGGTACCAGTGCTTGGATGAGTACACAAGCCGAGAACAGCTTGGGCTGCACCTTTAAATTAGGAGGGTCCCGCCCAAAGGCAAACCGAGTCCCTGTCCTTCCACCAGCTACTCACAATGGAGTCCCTGAAGACATTGCTCGTCGCCAACCGCGGCGAAATCGCCGTCAGAATTCTGAAAACAGCAAAGTACGAGCAAATACCATCACATTACCAGAAATCAAGCGTCTAATATCCCACAGGAAGTTGAACCTCCGGACCGTGGTGGTCTATACTGAACCGGATGCTGCTTCTACCCATATACACCTGGCAGATGAGGCCGTCCTTCTGCAAGGTGCACCATCAAAGGCCTACATTGATGGGTGAGCAGTGTCCAAATGATCCAAGCCCGAACAAAAGCTAATAAACACGATTTGACTCTATTCTCCAGAGAACAAATAATCGATATCGCGAAGAAATACAAAGCAGACGCTATCATACCAGGATACGGATTCCTATCTGAGAATGCGGACTTTGCAAGAGCTGCCTCTAGCGCAGGGTTAGCCTTCGTCGGCCCTTCGCCGGAGAGTATCGAAGCTTTTGGTCTCAAACATACCGCACGAGATCTTGCTACAAAAGCCGGTGTTCCTATAGTGCCTGGCTCGAAGGGATTGGTGACAAGCGAAGAAGAAGCTGTCGCAACTGCGAAAGAACTCGGTTTTCCGGTATAATAACCCGGCCTTATTCCGCAGCCAGACAATGGAGCTGACGTCCGCTATAGGTCATGCTGAAGGCCACAGCTGGAGGAGGTGGAATGGGTTTACTCACATGCAACACAGAGAAAGAAGTCCGTGATGCTTTCGCCACCGTCAAATCGAGGAGCGGAGCCCTGTTCAAAAATGACGGTGTTTTCATCGAACGCTACTATCCGTCGAGTCATCATATTGAAGTACAAGTGTTCGGAAACGGAGACGGCAAAGCCATATACTTCGGTGAACGTGAATGCTCCATCCAGAGGAGACATCAAAAGGTCATTGAAGAATGCCCAAGTCCGTTCGTTACAAGAAATCCCGGTTTACGAGAAAGATTAGGTGACGCGGCTGTCCGCCTTGCGGAGTCAATCAAGTATGGATCGGCTGGAACGATCGAATACCTTGTGGACGACGAGACTGGCGCATTCTTCTTCCTTGAGATGAATACACGCCTGCAGGTCGAGCATGGCATAACAGAGCTATGCTACGACATCGACCTGGTGGACTTGATGTTGAAACAGGCCGATGCCCAGCTTCTAGGAAAAAAAGGTCTTGACGCATCGTACCTGGCCAGCCTTGCAGTGAGCGCACCTTTAGGTGCCGCCATTGAAGCTAGAGTCTACGCCGAAAATCCGGCCAAAGATTTTGCTCCTTGTCCTGGTACACTGCAGACGGTAGAATGGAAGGAACTGCCGGGTTCTAGAATTGACACATGGGTTTATAGGGGTGTTAAGGTGTCTGCAAATTACGGTAGGCTGCCAGAGCCGTACTTTTATAGGGAAGTACTAACGCAAAATTCTCAGATCCGCTGCTTGCGAAGGTTATGTATCACTCCCAAAGCAGACAGCAAACTATTGATGGATTGAAGACAATATTGACAGAGTCACGTATCTGCGGCCCTCCAACAAACTTGGAGTTCCTGTCTGATGTTCTGGCGGACGACACTTTCGTCTCTGGAAGAACATTGACTCGCTTTCTCGATGACTTCAAATACCAACTGTCTGCCATTGATGTTATTTCTGGCGGTGCATATACGCTTATTGAAGATTGGCCTGGCCGTCCAACCCTGGGAAGAGGCTTTTGCCATTCGGGGCCTATGGATCCCATGGCCTTCCGCATTGCGAATGCACTCGTTGGAAATCCGATAGGTCTGGAAGCATTGGAAATAACCCTGAGTGGACCAGAATTACGATTCCTGGGTCCAGCCCTGATTTCGTTATGTGGCGCTCCAATCGAAGCTAAGCTTGACGATGTACCTCTCCCGATGTGGTCGAGGGTAAAGGTCTCAGCTGGCCAGCGTCTAAAGATTGGGAAAACAACGGGTAACGGCTGTAGAGCCTATCTGGGTGTCTTTGGGGGGTTCTTAAATGTTGCAGAGTGGTTTGGATCCAAGTCGACCACCCCAGGTGTCGGTGTAGGAGGCTATCAAGGCAGACAACTTGCCTCTGGTGATCTTCTCTCGATCACTACCCAAGTGCCAGGAGTCAGCGGCGACCTCCGCTTGCCGCAGCATCTCATTCCTCAGTATCCTGATCACTGGGAGTTTATGGCTATGCCAGGACCGTATGATGAGGGTTATCTCGTTCCCGATAGCATTGATATGCTCTACAGCACAAGCTTTAGAGTGTCGCACAACGCCGCTAGGGGAGGCATCCGTCTTCTAGGCCCTAAGCCTACTTGGGCTCGCACAGATGGTGGTGAAGGCGGGGCGCATCCTTCTAATTTGATCGAGTACGGCTATGCGATAGGATCTCTCAATTGGACGGGTGATGACCCGGTCATATTTCCCGTGGATGCGCCTGACCTGGGAGGATTCGTCAGTAGCCATACAATTTGCAAAGCCGATCTATGGAAGCTGGGGCAAGTGAAAGCAGGTGATACTCTGAAATACCGCGCTACGTCTCTGGAGGATGCTCTGTCCGCTCGCAGAGAGGTAGAGCGGTTCATTAATGAGATTGCTCAAGGTTGCCAGAAGGGTGATCTCAGCAGCATATCGCCCATCAAGGGGGACCTAGCTCCAGAATTGACGGCAGAGAAACGTGGACATGGTGTAATACATCAGATCCAGGAGAGTGGGGGCCAACCTCTTGTTTCATACCGTCAAGTAAGCCAGCAATTCTTTCAGTCGCTCATATTCGTTCAGCTAACAACGTAGCCAGGCCGGCGACGACTATCTGCTGGTTGACTACGGCACTGGGTCTTTTGATCTGAACCATCGCTGTAGAGCCACTGCTTTGAAGAGAGCATTGGCTGAAGGGACTGGCGATATTACCTTCGCGAACGGACTAGTTTCAATGATGGGATGTGGAAACAGTAAGCTTTTCCTCACATCAATTCATCCAAGTTTCAGTACTTACTCTATTTAGCTTTGATGATCTATTATGACGGACTAAAGATCCCACAAAAGAAGCTCCTAACCTATCTCTGCGATATCGAGACAAGACTCGGTGACCTCAGCCAAGCGAAATTCCCCAGCCGGCTGTTCAAGCTCCCTCTCTCTTTCGAGAGTCAAAGACAGAAAGACGCAATCACGCGTTACATAGAGACGCAGCGTCCCTACGCTTCCTACTTGCCCGACAACATAGACTTCGTAGCGAAGAACAATGCCTTCAGCAGACAAGAGTTCGAACGGATCTACTTAACCGCCTCCTTCATGGTCATAGCAGTTGGGTTCTTCACTGCTCTCCCGCTCTCCCTCCCAGTCGACCCACGCTACCGGATGAACTGTCCAAAGATGAACCCCAGCAGAGTCTACACACCCGCCGGCTCAGTCTCCTGGGGCGGTAGTTGCATGGCGTAAGCATCACACTATCCACGCGTACAACAAACACACATACTAACAGAAAGCAGACTATACAACGTAGACTCACCCGGCGGATACCAACTGACCGGCATGACCATCCCGGGAGTCGACATCCTCGGCTCCAAGAGAGGCTACGAAGCCAACAGACCGTGGCTGTTTGAAGACTTCGACCAAATCACCTTCTACCCCGTCTCTGAAGAAGAGTACGAGAAGCAACTCGCTCTCTTCAATAGCGGCAGATACGAGTACCAGTGGGAAGAGGTTGTCTTCGACATGGCAGAACACAATAAGCTTCTCCGTGACACCGCGGACGAAGTCGCAGCTATTCGGAGCAAGCAGCGACAAGCGCAAGCTGAGATGGACAAGCTCGAGACAGAACTGCTGGAGCGGTGGACAAAGGAGAAAGCGGAACGGGGTATCCCGATGGATACGATTGAGAGTCTATTGAAGGGTATGTCTACCTCCTTTATACTGTCGTTATTCCGAAACACGACAGACAAAACTGACCACCACTCTCTTTGGTCTAGACCCCGAGATCACCCCCATCGAAGCACCATTGAACGCCAATGTCTGGAAAGTAGAAGTCAAAGAAGGCGATAAGCTTGATCATGATCAGCTGGTGGTTATTCTGGAGGCTATGAAGCTGGAAATTGCCGTGCGCACGGAGTCCCTCGCTGCTGGGTCTACCGTGGAGAAGGTCTTGGTTCAACCGGGTGACTCGATAGAGGCAGGGAAGCCTTTGGTGTTGGCGAGGAGGGCACAGAACTGATCCACTCACTCGAGCAGAGACTGCTGTCATAGTATGCATTCATGGCTTTTAAGGTACCTTTTTGGCTACAATCACATGATGTCAGCTTCAAAGCAATGCAAGCTTCTGTGAACGGTAGACAATCGACACTTACAGTACAGTATGGTAGATACACATGTTACTACACCCAAGCACGCAATCACCCAAAAGGGCAATCGCTTTCGAAAACAGAACACATTTGAGTATGTCCCTGACCGCTTCACAACCGAGCTCAGTCACCCTGGTATACAACCAAAACCTATCATACAACTCATGCCAGCAATGCTATAATCCATCTGTCACCCATTCCACCAGAAACTAACACCAATCCCACCCTTGATACTCCGCACATAATGCCACCACCCAATGGGGATATACAACATATCCCCCGGCTTAAGCACCGTCTCGACGTACTCCGCATCCATGAACCCAGGCCACAGCTCCTCCCAATGGTCCGCCTCAGCAGGGGACATCTCAATAGCAGCGACGTCAACCTGCGAGGTATTGGACATGTCTACAAGTTCGGGTTCTTGTCGGTAGTGTTGGTGGTGAGTGTACTGGAGGGGGTCTTCCCCGCCCTCGGGTCTTCGTCTAACGACGGGTTCTTTCCCTTTCGGGTGAATCTTCGAAAGTGGTGTGTGAGGTGAATATAGTCGGAAGTATTTCTCGCCTACTACTTGCACGTAGATGTTATGGTATGTGTCGAAGTGGAGTGGGGATATCGTCCATGAGGGACCCATCCAGATGTTGAGGTGCGGGCCATCGAAGTCGGATTCGTGCCAGGATGTCGACGAGGAGTCGGAGGAGTCGTCGCCGTATTTGGGTTCCTCTTCCTGCTCCTGAACTGGGATGACTTCTTCTCCCAATTTCCGTCTCCGCTCCTCTTCCTCTCTCTGCAGTCTGATGTAGGCTGGCGTGCCAGGTTCGGCCTTGGGTGCATCGATGTACATATAATCCGGGTGCATAATATCCTTATATAAGGTCGGTAGGTGAAGAAACAGATCATGCTGCGCCAAATACCCCGTTGGACCAGCATCATCGCTGTGTCTATCCCGATTGAGATACTTCTCCACAAAGTCATTGAAGGACATTAACCGCTGCCCCCAATCCTCATCTGTATACGACCTCCCAATCTCCACGGGAACAAGTCTCCGTCCGTCAAAGGTGCGATGCATCCAGAACTCCCGGGACGCCCACGACCCTGTCGATATAGCCGGCCAATCAGCCACGGCATCCGTTATGACAAGCGGTGTTTTCTTCTGGCGCGCATGATTACGGAAACTCGGCGACGTGGGCGACGTACCCCACTGCGGTAGTTTGGTTACTCGTGGTATAGGGAAGCGAATCTCAGGCGTCGGCGCAGTATCGTCAGAGAAGAGCGGAGTAGCAAGTTCGTCGGGGTCCAATTCATCACGAAATTCATATTCAGTTCGGTTGTTCCACTTGGTCGTCGGACACGAACCCTGCAACGCATAAATCAAACTTAAGACCCACTTCTCCCTCTGTGGTGCACCTGTCATTATCAATGCCTTGTCGAGCATGTGTATTGTAGGCGTGAGCCATTCTGCATCCGGGTCGATGTCAATCAGCCCCTTCAGGGAGCAGGAATCCTGGATAATCCTCAGTATGTATTGCCTGCGCGTCAGGGCCGTGGAACCGGGATGTGAAGGAGGAGCAGGAGCAGGACAGGGAGGGAGAACTGGGTGTCCGTTGCGTTCGCGGTGCGGAAACCCGCAGTTTTCGGCGATCGTCAGACATGCTTTCAATAAGCATGCGTCGGTGTAATAGCGGCGCCAGCATACGTCCACATTTTTGAAAGGGAATACGCGGAGCTTGGAGTCGGCTAGCTTGATTGCGCCGTCGGGATCGCCGAGAAGATGGTCGTGAAGAGTGTCGAGATCGTTGTCCGGGAAGCAGCGGAGAATGGGGTCATTGGGGCGGACATTGAGGATCTCGAGGAGGGTTGTGGAAAGGCTAAGGTGAATCGGGATGTATCGCATTCTTCGCGGGTTTATTTCATTGTATGTTATCGGAATAGGAGGATCTCTGCATGAGGATGCTGGAATAGTGTCAAGAGAGTGATGGTGGTTGAATGTTGATGTTGTTCTTGTCGCGTCTTTTTTCGAATATCAATTAGGTATCCCGATCCAGACTAGCGTGTAAACCCCGCTATCTCCGAATGACAATCTTGGAGTTATCGAGATGGTCTTCAACTACACGCCAGGAATGCTTAGGAAGCGCTTAAGATGACTCGGGGGCTATGAGAAGTGAGATTTGATTTATAAAGACTATTTGTCTCATTATTTGGACATGTTCCTCTTATTATTACAACCGCCAGTTCCAGACCATCAACTCCGACCATATGTTGCAAACTCACAATATATACACCTTTTTTGATGACATTTAGTAGTAGTATGAATACCGGTTCCTATTGCTCAGTCCAGCAATTCCACAACAAGCTTTGGAATGCCTGCAACTCCCTCGCCCCTGATGGCACTGACAGGAACCGCGCAGACCTTTTCTCTCCATCCATTGGGATGTCCGCCCGGATGCTCCTCTTCGCCCTTCTTAACAGCGGCAAGATAGTCACGCAGTGTCTTGAAGCGTTCTTGGGTCTCCGGGAGATCGGCCTTGGTAGCTACTACAAACCACGGCTTGGTGTGAATTGGAGGAAGATTCAAAGCGGGGAGTTCGTCATGAGCTTTCGACGCAACCTCGTTGAGCTCACCAATTGCACTTTCGGATTGGAGTTCAGGAAGACCATGAGTTGGCGGGGTCCAGGTTAAATCATCTCCCTCAACTTTCATCGCCTCCTCAGCGTCCCGGACGCGCTCATACTCTCCCAGTTCATGCCAGAGATTCTTCAGCCCTTGCACAGGGTCGCCTGCGCTGAGATCAACCACAAACGCCAGAATACCAGCGCGTTCAATATGCCGGAGGAAGCCTAGGCCAAGGCCTTTATCCAGATGAGCATCCTCGATCAAACCTGGAATATCGGCAATGGTGAAGTTCGTCCGCCGGGCCTTTCCTTTGGACTCCACCAAGGGTCGTCCTTTATGATTGTCGATGACCACCGTACCAATATTGGGAGAAAGCGTCGTGAACTCCCAGTTCCCGACCCGGGTGCGACTGTTGGTCAACGACCGAAGCAATGTACTTTTTCCCGCATTGGGCTTTCCGACAAGACCAACATCCGCAAGCAGCTTCAGCTCGAATTCAAGCTCCAGGCGCATGCCGCCCTCACCTCTGGATGCGAACGTAGGCCGGTTCATATTGCGAGTCACAAAGTGTGGATTACCCAAGCCACCGACACCTCCAGCAGCCAGCAAGATCGGCTTATCCATATGTTGCGAGAGATCGAGGTAGATCGGCGCCTTCGGCTCGAGTGCTGCGATATGTTGTCTTCGGGGCGGGTTCTTCGGAAAGACCGTAGTCAGGTAATCGGACGGGTTCGCACCAGGATAAAGAACCCAGCGATCATGCCGTATAGACGGTAACCCAAGCTCATCTATTTCATCCCTTTCTTCTGCGCCTTCCTCTGCCGCAGCAGCAGCAGCTGCTGCTGCTTCTGCGGCTTCCCTGCGCTCACGTTTCCGACGCACTATTTCCTCCGTGACCGGATCGTAACGGTCGACTTCGCGAACGACAGTACCGACGGGAACCTGGAGCAGGACATCGTTACCTCGTTTGCCTCCTTTGCTTTTCCCCTGTCCGTTCTTCCCCCGACCGGCCTTTATGATTCCCCTGCGAGCCAGCTTATGTAGACTCGTCATGCCTTCAACGGCTTGGATATAGATGCTCCCGCCACTACCTCCGTCGCCGCCATTCGGTGGACCCTCTTCGACATACTTCTCTCGTAGAAACGAGACACACCCATGTCCACCGGCACCAGCATATATTGTTGAGCGACATTTATCCTGGAAAATGAAGCGCGAATAATCTTCGGGGGACGGGTTCAGATGGGAGGGTTCAGAGACATGATCGGGGAGCGGCGTTTGTTGGTATTCCGATCGCTTGGACTCTGCTTCGGTGCTATTGTATCGTTGAGACCATACTTTGAGTGCGACAGCCGGTGTCCTAGCTAGAGGACGTAATCGGACGGACTGTTGGGGAAGAATGCGAGGAATTGAGCGTAGGAGCCATGTTCTGTGAGCTGCCATGTTGAAAATCTGGAGCTTAGCTATAGCTCATTCTGGGTTGACGGGGGAAGCAATTATGCAATTGGAGTGATAATAATCAGCTGCGATGCATTTCTCTGCCTTGTTTCAGGACTGAATAGCTTGTTGGGACTGGAAATAATGATGAAATCGGTGTCGATGTCATGGCTCATGCCGCATTCCAGCAAACCCGGGCGGCACGTGACGTTATCGGCACCTGACGATAAGAGTGTTTACTGTCTACAAGCAAGCGATCACGTTTATCTCAACATCTCGTTCTATCTGCCATTGTCGAAGTATACAAGGTCCATCTATTGTTTTCGACGATGCACCAAGAGCCCTAATCCAAGGTCAATTGAATTAAACAGTCATACAACTTACCCAGCCAGATCTCCACGAACCAACAACAGCAAAGCCAAGACCATAACCATAACCACAAGACTTACAGAACCACCAAGTCACTGAAACTCTATGACCATTACAGAACAAAATGAAATCAATTTACGTCCACAACAACCAGAGTGGCTATACGCAACATGCAGCGATTAACAAAACGACCTTCGGGTTAATTTCCAACTAATCTGCAACCCTAAAGCCGGCATGTCTTGCAAGACTGTCAAACAAAACCTCCTAACTCCATGCAACAAGGCCACAGTCAGCAGAGGAAATATGCAGCAGTATGTGTCAAGCTTACACTTACGAAGAGAATGAAAGAATGAAGGTTGGCAGCTGAAAGAGCGGCCAGGCCCAACGATCAATCTTCACTTGTCTTGCACTACATCGGGCAGAACTTTCTTGACTCACTCGAGCTGTGCTGTGCTGTACTGGGTCAGTCTGTGTCGCTTACATCACAGATGCAGTGAGGCCGAGGGGAGTGCAGAAAAGATGTGCACTGCGCAGACCTTGTTCTGCTTTGTGCGGTGATACCCTGCGCGCATATATCGGCGGCAATAGGGGGATTTTCTACTTGGTTGGTTGATTCTCTCGAGGATGTTGTTTGGATGTGGATGGCAGTATTTGCATGGACATTGATGGTTATGACATACTATTACCTCTGGTCTAGTATTTTTACTTTGCTATATTTACAATTGAAGAAAGACAAAATTGGTCTAGGCTACTGTCTCCAAATGAAGAATCAAATTGAGCCCCCAGTTAACTGAGACACACCACACCTCTAAATATATCCGGATTTCTTCTCCTCATATGGAAAGATAGCCTACCATTAACCAAACAACGTTCACCAACATAAGGGCGTACAGAAACAAACAAACAAACCAGAACAGGCAGGCAAGCAGGCATCAAGTCGGGCCACAACACCAACAGCAGCAGCAGCAGCAGCAACTTAGTAACCTGAATATCAACAATATCAACACAACCGCACCATGCGACATGCATATTTCTCCCATACAGCAAGTAAATCCCGAAGGTGATCGCACAATGATGCAATGCTATGCATACAGAGTAGACCGCTCAAAGTTCACCCGGCAAATACCCAACTGGGCTGGGCTGTAAGTAGTCAGGCAAGTCAGGTGTTGTGTTACAGTATAGCGGTAGCGGTGGTGGTGGTGTTGTTGGTGGTAGTGGTTGTTTCAACTGCAGGGCTAATGCCGCGCGAACTCGCCACACCCGGGTAGTATTGGTGAATCGCATGGCACCATAGCTGTTGAGCCACATATCCCTGTGGCCCTCTCTTCATTCCCCTCTTGTTATTGTTATAGGTGAGTAGGTTGGGGAGTAAATCTGCAGATGCAGTAGGGATTGTAGTTGGTGATGGATGGATAGGTGGATGGGTCTTTGGTTGGATTACTACTGTTGGTTGCTTGGTTACTGTAGTTACTATTGTGTGCTATGTATCTACTATGTATGTGTGCGGAGCATATCGGATCCTGTGAGTACTTTGTATTCATCATTCTCTGTGGTGTGTGCCTGTATCTGCGATCTGGACCGATCCACAGTGGCAAATAAATATAGATAAAAATACTACAATTGAAAAGAGAGTTGCTGAATTATAAATAAGACTGCGTAGAATGTGGATCGTGATTGAAGCAAGTCAGTAACTGGTCAGTCGGCTCTTCTTCGGACGTGTCAACTTTCTATTTTACCTTTCGGGGACTGATCTGGACTGTCGGATTTAGTCAAATGTAAAATGGGTGGAGTGGATGCGCTAAACTTATCGCAGTTACTGGACACTTGACTTGGGTCATTTCGTTGAGAGAGGGTGTCTGTGAGGGAGTGGAGATAAGACTCATGCATGGCTTTACATATTGTGGATATTCAGTTATTGTGGACGTAGTGGGCAGGCTTGGATATTGGTGTGTCTCCATCTGTCTCTCGGACTAAATCAGTACATGCTGCTAGTTAACTAGTATCTACTTGGTGGTAGATCAGCAGGGGATGTTGATGCACCTCTGATCCAGTGAACTTCATGTCCATTTATCGCCGACCACACGACAGGATCTCCATCATGAAACCCAATCAAGCAAGCAAACAGACAAACAAGGGCTCAATCCAGAATCTGGGTTATCATGACATCTCAGGGGGGAAGGAACAATGCTCCAATAGTGAGAGCCGGAGATGTCCTCCCGTCCCGTGTGGATGTATCAAAGAACCTAAAGCTGTGTAGAATTTTGTTATTCCCTTTGGCGTGCGCGCGGCTTACCACTGTATGCCGGAAGTTGGGGGGAAGAGAGCTGAAGGGTGAGTCTAGCTGGTCTTAGTGTCCCGGATCGGATCCGGGTGCCCGGTTAATTAGTATGTCTTTGCTTTTTGGACTTTTCCTGTTCAATGCTTCTGGGGAATGGAGAGAGAGAGGGGCAAAAGAGAAATGGGTACTTTTGTCCGTTAGTGCTTGACACCCCTGCCCGAAGGATCGGCTTATCCTTCTATCCAGTCGAAGCTTACGCTAGCTTATCGGCCGCCTCATCTCATCTTGGATGATGCAGATGCAATGCATCCGGCGCGTAAATGTATATTTCCAGCACCTCAATCGATCACATGATGAAGGGGTGTGTCTCCAGGGTCTGGCTAACCAAGTTCTGAATTATTAATCCGGTTTAGAAGCGTAGCATTCTCCGGATCAGGACCAGTTTCCGTGGTCCAAAATTAATTGGGTGAGTTAATATTGGGAAGTTGACAAGCACGGAATATGCGGCGATCCATCCTGCACGAGCTGCTCTGGATATATGCCATTGCCTTGGGACACATTCCGGACCCGGTACGGAGTAGATAATGCATTCTCTTATTCCCTGATCATCGCAGTGTAAGCAGGGCAACAAAGGGTGCCCAGCGCAGTGTTATGATGTAGGCAGCCAGCTCGCAACTTGAAGGTGCATGTGGACATTATCACAGTCGGTCTGATGCCCTGGCAGAATAGCAAGGGAGGAAGGCGTAACCCAACGTTGTCTAGTCTGACAGGCAACGGCTGTGAGACATATAGCTAAAAACCAAGAACAAAATATCAATTAATCCGATATGGTGTAGTGGCTAACATCGCCGTCTCTCACACGGCAGCCGGGGGTTCGATTCCCCCTATCGGAGCTCAAATTTCCTTTTTTTGACTTGATCTCTTTCAATATCCAAGTTTTTATTTTGTTTTCCTATCGCCGTTGATTCGCGAAATATTAACAAATGATACCGAATTCTTTTTTCCCTTCCTTCCTTCCTTCCTTTTTTTTCTTGTCTACCCACCTAAGTTGCCTCGGTGGCGGCCTGTACATTGTCAGCTCGGCAAATATGCGACGACACGCCCGTTAGTCACACGTTACGACCAGCAAATGGACCATTGGCAGTATTTCCCTGCGCCAGGGCACCTACAAAGTAGGCTACCTGCTAGCTGCCAGCCTGCGAAGCGGACTATAATTTCCCTGATAGGCAAAAGGTCCAAAGTACCGCAGGGCGATTACCCACCGTTGTTACACTATCGGTGCCTGTCGCACCAGGGCCTCGCGACGAGAACTTGGTCAGGTGTTGTCTAAATCCAGCGGGCAAAAGTGGGCTCACCGGCTTCAATCCCGTAGGTAGCACACCTTGTGATTTGTGTGACGTGAGCCCGGTTACCTCAGTAGTAGCTGAGCATAATCTTGGTATGGCGAGTTGCACAGTGGGCCTTCCAGACTACTTTGTTTCCTGTAATGGCATGCCTATGCCGCTTCTCGATTGACGAAATAGAACGGGGGCATATCCATGGCTGCATCATCGTGGAGTTAAGTGGCCATTCGGGCGTATTACTGCAACAGTGGACCGTCATTCCACGACCTACGATCTGCGAGTAGGATCATTATCGCAAAAGCTCGGTCGAGACACGGCAGATCATTGACAGGACTCCACCCGTCTAGTTAGGCCTCGACCATCCAGTTTCTGTGTATCCCATGTGCGGAACTTGGATGCTGCAAAAGTGACAGATCAAGGTCAAATCCAGAAATGACACTGGCTCATCTTGTTTCGGCACCATCATGCGTGGTGGGATGCTGTTCGCAGCAGTCCGCCTGCATGACAATGCCATTGGCCTGGGTTGGGGTCTGTGATTGTGAACAAGGATGCAGTAGTTCGGCTGTCACAGGGATAGGCAAGCCCCTCTGCAAATCAGCGCCTGCGATCGACGAACTAGTCACGACGTCCATGAACAAGTTGAGATGCATAAAGTACCGGACCATATTGCGTTTTAAAGTTATGGTCCATTGTTGGCATCCCTGTCGGATACTACGGAATAGCGTACATACTGTGACTCGAAGTACGAAAGTAGACGTAGGGGCTCCTCCAGATGACGGATCCAGAAAGGCTAGATTCCGCACGTTGGGGCGAGGGACAAGTTCCCTCCGACCCATGTCGACAGGTACACAGTCGGCGAGTCACTTACAGGGACTAGCCCCCCTCGGCCTTGATATACAGCCGTTCGACTTGGCCTGAGGCTCCGCAGTGGATCTTAGAAGTGCAGGGATCTGAGCGAATGGGATGGGGTTCCTGGTACCGCCGGAAGGGGGAGGATGGGATTCCCCTGCAGCTCACTTGATCAAAAGAGGATGGCTATGATGGCTCCAAAATGGGGCGGAATGCAAATAGTGCGCCGTCTGAAAAAGCCAAAAGGCGGGAAACAGAAAGGCGGAATCGATCAATCATGCGAGAGTCGAGAGACTAGCCGAGTGTGATTGGAGATCAGACCCATGGTCCTTCGATTGTTATCCGTCGCCGCGGGACCGGATCCGCAATTCCGTTGGAGACGAAAGTCCTTCCTGAAAGTTACTCCTTTTTTCGATCCGGGATCTTATTTCCCTCTACTGATTTATGAGTATGTGTATGTGTATAAGTGTGCTATGTGTGTGTGTGTGCGCTGACCATTGGTGCACCGTATCAAAATATGGATGAAGGGTCAGCTTTGCCACGAAAACAGGAAGGAAATGGCGGTTGTTGAGAATCCACTGACATGTGTAGGTAGTACAGGCATCTACCTGCCTACTCAAGCAGGTCGCCTACATACCGAGTTCTTTCATAGGTCAGTATGGAGAGTAAGAGTGGAATTAGTGGTCTTAGGGAACCGAGACATGCTTACTCCTTCAGAGTAGACACATTAGTTAACCAGAATGAACCTTACTTGAGCCGTCGAGTCCGTAGATAGTTACGCCATTGTTGCGCCGCGCCCCCATAATTAATCCCAGCTGAAAGGATGCTTCCATCTCGCATTGCGATAGGTAGAAACGGAGGGACGATGGAGACTGATGGAACAAATTCCATCCCGTCCCAGCTGATGCTGGATACGACTGTATGACACTTAATTAGAGGAAATAAAATCAAAAAAAAGAGAGAGAGAACAGTGTAAGTGTAGACGAAGACCGGCCAGTCCGCACTTCCTTTCGCCCTTTGAGGGAGCGCAATTAAGGTGGGGAAAAGAAAAGCAGAGAGAAGGAAGAAGAAGGAAGGCATTTTTGGCCATTTTTGGCACTTTTCATTTTTATTTTGATTTATTTATTTTTTTTTCACTTTTCTTGCAAGTTGCCCAGCCCCGCTGGCTTAGCCACGGTGGCTCGACCAAAGCCAGCGACGGGGAAGTACGATTCGCCCGTACTTTTGCCCCCCAAATCCCTTCCGTCGAGCCGGCGTGTGATTGTGACGCAACGGCGAAAAGCGAGGAGGGCGAAAATGAGATGAGATGAGAAGCCCGCCCTTTTCTCGGGTTCGATGTTTCACATCCACCAAAAGGTGCCATCCATCCACCTGACCGCTTATATGGTTTTATTGGTTCGGGGAGGTCAAGCCGGTTCCAGTGCACAAAGACCTTCGGTTCTGGTAGTGGACTAAAGGTACCTGGTGGATTCGTACCTCTTCTCAGCTCTATCTTTGGTCCGGTACTTCCTACCCGGTACTCAGTACCTTGGTTCGCTTCAAAGTCTATCCTACTACTCCTGACGTTTGAGGGGGGGTTAGTGGATGAAGGTATCGAGGTTGACGAAAACAGCGAGGTGCTGGTCCCATGAGATAACTACTTGTTGTTCCATCTTCCAACCGAAAGGCGGAAAAGCCTGCGGGTCTAACTTCATATGTCTCCTTTCTTTCTCAGATCTCACACCCTTCTCTTACTCCTCAAGTCTCAAAATTCCGTTCCCGCTTGGCTCTCTGACTCGAACGGACTGCGCCGCGTACAGTAAGGTGGACTGGGTTAATTCTGGGCATTATATTATCGATCTGACAAAATAAGACCGAGAGACTCCGAAGATTTTACATAGATGCAAATGCAATCACCAATGGCTGCCATCACTACACACCATTTATCACCAACAGGGAAACCCCCAGTAGGCTGGTGGTCTACTGCGTATGACCTGCGCGGTTCCCCACATTGATCGAACCGATCATGCCCGTAATCATGTCAAGAGACCAGGGATCCCAGCTGAAAGACCTTCAAGGATCTCAATTTTGGATCACTACTATGGCTCAGTCCTGCCATCGTCGTCGTAGCAAAAGTAGTAGTAAGTAGTAACTAGTTACTGCTGGGGGCTTCTTTGACCCGCCACAGCCGCAGTCACGCTGCTTTGCCGGTGATGACCGATCCAGCAATTGTCGACGAGTGTCTTACTGAATATTACATTATTGTTCAGCGCCAATGGCATGATGCACAATAATTTACGCTGACGTCAACTACTCCAATACGAGAGTTTCTAGAATAGTTCGATACATTTGCTTGACGAAGCATCATGTAGAAAACTGTATGGGGGGGTGGGCCGTCTTTAGTCGGGTAACCACTTCAATTACTATGAAACAAGCGGCCATGCGCCGACAGTACCGACTTAGCTAAGTCAGGACGGAACCGACATAACTAACCAACTAGTAGTCAGTGACTTTATGGTAACTATCGGATAATTCAACCATGATGGAAGGCAATAATGAACATGGCCTAATTAAGGATTGGATGATCGGTAAGAGAAAGGAATCAGAAATCAGAATAGTGGGACTGGAAAAGACACTCCGAGTCTCATCCGCCACAGTATAGAATTTCCAAGAGGCGGACCCGACACTCTGGCGCGGGAACTGCGCCTGTAAAACGATCCACCGCAGACCGGAAGCGGGTGGCTTGTCCCTCCAAAGCTGATTTCAGGTGGGCCGTGGATCCCGAGAGTTGGGAGTACACCACAGAGTACTACTCAAATACTCCATACGGAGAAAAGTCAAGGGGATTCGCTGAGGCCTTGAGACATGTGTTGGGTCAGAGGAATGGACCGCGGCAACGTGAAAAATCGCCCGGCGAAACTAAAGGGTGAGGGGAGGGAAAAAAGAAAAGAGAGGCTGGAAAGGTATGGGGCAGAGACCTGCTGATAGAGACAACGTCATGCGTCAGTAAGCCATGCCAGTGATAAAGATGCTCAATGCTGAGTGTCGTTGCAGGATATTGAACGAATCGGAGATTGGGTGGGTTAGGCGATAGGGAAGCATAGTATTGATGTTTTGTCGTTGTGATCAGACAGGCAAGAGCACTAACGTAAGACGCGATATGCTGCTTGATGGGATAGACAGCCTCCAGGACAGCCTCTAACATCCTCCTGCAAACCGAAGGAGGATGATTATCGGATAAATGAGCTGATGTTACGGTTCCTTTCCTCCAACCCTGGCTCTGACACCTCTCCCAACCATCCACTGCAGCAAAAGCGATGTACCGCGGGGCAGCCCAATGCCCCGCCGGTGCGATAACAAGAGGCGTGGGTGTATGCCACCAGTAGCAGCAATCAATCGACCTTGCATGAGGAGTTGATCTTAGCCCAGCTGTCAAAACGGAAAACTGCTTCCCGAAGGTTGTTGCCAGCTGCCCTCCTGGCGACCCGTGGCTGTGTATTGGATCAGCTTGTGTGTGTAATGTTGGATCGCTCACCGTAAGTTTCTCGTTGCTCCCTGCAAGGCGGACCAGGGCTGCTGCTGCTCCGAGGCATGATTCAAGCAAGCATCAGCGACTGCCCGCGCTTGGATTTCTGCCCAAAGCACAGCAGAGCGTTATTCTTCCTTTCCCACCCCCCCGGGAAAGGGGGCAGCTGACCTATCGCAAAGATTTCTTTAAGAAAAAATAAAATACAAAATAAAAATAAAGACACACGAGGACTGCAGTAGGTAGGGTAAAATCGGCCAGGATCTTTGACAGATGTTGACAAACAAAGCCTGTCTGTCCCGCATTCGGTGGCACAAGGATCACGATGCAGTGGTGATATCGGCCAACAGCTTAGGCGGTCCGTACCCAAGTTAGCCTGCAAGCCCCTCCTTTTCGGCTCTTCACCGCTTCCTGCCGGAATTCTATTGTTCTGTTTTGTTTTGTTTTGCTGGTGGTTTCAATTCAAGTGGTGAAGTGGGCAGTCACCGACGCCTTTTTCCCCCCCTCAGCTGGCACAAAGTTATTGCACCTGCAGGGCAGCGGCATCAGCGGGCACGGCACCACACACACACACACACACACACACACACACACACACACACATACACACCGGTATTTCTCACTAATCATCGTCATTCTTTCCCTCTCTTCCTGTACTCCATACTACCAACAGCTCATCATTGTTACCAATTATGACCGCACAGTAGTCGCCAGCTCTCATGCAATTAACCCGGTTACAAGCACGAGTAGTCAACTGCTGCTAATCATTTCAGGGTCCCCCCTCTTGATCCACCCAATAATTTAGACTCGCCCGTGCTTCATTCAGCTGCGACGGGTCATGCTCACATGATGTACAGCAGCAAGTATGTATGTATGTATCTGCTAAGAGACTAGGCGCATCGCGATGACATTTCACCGTCCGTTTCCTGTTTTCCTCCGAAACGTCCGAGTGGTTATCAAGCTGGACACGATCGTGGTCACTCGAGCTAAGACCGCTGACCACTCGGCCATCTCCTGTCCAGTATCATGGTTTTGAACGGACGCCATGCAGACACCGCCAAACCACGGGCCGTTTGGGTTGACGGCTCCTAGCAAATCTTTGAAACCCAAAGGAGGCCCGTTGTCGTCTTGCTTGTCAGGGAAATGAGGGGTAAGCTCCATCCTACTGGATGCAAGCAATGCATCCAAGTCGAAATTAATCCTGCGACAGCACGTTGTCGCGAAAATCCCTAAATAGCCCAATCGGGATCCTTAAGGAAGCCCTCGTATTGGCTTTGAAGACCCGACCCGACTTATCTTCGTTCGCATGCTCTCGGGTTGCGTCTCTCCGCGTGGTAGCTTGGGTAGGGGTTTGTTTTCCTTGAATGCTCTTTCGTCCGGCAACCTCCTTGAAGCCGCCGGCGGATTGAACTACTACTTACTTCCTATACGTATCTTTGGCCCAGAAGCAACGGGGCCATCGGGTTTCGACTCGGTGGGCGGAATTTCCGGATCCTCCCCATTGGCTTGGTGTACCAAATCTTTCCCTCTCAACCCCTTTTTCACTTTCTATGATGATCTGGTAGAGTCAGCGGGTTCAGCTGCCTGTTACTGTCCGTCCCAAGTATCATGACGTCGTCTGCTGCTCTGCAATGCCTTTTCTTTTTTTTTCTGGGCTGCCAGAGTTTATTGTCCGCCCTTCATCATCTTTCCTGCTGGGCGTGCGGATGCTAATGGTCGATCGTCCGTATCAAAAGCGCCCCACTGGCCTATTCATCATGATGGTCAAAAGATCACTTGCAGCTCGCAAGCTTCCATTGTTTTTCTCCCCCTCTTCTTGACCCTCAGTTGGCTCGCGTGGCTCCAGATCTCAACCGCGCTAAGTCAGGCACTATGAGATCCACAGCATGGTACTATTTACCTTATGCAGAGGTGGGTTTTTACCTGTTCCTCTCTTCATTACCGATTACCCCGTACTGTTACAAACTCGGTACTAAGTAAGTTGGGCTTTTTCCACCTCCGCCCGCCCTTAGCGTTGCTTTTATGTGTTCATGGAGGAGGCTACTTTTTCGGAAGCGACGAAAAGACATAAAGCGATCATACTTGGCCAATGGCATTATCAAAGGGTAAAGTTGTCCACTAGGTATCTTTCTCACCCGCACCCCTGGTCTGTTATAGTAGGATATTGGCCATGTCACCGGTAGAGCCTAAAGAAAGAGAGGGCCACGCGATTTGGGAAACAAAACCCACGGCGGCTAGTACTTACTTAGCAAACTTACTACGTACTTGGCTAGGTAACCTCGTAACTGAGGGATGGAGGAGCAAGACGGACAGGACCTTGAAGGTTGCGTCGTCGGGTGTCAGGCTCATTAGCCTCATACCATTAGGTACCAGGAACTTACTTTTCGCATTACCCGCCGTTTCAGGTCTCAATTTAGAGGTTCTCCAAGCAACACGGGGAAAATCTCGAGCGCTAGCCGTTGGACTAGTAGATAGGATGACGTCAAAGGAATCCGAGAAGGGATTTCACTGGGGATTAAGAGTCTGCGAGGATGTCTATCCCTCCACAGTCATCGGCAGCCCCAGGGATGCGTGGAATGATCTTGATGGGATTTACGATTGGTATCCAAACAAAACGTAGTTCGGTATGGACACCAGAACTTACTGTAATACTTCCGTCTATCCGTTGGGACCGACAGCGCAGAAAAGAACCTTCAAACAAGGTAGATAGAGTTCGGCGGGAGCTCCAATCAAACCCCCGTGATCACCTGCTGCAATGTTGTTCGCCCTCCTCGCTTCTTTGGCTCTTCGATCCTTTCTTCACGACACACACACACACTCTCTCTCTCTTTCCCTCTCAGTCTCCTCCCTCCAGAATTCCCCAGGTACTGTAATATCACCCACCAATCACCAGACAAAGCTTGTATGCTTTCCAAAAGATCGCATTAAAGTTCCGGGGCATTTGCTCGAGAAGCCGAGCGGTCATCACTATGTAGTTATCTATAGCGTGGCTTGATCATCTCTCTGGGGTTATGGGTGAGATTGGTCAAGTTGCTTGTTTGGGTACGGAATAAGACTGCGGCGATCGGATTTAGCCCATACACCACTTGTTCCGGGTGCGGAACCCAGGGACAACACGCCTCTATAACGAAGGACACTTAATAATGATTGATTATTACAATGATCATACAATTGTCTGAGCTTGGGCTGCTTGTATGTAAGCAACTAATCATGGGGTGAGAAGTCGCAATCCGCCTCTCAGTAACTACTAGTCGTCGTAGTAGTAGTAGTAGGCTCTGTCTCCTTTTTGACGGGTGATCGCACTAAATGTCAATCGGTTTTCTCCCGATCACCCACCCCGTCTTTTGTCGGTCCACTTCCAGTCGAGCGATGGAATGATAGCGTCGTTTCTCACCGTAAGGGCTGGCTGTCGATTGCTCACCTCCCGCTTGCCGTCAGTCCTATTATCAGTCCCACTTTGGCAAATGGAGGATGGTTAGTAGTTGTCTACTGAGTATGGGCCCGTCTGCTGTGTACGTATGTAAGTAAGTATGTATGTGGGCTTTGATTTTATTTCCTTTCCCCAAATTTACGCAGTGCTTTTTTTTTTGCCTGTTCTCTTTTTTTCCTCTGCCTGCTCCGCCCTCTCATCATCTGCTCTCAGCGATCTTCTTTCTTCTCGTCGCTCACTAATTACCCACTTTGTCAACCCCTCTTTCTCGCCCTCTCTTTCTTCCCATTCCTTTCGTTAGTTGCTCTTATCTTTTGTTTGGCTAATCGGTATTCTGCCCACTGTTCCGATTTTCCGCTCTTCCATATCAGATCACCACACCTCAAACTTGTCTTACTTACTGTACACTGTTGATTTCTTGGCTCGACTTGCCGATGTGTATTTCTCCCTGATCTTGCACGATTCACCGCTTGTTACTATTAAGCAGCCCCCAAACAAGGCACCCCCGTTTTTATTGTTAGTTAATTGTCTATTGTAGTCCAAATGACTGCTAAAGTACAACCTTCCCTATATTCGATAGATTTCTGCTTCCTGATTTGTAATACCATGGTAGCTTGTTCTGTTGGATGTTGTCATGATTAGCGTAGTTCTTTGTTTGTCCAACATCAACTACCAACAACTACCGAGTGTGGACCTCAGTTCTTAGCCCTTTTGATGCATATATTTTTTCCCTTTTTCTTTTCCTTTCTAATTGTTGTCATTTTGTGGGCGATCCCCTTTTTACCTGATCCGTCAACTGATCAAGCATGAGGGTGGGAACCGGCTGGCTCTTCCAGAATTCCGCTACTGTGGATCAGGCCGAAGGGAGGGAGGGAGGCAGAGCGAGGAAAGAAGAGACTTACTTTGGAGGGACAGCAGCTTTCCCTAGTGTAATTACAGCCACACTTACACTTTCACTCCCTCAATCACTTACCCACCAGTTAGTTTAGCCATGATGGGTAATCCCCTTTATTGAGACTTGGGAGGGGGGCGGGGGGAGGCGGGCTGGTCACTGTGATTGAAAGTGGGCTGGAGGTGCTGTTAGATCTATCATCTCACTAAGTCACACTAAAACCAGACTTCTGGAAAGCCGATCATCATTGCCTTACGGGCCAATTTAGCGCGCTCCTAGCTATTCACCTGTGACTGTTCCCCGGAGCCCGGGGCTCAGGTCCATGGGTCCTACCGGTCAATCTGCGGCGGCGGCTCTGGAATGGGGCAATTTGCGGTTTTTCGCTGTCTCTCCTTTTGCCTTTTTCTCTCCCTTTTTGCTTCCTACTTTTTATTTTTTATTTTTTTTTCTCCCCTCTCTTATTTATTATTATAATTATTATTTTTGGTCCCATTTTTCCTAAACCCATTTTACCCTTGAGTTCTTGTTTTATTTTCCTTTTTTGTTATTTATCTTCTAATTTTCGTTCCCATTATTTCCCTACTTTAGTTTATCGTTTTCCCCTTTGAGTGTTTAGTGTGGTCTGACAGTAGGTCTGGTTGATGGATACACTTCCAGCTCCGATCTCAATCTGATTTTTCCCCTTATGACATTTTTTCTGTTTGATTCGATAATGATGATGCTAATTATTCCTGGCTAATATTTTACAATCGGGAAAATCACGGAATTGATTTGATTTTTTCTGTGCTGTAAGGAATCAAAGAACCATACCGCTCTTACATGGGTAACCGGGCGGTTTCCCTCTGGTTCCCTTTCTGCCCGGACACGGCTGGGCGTTACTACTGGCGAGAGAGAGAGAGAGAGACTTAGAGAGTAATACTTACTCAAGTTGTCACCCAAGGTGGGAGTGAAAATGATGTATGCCCCGTAAGTAAGTAGTACCTTGGATGGAGAGAGTATTGTTTCGCTTCTGCTATTGGCTCCACCCCTTTCTCGGATTCCGGTTCTGCTTTGCTGCTTCTCTTTTCCTGCTACTTTTTCCCCTTCCGCCCACAACTCTTGTGGTGCCCCATTATTTTGTCTTGTTGCCTTGACGGCCGTGTCAGATGGTTCCGATCCATCTCTCGTTCCCTCCCCTCCGCGTAGTCCACCCGCATCATACCTTAAAAAAATAAAAAAATTTAAAAAATCGAAAAATTGGTTTTTTATTTTATTTTTTTTTCTCCCCTACCCTCGAGAAAAATAAAAAAATATTAATCATGCTAATAATGAAAGTGGATCCCCTTATTCCTCAGCTGTTTGCTGTCGACTGCATCCTGCATCCTTTTGTACAGCTGTAACCGAAATAGGCTTGCTCCATTGTCCCATACTTACTATCTTGAACCGTTGACGTTTTAGTCTTTTCGCCTGATCACATATCTAGGTAATCCACTGGAAATACTTCATTTAATTCCCTGCCCGTCCAGATTCTCCTTTTATGTGACCTTCCCTCTCTCCGCCATCTTTCTTAAATACAATCCACTTGCCTCCGTGGACTGCAGCGCTTTCTTCTCCTTCTCTTCTCCATCTGTTGCACTCCGCTACTATATCTGCTACCTTAGTACTACTTACCCATTAGCCCTACTATCCTACTACCTCCACCCGCCAACCCATCATTATTGCCCTTGCACACCCTCAATTGAACGACAACGACCCAGCCCTTGGATTTCTATTCTTCTCCTGCTTCTAACTTTGCCTCCCTGTGATTATCTTTGATCACCGTTGGGGTTCCTCACCACTCAAAGTTTGCGTCATTGGATTCCCTTGCAGTTACACAGTCTAGCCGTTTCTCGGGAACAGAAGCACGGGAAATAAAATCCCAAAAGATTAAAAGGATTTGCAGCATCGATTGACGACAAGGGGGTTAGAAATGTTGAACCCCCTTTAACAAACCGAGTCCTCTTGTCTTCAGTCCAGCGATCTTATCATCATAATATTCCCTCCCTTCGGTTACAGCGGAGATTCCAGCCGAAGACACATTCCCCGAAATCATTGGCCATTGGCCTCGCATATTGTCTTGCTCTATATTATTGCAAGAGACGCAAGCCGATATCGCCATCCGTGTTTGATCTCGAAGACCTCACGCGAACAATAACAACAACAAAAACAACAACAACAATCCCCGATAATTCTTCATTCTGTTGAGAGTGAACCAAGTGGGTGACCGCTCAATCAACATCATGTTCAAACGACCGTCATGTTTACAAGGCCGGCGGCATGGTGAGGGCAACGGTGATTGGACCGCCTTCCCTGTCCGCCAGCTCTTTGTGCTAGGTATGTTTTTTTGACTAGTACTGGACCGACTATTGTGACAATCCCTTTGCGCCCAATTCCCAACCGTGATCGTGCATATGGCAAATAGGAACTTGTTTGGCCTCGGTCCATTACTTTGTTTTCTGTCAATCACCTTTTGTATTCTATTTTACCTTTCTGTTTGGGTACCTGATACCTGTGCACACATACACCCCTCTTTCTGCTATTACTACGATTACTACTGCATGCTCCTTTCCCCGCGCAATGTTAGACCAGTACTATTGGCCGCATCAAATGGAGACTGACAGTGATCCCAGCACTATGCCGCATCTGCGAACCAATCGCATTCATGTCCATATTCCCCTATGTTTACCAGATGGTCGAATCATTCCATGTGACGGATAACGACCGCAAGATCGCCTTGTATGCCGGGATGATTACATCGGCCTTCACCTTTGCAGAGTTCTCCGCAGGCATGTTCTGGGGCCGGATGAGTGACAAGATTGGCAGAAAGCCTGTCCTCATCATGGGCTTAATTGGGACTGCCATCAGTATGGTCGTTTTTGGGTTCGCTCCCAACTTGCCAACTGCCATGATCGCCCGGGCACTGGGAGGCCTTCTGAACGGCAACATTGGCGTGCTTCAAACTACCGTTGCAGAGATTGTCACTGTTAAGGAGCACCAACCCCGGGCCTATTCCATCATGCCGTTCGTCTGGTGCCTTGGGTCGATCATCGGGCCCGCTATGGGTGGTGCGTTGGCACAACCATGCGACAATTATCCCGGATTATTTCAGCGTGACACCATCTTCGATCGCTTTCCCTTTCTGCTGCCCAACCTGGTCTGCGTTGTCGTCTTAGTGTCCGGAATCGTTGTTGGCCTGTTGTTCCTGGAGGAGACCCATCCGGAGAAGAAGCACCGCCGCGATCCCGGCCTGGCGTTGGGCAATTGGCTCGTTGCGAAAGTCTGGGGTTCTCCCGAACCTATTCCCGAGCCCACGGACGCCAAAGCGGGATTGGCCGGAGAGGAGGAGGAGGAGGAGTACTACGACTACGAGGATGTCCCTCCGCCAGAGTACAGGAGCACGGAAAGTTCGCCTCGTCTGGGCCCGATGAAGGAATCGGACAACCTGTCTGCAGATGACGACATTGAGGGGCAGATGAAGGGCGAGCCGTGCGCAACTCCCAAGGCATTCACCAAACAAGTCATCTTCAACATCATTGCCTATGGCATTCTTGCATAGTAAGTCTCCTCTCGTTCCCCACTTCTTCCCCGCCGTTCTTCAGACGCTGACCTTTACACAACAGCCACAGTGTTTCCTTCGACCAACTCATGCCCGTCTTCTTGAGCACTCCCAAGTCCGACGACGATGTCGTGCTCCCCTTCAAGTTCACTGGTGGCTTGGGACTTGCTACGAGTAAAATCGGGTTCATGCTGGCGGTTCAAGGCGTTTATTCCATGATCGCGCAGCTGTGGCTGTTTCCGTTTGTTGTTCGTCACTTTGGAACACTGAGAGTTTTCCGCTTCGTGTTGCTTGTTTGGCCCCCTCTCTACCTCATGGTCCCTTACCTTATTCTCCTGCCCGAACAGCTGCAAACCGCCGCGGCCTACGTCGCTTTGATCAGCAAAATCACGCTGCACGTCATCGCATTCCCTGCTACCGCTATTCTCCTCGCCAACGCTGCTCCGTCTTCCAGAGTCCTCGGTTCCATCAACGGCGCGGCCGCCTCGACAGCTAGCTTGAGCCGCGCTTTCGGCCCAACGGTTACTGGCTTGCTTCATTCCAAGGGTCTCGAAAGTGGATACTCCGTGCTAGCCTGGTGGGCTTGTGGAATAGTATGCATCCTTGGCGCCATCGAGAGCTTTTGGATGGAGGAATCGGAGCGAGACAAGGACGTGGAGAAGAAGGCCGAATGCGATGGCCCAACTTCGAACCGCGACTCGCTGCGGGGTTCCTTCACTGCAGGCAAGGAAGATGGCTCTCCCGAGGAAGTGCGGAGACTGCTTTCTTCGGCGCGCACCAGCGTCGATGACATGGACATTCCCAACGTGGACTCAATGCAAGCCAACCTGAACGTCACTTCCGAGCCCGAGCCCGACAAGTCCAAGTTCAGCCGATAGACCTGTTCTACCTCTGTTTCATTATCGCGAGAAGCACTGTCGCATCTCTCGCATCATTGTCTCTTTTTCTATTCGAACTGCTTTTGTTTGGAGGCTGATTTCTATTGCTTGAATTCGCATTGCCTTGCCTCTGCCATTTTTGCTTTTGTTTGATTCTTGGCTCATATTTGGTGGTATAGCTTGATTTTTTTTCCCCTTTGATTTTTTTCTTATCCCCATGGTTTCCGTTGCTTTTCATTATTTATGTTTTAGATCATGATTTTCAAGCTTGGGCGATGGCGCAGTGTATAGACTGGGAGCATTATGTGACAAAAGCATGAGGGCCGGCAATTCTGTCTTTGATTTTGGGGTTACCGCGGGGATTCATTGGGCACACATATGATTTCATGCATCTGGGAGGCTCGTTGTCATTATTGCTACATTTAACCACTCTATCCGCAGAGAAAGAAGAAGAAGAATTCATTGCTGGGGGCAAGGAAGAGAGCAGTAGCATCTCTCCTTAGCCCTGTCGATTTTAAGACATAACACAAAGCTCTTTCAAACGTATTTTGTAGTGTTCATAACTGTTATTAGTAGATATTGACCATATCTTCGACAGCGATATTGACCTGCTTGCTAGTCCTATTTGTTGTACCTTGCCCCTCCGCTCGGTTGTCGAGTCTAGTTGAGTTTTCCTCGAGGCTCTGACTGAGTAATGCAACCTTCCCCTCCTCTGACTAGCCACGCCGTGCAGACATGCCACCTGTAAGTAGTGCTGTCGCGTCCTCTGGTAGTGCGGGGGTGCAGATGGGATCAACGAGGGGAGGGGGTTGGTGCTGGGAAGGGTACCTAGGCACCATCCATCCGACAAATTGGCTTTAACCGGTCATTAGGAGAGCTCGCGTAGAAGGAATATTATCTAGGACATGGGCCTGGGTCTCGTCTGTGCGCTACTGCATTGCTTCAAGTTCCGTAAGCTGTGAGAACCTGGATTGACAGGAACTGAGGAGGTACCTTTTGGAACTGTAGTACTTCTCCATAGTGGACTTAGTAGCTACTTAGTAGACTTGTTGCTAGTTAACTAGTTACTGCTGACTGACTGGCCTCGGTTCGGATGACAAATTTCATCCGTGCCATGGCCCCAGCTTATCAGTAACCAATCATACAGCATGGTCTGTGGGCGGTGTCACGTGGAGCAGACTCAGTGGTATCGGTATTGTCATCGATTCGGCTTCGGACGACCTCGAATCTCTCTTCAGCAATATCAACGGTGAACCTGGACCAGGTTCCCCCCAGTGCAATTCTTGTCGTCATTCAGATCCTCAATTGCTACACTTACAAGCATTAGCTTGTCATTGCTTTGCTATTCATGCCGACACTTTATGACTGACATACGTACGCATCTCACTACTGATACTAGTGCCGGCTGGCGGCACTAATCACGATACTAAATGTTCCTACTTAGGTACCGGACCCAAAGGTGCCCTTCAAACAACTCCACCAAATTTTGCCCTATCTTGACTTTTGATGCTTGCTTTTTCTCTTTCTCACTCATCAGTCGTCCATAATCCAGCCCGTCAGTTCACCCCCAGTCTAGCCTATCCGCGTCTTCCTGCTGCGACCGGTCCCCTCCGTCATGCGCAGCGACTGTGCCCTCCCGTCCAGATAATATCGCCTTTCTGTCCTGTCGGATCGCGGCACTAACGAAAAGTCCGAGCATCGGGACAGCACTGGCGAGTCAGCCTTCCGTCGAATCGCTGTCCCCGGATATCGAAGCGGATACCCCAGTCCTCGAAGAACAAAAGACGCAGAAGCAGAACATAGCGCATGGGGGGGTTGTCTTATCATGAATGCTGATTCGGTTCTGGGTCTCCGGTACACCATCTCCGCATCTCGCTTGTCCGAATCCAAATTCTCCCCCCCGAGACATGGTCGCATGTCTGCTCGACTCTGCCGCGTACCCTTCTCGTCATGCTGAACCCTGATTCTCCTCCTTCGCCGACCTCCATAGGGAGGAAACGTCCGCATCCGCCTACCGAGCCCGCCTCGATCCCGCCAGAGCCGTCGGCGCAATCCCACCAGCAACGACAGTCAGCCACTGACGGTCCTGCAACTCAGTCCGCCGTCGCCGCCCCCTCTACCACCAATTCATCCTCGTTCCGAAATGTCTCCGCCTGTAATCGTTGCCGTCTACGGAAGAACCGATGCGATCAGAGGCTGCCGCGATGTCAGTCCTGCGAGAAGGCTGGCGTCCGATGTGTCGGATATGACCCGATAACGAAACGCGAAATCCCTCGCAGTTATGTGTACTTTCTTGAGGCCCGTGTGGCGTATCTGGAGAAGGTATTGATAGACCATCAGATATCCTACAAAGACCCAGTCGCATTTGACGAGGAGGAAGCCGTGAAAATCGAAACAGGGATTGATACTGCGCCGGCCCCGGCAGTTGGCTCCGAAGGCTCGGTTTCAGCGGCCGGTGATGGGGCCGCCGGTGCGGATAATAACGAAAAGTGGGTGAAAAAGGAAAAGGATGGACTCGTGCTAAGAAGAGAAAAGAGCGATCCCACTGGTCAGACGTCGGAGAACAACAACAACCAGGACTCGCAAAAGGAAGACAATTGGCGCATACATAATCTGGTATCGAATATTGGCATGGTGTCTGTGCAGGGAACCTCTGATCCCCGATATTTAGGCTCTACCTCTGGTATCTCCTTCGCTCGCGTGGTTTTTGCCGCCGTCAAGAGTTCCGTGCCAGGGAATGTTGCAGAGCGCGGGCCAATGCGCCCGAATGAACGCCTGCCGCATAGTGCTACGGGGACAGGTGGGAGTAGCATGCGTGATTCCTTCTTTGGATTACAGACCAGGTCTATGATGAAATGTGCTGCATTCCCAGATCGAGACTTGGCTGATAAGCTAGCCAATCTCTATTTCGAGCATGCAAATCCACAAATGCCCATTTTGCATCGGGCTGACTTCATGGAGATGCTTGATCGTACATATTCGCTAGATGAAAAGAACCGCTCCCCTCGCAGTCTTTACATTCTCAATATTGTATTTGCCATTGGTGCTGGGATTATATTCGAGGACAAGCCATCCTCTGATGAGAAGCAGGATGGTCGCGACCACTCTCCTTCATCTTCTTCCAAGCGGCCCCGGCTTTCAAGCCATCAGCACCAGCCGGAAGAGTATCATGCCTCCGCGATCATCCATCTGGAGTCTTTCCTGGGTAACACTGCGTCGGGGGACGGGTCTGGTGCTCTGGAGGAACTACAAGCCGTGCTTCTTCTCGCTAGTTTTGCCCTTCTGCGACCTGTGGCTCCTGGTCTCTGGTACATCGTTGGTGTGGCAATGCGGCTGGCAGTCGACCTTGGCTTGCACTACGAAGATGGAACCGACATTGACACGCTCGGGGAGGAAGCCATAAGCCGTGCACCAGGCAAGAACGCAGAGAAGTCTAAAGCGCGAATCGACCACCGTGAGCTCGGGCGTCGGGAATGGGTACGCGACCTGCGCCGTCGGCTGTGGTGGTGCGTCTACAGTTTCGACCGTTTAGTCAGTTGCTGTGTTGGCCGCCCGTTTGGAATTAGCGACCAAGCCATCAGTACCGAGTTCCCGTCTCTGCTAGAAGACAAATACATCACCAAGTCTGGGATTGTGACTCCTCCTGAGGGTGCTCCAAGTTACAAGCACTCCGCGCATCATTATTTTAAACTGCGGCTGCTGCAGTCCGAGATCCAAGATGTGCTCCAGCATCAGCAAGCCCGGTTCGTTAGACAGAGAGCCCCTTCAGTGGGTAGACGACATATTCGCCCCGACATCTCCTCTCCTTTCCTTCAAGGCTTCGATTCCTTCCGTTCCTGGCGTAGAGACGTCCACCGGCGGCTTGTGGAGTGGCAGCAAAGTGCGCCCACGCGTCGCGATACTGGAGTCAGGTTCCCTGTTGAGTTCCTTGAGTTGAACTACTGGCAAGCGGTGATTATGCTTTATCAGCAAAGCTTGACCGTACCGGCTGAATTGGCGGATGAGATGATGCCAGCCGAAGATGTGTCGAGTCCGTCGTTCTCCAACGTAGATGAGGCAGAAGATGAAGATGACATCTACTATAAGGTAGCTGAGGCTGGGCAGAAAGTGATCCGTATATACCGTCAGATGCACCGGGTACGGTTGGTTAATTACACGTATCTAGCTACGCACCACATCTTCATGGCGGGTAGGTCAACGGCTGGCTCGGGCATGGACAGATCGTTACTGACTTTCTATTAGGCATTTCCTTTTTGTATGCGATCTGGCACTCTCCTTTGGTGCGCAGCCGTCTGGTACGAGGTCTATTAGCCGTCTATTATTTAGAAATCATTCTGACCATATGCAGACCCTCGACGAAGTGGACTTCACCGTCCTTGCAGCTACATCTGTACTTGGCGATCTCATGCACAAGTGCCCGCCTGCAGAAGCCTGCCGTGATGCCTTTGAACGCATGAGCAAAGCGACGGTTCAGATGTGCTTGTCCACCACGGGATTCGGCTCCCAAGTAGACTTGACCCAGGCGCCAGTCCGAAGCACACAACGACCGGCAAATGCGCCACATCCAGACCAGAGCAGACCATATGGAAGGTATTCCCAGGACCCACGACAACGCGCGCCGGCCCGACGACAGGGTCAGGGACAGGGTCAACCGCGGCCATCACGACCTATGCCACGGTTCGACATGAATCTCGGAGACCTCTTTAATGATAACACCGCCGTCCCAGAACGACCCAACAGTGGACCTAGTAGACTGCCAGGACCCTATCCCGTCCGACCAGACTTTCCCGAAGCCTCTACTCCCACCCCCACCTTCCCTCCTGATCGGGCGATGCGGCCACACCCCCCGCGAACCCCATCAATGGAATACTATCCCCCCTATGAGACCACCGTATCTCCACAGACCCAACTGCCCCAGCAATACTACTACGGCAACTCCCCACAACAGAGCGCATCGCCAAACAGCGTCAATGCGAACCCACCCGCCACCCACTATCATACCCCGGAGAAC